GTAGACAGCATCCAGACCGTTCTCAGCGACCTTGAAGGGATCAATGGGAGCGGGGGCCATAACGTTGGACAAGCGGGAGATCAGGGCGCCATTTCCGGTGTTCCGGAAGGGAATGGCGGACAAGTTGACGACATTGATCAGAATCAGACCACCGACCATGAGGATCTTGAATCGGCGCACACTGCTGGACTTGATCTTACGACCAAAGATGCTAGTGTCGCCCTCGCTGCCATCCGAGCCGGCGCTGGGCCAGTCGTTGCTCGAGGCGACATTCTCAGCGACACTGTGGGTAATTCCATCCTCCTCAAGGGCCTTGCGCAGGGCAACGTGGCGCTTGATCCGAGTGATCTCGAGCTTGATGCACAGGATAGTAGTGTAGAAAGTGAAGAGAAGAACACAGTCAAAGAACAAGATCCAGGCAGCGAGGAAGCAGAACTGCTGGAGACCACCCTGGACACCAGAGGCAGCACCCATAGCCAACAGACCGATTTCAATGCAGTAATGCTGGACAATCTCAAAGCCCTGGGCCTTGATAGCCGTGGCAATCGAGTCCTGAATCGAACCGGGGGTGCTCGAGGTCAGGGGACGGGGAGCAGCACCAGGGCGGGGACGGCGGTTGTCCACAGAAGCGTTCAGAACAGCCCGAGTGAACATAATGGGCTTCTCGAAGCCAATGGTCACAACCAAGAATGGGAGACCCTCGGAAAGAAGAAGCAGGTTGATCGGCACGCCAAGCTTTGTGGTAACCAAGAGACCGAACAGGAAAGCAAAGGAACCAGAGAAGAGAACGGTAGCGGCCAACCAGAAGTTGGAGCCCAGACGGCGCATAGAGAAGAACAGCGACACGAAGCTCAGGTGCATAGAGATGTAACCGAGAGCCATGATGACAATGTCAATAGTCTCAGCGTGCTTAATGAGATCCACAAAGGAGCTCCACGCATCCGTAAGCCAGAGCTTGAGGGCAGTTCGGGAGCCAGTGGCACCGCGAGCGGCCTTCATAATCCATTTCTTCGACTCCTCCTCTTCCTCCTCCTCGGCGGATGGGTTAGGAATCTCCTGCACGGCTCTCAAAAGGTCGGGAACCTGTTCAAAAGGCACAGAGTACACCAGGGAAGAGTCGTGAGAGAAGGGCGAGAACAAGTTCGGGGTATGCGGCACAGGGTGGGCGGAGACATTGGCAGGGATCGGGACATCATCGGCCGCAGGGGCGGTCGACGCTGACTTGGAGTTGGAATCAGGGAAAATGAAGGTGGTCAGCGCGATGTGGTGAGCTGCAGGCTGCTCGATCTGCTGATTTGGGAAGAATTGGTCAGAATGGAAATTATTGGGAGGGGGGTGGTGAGGGGGCGGTGGATGTGTGCTTACAGTCGAGTCAACCCAGGAATCCTCGGCCTGCCACTTCCACGCAGTTGATTCGCCCAGGCGCAGATTACGACTACCCTGGAGAAGAGTATCGACATCCACTTGGCCTGCCACATTGCGAGGGTTACGCGCAGTGTCCAGCAGGCTCCCTTCGAGCAAGCCGACGTAGGTTGTGCTGGCGAGCAGGGCAATCACCACAATGGTGTGGATGGGGTGCACACAGGCACGGCGAGAGATGCATTGAAGGCCAGAAGTGACCTGGCGGCGAATCCAGCTTGGTTCCGCATCCTGGTCGGCTTCCGTGGACCGCAATCTCTTGGAAATAAACGAGGTAGCCATTATGACAGGGGAGAGTCGGGGGAGCGGTGTAAGACGTCCTGTTGAAGGCGTTGAGAGGGTGGTTGAGACGGTCCGCAGGGGCCAAAGCCTGCGAGGATTACCGCCGTAGAGCTCTTCGTTTCGACCAAAATCGAGGCGACGGAGAGGTTCAAGGATCTCAAAAAGGGTTGAAGTCCTAGATCGACGGCCGCATGTGGCTCACGAGGCGGTGTTCTTCAAACAGAGATAGTTCCTACGGGAACTATTTTTTAAACCCTCAAAGTCAGCAAAACCACATGGGGTCGGTAGAAAGGAAAACAGCATGTACCAGAGAAACGAGAGAGCAAGAGGACGAGCACAATCCGTCCGGGCAATTGGGATTGTCGCGGTGGGTAGGAAGAGTACGGGGACCCCCTGAAGGCTGCAAAATACTCGAGCTCCGGGCCCGCGCCGATGGAATTAAGTATCGCCGACAACGGGTCTTGCCAAGCCACGCCAGTAGTATAGTGGGGAATAAAGAAAAAAAAAAGAAAAGAAAAGTTAGGGAGGCGACGAAAACCCAAACAGAGTGGAACAGGAGGAAAAGAAGAACGAGCACTATAACAGTGTAGTACTTCTTTGAAGAGAAGAGGGGGGTCTCGCTGGTATTTTAGTCCCAAGTCCAGCAAAGAAATCGAGAACAATCAATTAGAACAATCAAACACAATACTTCCCGATCGAGGTAATTAAACCTAAACCTGGGGAAAAAGGAGTAGTAGAGAACTCGACGAGGTATAGGGGTACCGTATTCTTATTACTAGGTTATGAGCTCATCAGATAACTGTACTGAATATCTAGCATCCGTCTTGGTAGAATTAAGGTTCTTAAATGATTCTATTTTATCGCAGGAGTTTGCATAGAAAAGAAAGCGGTGGCAACGTGACCAGGGCTGAAATCAGGTTAACCAGCAGCTGGCAACTTGGAACTTGCACCATCCATCGTGCAACTGGCAGCGATCTGCCCAACCACTCACCAATGGCTGGGGCTGCTGGGCCCTAGCTGCTGCTGCACAGACACCGACGATACTTAGCTTTGGGCGGATCGGTTGAGCCCAAACTGGTACTTAGTGAGCCCTCCAGCCAGCCCCTTGGGCCCTGGCCAACCACCTAATAAATGCACTAACGAAGTGGCTACAGTTCCCCAATCCTACTGTACTGTGGCTGCCTACAACTACTCAGCCACCGTCTCCCCCCCCAATTCTCTCTTCCCCGAAGCCCGCTTATTACGGTTGCCTATGCGGATTTCGGGGTTGAAAGGTATCGTTTACACAAGCGTCAATCTCACCAGCAGCTCTTCGTTTCCGTGCCAGCCTCTCTGGCGGGCTCACAATATTACCGAAATCCAAGATTTTTGTGGGAGCGACTCGGGTTTCGATGGTCGATCAGCGTAGGACTCCACTTTTGGCCCTGTGGCCTTCCAGGGTTTCCTGAGTCCCCCTGCAATTAAAGCGTTCACGGGAATCGCTTCACGATCAGTCCACGTCAGCGAGACCCCCATTCCCAACTCGTTCTCCCCTCCGAAAGATAAAAACCCTCATCAAAATCTCCGAAGACCCGTTCCGACGACCGGCGGACGTGGCAGTCGACATTCTCTCTTCTCGTTGGCCAAGTCTGAAGGGAAACCCACTCGGTGGAGCTGACGGAGAAATCTGATAAAAATCAGATAAAAATCAGATAACTCAAGTCAAATCATTCTTCGTCTCGTCACCGGCGGGCCCGCGGCCTACCCACAGTGAGACTCGGTTACCGAGCTTGCCAAGCGACTAGACAGATGAAAAATCCGAGATAAGATGGATATCCGACTACGGAGACATCCGAGTGACGAGCACGGTCTGTCTGTCAATGAGCACGTTGCGCATTGTTCCGCTCGTATCCACTGGGCTTGGAAACGACCCAGCATGATCCATCATGGGTAGGGCTACAGAAGTGGGATATTCTGTTGGGCATCCATTGTTCTCGGTTCAGACAACGGTCTGTGAAGCCTGGGTTTGTCGCAGGTGAGGTCATAGTGGCTGATGCAAAATACTAGACTCGTAGGCACCTAGGTAGTAGTTATAGTTATAGAGACAAGCTACCTAATACACCGGTCTATCCATAAATATACTCATGAATGACCCTATACTCTCTTACGGCCATACCTGCTAGGCCCCGCGCCTACAAATATACTTGGACCATAACTATACCAAGTAAGGGCCTGCAGAAAACTAAAGCAGGGCTGCAGAACTGGGTATTTCGGATCAAAGCACCGCTTAGACCTCCAAAGCAGACAAAGCCTATTCCTCTGACATTTTCACGCCTAAATTTACCTCCAATGCAGGACATCCACCGTTGCAGAATCAGCAAGATCCCGCCGCCCTTAGAGGGCGAGGCGCTAAGAGAGCCTCCTCACTCGCCCAATGAAAGTAGCCGCCGCGCTCGATTCCCTGCACACTTGCAACACCTGCAGATTATCCTCGTCGCGATCTACCCATGCTCCCATTACAGCTAAGGATGACAATACAGCCAAACACTCTCTCTAGCGCCAGGAGGTTCCAAGATCGTCTCAGGGGTTGAAGAATATCTCCGCTACTTCCCCATCTTGAGGCAGACTCCGTCGCTTTTGCAACCTTCTCATCCAATCATTCACCTTCCAGCCTCTCATTCTTTGGCAGTTGAGCAAAATTAGGCTCGCATGACAGCCCGTGGCTAAAGATCGATCGTTTCAACTGCGACGTCGGGGCCCTGCTTCAGGGTTGAGTCTGCTTTGTTTGTCTCCCCCAATTAGGCGCGACAATGGCTCTCACCAAGTCCGGTCCTCCTATATTTGTCGCAATGACCGTCCCTGTTATATCTGGGCCTCGTCCGCTGGCTGGTCAAGTCGGGCTGCCATTGTCGCCTTCTTTGTGTTTTACCCTGCCTGGCCTGGTGCCTTGAGACGAGAAGACCTTGGAACGGGTCCTTTGATCTCTCTTCTTCCATTGTCTTCCCTTGTTGCCCAAGTCCAGCATGGGTTGGTGTGAATGCCTAGAGTTTCCCTTTCATCATACTCTATTCTTCTCCCATTTCACCAACCCCCTGCTCTATAAGAGCATTCAATCCTCTCTCTCCAAGACACAAAGTACCAGTCCGATTCTCCGATCCAAGACAACGTCTGAGCACACTATCGCAATATATCTGCCATCTTCCTTTGATACTCAACACTGTGACTTTGTTCTCTGAGAACACACTCTTCCTCAAAGAGCATCATCCCCGGAAATCCACCCTCTTTAGCAAACGATTCATACCTTGAGAATTTTTGCCAACATGCGATCAAGACCACTTCAAGCGTTCATCTTTCTCCTCTCATCAGCAAAGAATGTCCACGCCCATAGCTGGGTAGAACAACTGTCCGTCATCGCCTCAAATGGGACGTTCGTGGGTACCCCAGGATATCCGAGAGGAAACGTCCTTCGCACAGCCTCCGACTTCAGCGATACCACAATGACCTACCTGATCCCTCCATCTAGTCGTGCGAATGTGACCCTCGTCCTACCCTCCGACAAACTATGCAAGGACACTCAACAAGAACAAATCCAGACTGCCGGAAGCGCGCGACTGCAGGCCAGCGCGGGCGATGCAGTTGCACTTCGCTATCAAGAGAACGGTCACGTCACACTCCCCTGGAATCAACCCGGGAAGCCCGCAAACCGAGGAACCGTCTACGTCTACGGAACGACAGAGCCCAAAGTGGGTGAGAAAATCCTCGATGTCCACGGAGCCTGGACCAGCGACGGCACCGGGGGAGATGGACGAGGCGTGCTACTATCCAAACAAAACTTCGACGACGGCCGCTGCTACCAGATCAACAGTGGCAATATCTCGCAAGCACGTCAACAGGAATACCCCCATCAAGCTAATCAACTCATGGGTGCGGATATGTGGTGTCAGCAGGATATCAAACTGCCCTCTACGGCCCCAACGGGCAAGTTGTACACCCTCTACTGGGTGTGGGACTGGCCCACCCTCCCGGGAGTCGATCCAACATACCCACACGGTAAAACGGAGATTTACACCACCTGCATGGATGTGAATGTCGTGGCCTCTACATCACAGCAAAAGGGAAACATTCAAGATGAGTATGCCACTGGTCAGGATCTCAACAAGGCTGCTATCCCATCGGAGTTTGCCGATCTTGACGACGTTTCGGAGGCAGCTGAAACCACGACGGCTCGTACATCTTCTACTCCGTCTTCGTCGATTCCATATGTGCCCCAATCGACATCCACTTTGTACCTCACATCGACAGAGGTGGTTCGGGTTATTACCGTGACTGCTTGGAAAACAACGGAGAAGACCGTTACTGTGGGGGGCTGCGAGGCAACTCCCACGGGGACTCCGAGTACAGGAGATAGCACACGGTTGAAGAGAAGGGATTGGAGGGCATAAAAGCAGGAAGATAGAAACAAGCACTTGGGCGCAGTTTTGATGTATACTTACTTAGAGATCTACTTTGATACCCAAATGGCAATTCCATTGGTCCTATGAGACAACCGTGACTGAACTATATACTACGTACTTGAATCCAAGCATTCAATCACCAACCCATGAATCTCAGATATGCATAGTTCAACCCATCTTACTGAATCTAGAAAGATGCAACCATCATGCATCAAGATCTCCTGTCAATGCATAACATGGGCATCCGTAATTAAAGTAGTCCAGCCACCAACGCCCAAAACGGCCAAGCCCGCGATCTGAAACACGCTAGCACGTGACGCTGACCTAAGCCCCTTCGAAGCTTCAATTCCCTCGTTCAGCGAATGCGAGAGTAAGAGTCTCTCTGGTCCTGGCTCTGTTCTGCTTCAGGAACTCGTCTGCTGGCTTGGTGGTTCTTGTTGTGGCTGAATTGCTACTTTTCCTACTATTACCGTTGCTGCCGTTGAAAAAACACCTCATTCGGCTGCTGATTATCAAGCCTCCGAGTGTACAACTTCTGTACCAAACGAAAGGTATGCCCCAAATGCCCGGCCCTCTCCATTTTCCCACCGCAGCAAAGATCGAAGCCCCCTGGCTCCGATATCCCAGATATATCCCGCGACTGCAACTGCCTTGTCGAGAACTTCTATCGCATAAGCGCTGGGCTCCGGTTGCATTTATATCTGACACTTGCCGTGCAGGTTCTGCTATATTTAGCATTTTGCCCGTCGTCCACTGCGGGACAACGTCTGGAACACTCTCCTCCCCCCCCTTCCAAAAAGCGCCCTGCAACTTGACACACTCCTTCCGCGCTTGACGAACCCTCCCGTCACTTTCTCATCCCCTCGATTGACCCTCTTCGTGGGGTCCCTTTGTTACTTTTTTCCTCCTCCCCCCCTGGACCCGTGCACGACTCGGCATCCGTAGGCCGGCCCTCTCTCCAAAGGCGCACTGTCCTTCCCCTCCTCGCTTTTGCCGATTCCCGATCTCTCCACGTCGGAGGTTTTTCTCGTCCACCACGGGTTGGTCCTGGGTGATACAGACAATTCTAGGCTCTTTTTGGATTGCGATTGGGAAAAAAAGCGATTTGGCATCGCTGCCCCCCTGGTTGTGTGCACGAAACTCCCCCCACCCGCCCTCTCATCCAATCCATTCGACGGACTCGCGACAGTCAATCGCAAGTGGGATCTCGTTGGCGCGCGTATCCATCACCATGCAAAATTAGATTCCGAGGATCGCGATTGACGAATACCCTTCCCCAATTCTCTTGCCGATACCTGAGCACCGCCTAATCTCTTCTCTCTTTTACCCGTCAAAAAGCCCCTCCCCCCTCGTCTGCGCTTTCTCCGACCTGCCTCAAGATGACCTCCCCAGCATCGCCAAACACCCTCTCGGCGAGCAACCTGCAGGTTCTCCCTCCTATTTTGACCGACAACACAGTCAAGCCATCTCCGAGCGCAAGGGATCGCCTCTCCACATACTCAAATATCTCGTTCGTCTCCCAGAATCGGTCACGGCCTGGCTCCCACGTGTTCCCCATTTTCCACTCCAGCCTCCCCTACGCCTTGGTTCGAGACTTTGCCTACCCGTCAATCCATCCGTTGCACTATGGTCCCCCTCCACCACACGCCTCGGGTGTGTCGACCCCCGCTAGCGAATACCGTCGCTTGTCCGATCCGCCGACTTCTTGGGACACCGCGAAGGGCCCGTGGGCGACAGGCGGTTGGAACACGGAAAGCAACCAGGGCCACCAACAATTGCCTGCCATGTCGTTCGGTGATGGACCTCCATATAGTGAAGATGAAGACCTGCACAGTCCGGTAGTGACCTCGTCGCGCCAGCGCAAGAGGTCCACTGTAAGCGGTCTGAACGGCATGGTGGATGAGCACGGCATGCTGGTCGCTGGAAATGCAGACCGTGGTACATTTGTCGGTCTCAATCCCGATGGAAGCGAGACCTACTATGTTAATGGCGGGGATGGAATGGGAGACGGCCCCGGTGGAGAATATGTGACATACCCAGCAAATGAAGGACGGTACTCGGTAGCATATGGCGGCCAGCCAGGCTATGCGCAGGAACCTGGCTTCGAATCAGAGGATGACTATACACGTGGAGATCGATATTCGAACGATTATCAATTTGCTGTGGGATGCCCGGACGAGGAGATGCACGGAAAGGCCGTCGCACTCTTTGACTTTGTGCGCGAGCACGAGAATGAGCTTCCCCTCACCGAGGGCCAGGTGATCTATGTCTCATACCGGCATGGCGAAGGTTGGTTGGTCGCCGAGGACCCGAAGACGGGAGAAAATGGTCTCGTGCCAGAGCAGTTTGTTCGGCTTCTCCGAGACATTGAAGGTGGATTGACCTCGTTGAACGGGGAGCCCAATCCGGATGCCACTGAAGGCAGTTTATCAGCCAGCATGGATACCACCGAGGATGAACATATGTCAACTCCTACTCAGGACAACCACAGAGGCACAAATGGTGATACCCCGTCTATACCTGTTGAAAACGCAGAGCAATCCAAATCTACATCAGAGACGGGAAAGACGGTTGGAGGCCCTGCTGGCAATCGATCTAGCTTGATGACAAGGACTTGATGGCCGCTGCACACCCTTATACATAAGCGGCTTCACTCAACAAAGGCCACAAGTCGGCAGACGCAAGCCCCCCTTTCATGGGAGCTCCCCCAGTGCCGAATCATTTTTGGACTGTCTAAGCCAATTAGCGAGCTTCTTCTCGCCCTTTTATCATAGAGGGCCTCGAGCTCGCGCTCCTCATACCACACAGTTGCCACGGCCGTTTACCTTGATGGACACTTGAGATTCCATCTAGGCTGGCATCGGCGGCCAAGTACATCCAGAAGAGATTCAAGCACACAAGCCTCGCGCACACTGGCCAATCAACATGCCAAACCCCCACACAACAAAGCTGGTTCGGAACCTTTAACACTTCTCTTCCGCTACAACAACAGCCCATGAATCATCTCCCATCTCTGCACTTCATTTACCTACCCCCGATATCCCAGCTCCCGCAAATGCCGCCAGCATCTCTCTCAACATGCCATGAAACATCCAAGGCCATTAAGAGAAACAAGGAGAATCTAGATGGAACGCAAATAGTTCCCCATCCATCTTCTCTATATGCGCGCGCAACTGTTCTTCATATCCCCCCTTGTTCTGTGTTCTGTCAACCTCACCTACATATTACCTATGATTTTCTCTTCCTCGTCACCCCGTCTCCTGTTCACCCTTATCTCCCCCTTCTCGCACTTGTATCTAGCTTCCTTCAGCGCGGGCGTTGTCCTAGCATCAATTAGCATCAGCGTAATGCCTATTCATCTTTCATTTGACCTGTGTTTCCTCGGGGAACTGTATATGTTTGTAAAAAAGAATACTCGAATCTAATTCACCACTGAAACCTGTCCAGTGGGGTTATCAATCATGTCGACGCAGGAAAAAAGGAAAATATAGAAGCAAACGGGCAAAATTGGAAAGCACATCCATAACCGACGGCATCCTAACAGGTTCCAGTGTATCGCGCATCGTTCATATTCGTCAGGTTGGTCGTGAAATCGTAACCGGCCATGTTTACTCCTCAACTAGCGCACAAGAGGAAACAGTGCCGGACGAGGATTCGATTAGGTACATAGCAAACCTTTAATATGATATTCTCTTTGGTACATCTTTGATCAGGCTGTATTCGCTTATTGTATAGAGTGTGTTCATTCTGTACGCCATAGCAATCTCAATGTCCACGTTAGGTAGCACTTGACAATGTAGCCAGATCATGGGCAAGAACTATGATGAGCTTTTCGAATCCTTGAAATCTTGAGAAAAGTATATATAGACAAAGAAGGTGCAAGGGCATTTTACGTGTATGGATCTCATAAAACTTAAAAGAAAAAGGAAATTTTCAGAACTGCTTTGCTAAAGCGTGATAATCCCAACAAACCGACGACGAAAAGCAAGGATAAAAAGGGGGGAGATTGTGGGTGTAAACAAAAGTTGAAGGATCAAATCAAAGTTTGACATTATGGAACTGGATGCGAAATTCTGCGACATTGCTTGTCCTCGGCCGTGAACAAAAACGGGGACTAATCCGATGTGGACTATGTCTTCATTGTTGGGAAAAGACTAAATTAACCCAGCATGTCATCGAATGCGGAGCCGCCTTGCTGCTGTTGGGGCTTGGACTGAGCGGACGAGGCTGAGGCAGCCGGGGCACCCCAGATACCGGCACTGGCCTTCTCCTTAGCCATGCTGGCCAAGTTGGGACCCTTGTTGGCGTTAGCGTTTGACTTGGAGATACCGGCGCTAGCACTGGCAGTAGACCAGAGAGAGCCAAAGGCATCGCCGGAGGACTTGGTTGCAGGCTTGGCGGCGGGCTTGCTCGCAGTAGTAGAGGCAGCCGGGGAAGAGATGGAGGGCTTGGCGGCGTGAGAGGAGAATGGCTGTGCGGCGCCGGTTGAAACGGAGGTGAAGTAGTTTGGTGTAGCGGCCTGGTAGCCGGATGGCTTTGGAGCCATAGGCTGCTGCTGGATAGGGGCGGTCTGGGACACCGGGGAGGTAAGCGAGCTAGTTGACGGAGTTGGCGTGGCCGATGTGAAGCCAACAATGCCATTGAGGTTGGTGCCCTGCGAAGCCGAGACGGGTACTGGCGCGGCAAATTGGGTGCTCGAGGTGGTGCTGTGAGTGGAGGCAGGAGGTTGAATGGAGTAGTTGGCGGTAGCTGGCGCTGAGGGCTGGACCGCCGGAGTAGCAGACTGGAAGTCGTCAAAGTCATCATCATCTGCCGTGTCCAGCATGTTCAACGCGCTGCTAGCGGGCTGCTTGCCTGCAGCGGTAGAAGGTGCCGTTGTGGTGGTGACAGGCTCGTCATCACCGAAATCAAAGAGGTCTGCCACGGGTGCAGGCGCTGGCTTCTTGGGCTCTGCCTTGGCCTTGGGCGGTGCAGCAGCAGACTCACGCCGTGGGGCGCTAGTCTCTCCCTCATCGTACTCGTCATATTCCTCGAACCGGTTACCGCGACGGCTGGTATCGCGACTGGTATCCTGGAAATCACTCGAGGCCCCGCCGAAGCCTCCGCCATCACCATAAACACCGCCGCTGTATCCACCGTATCCCATGCTCTCACTGCCGAAGCCACCATAGCGACTAGAGCCAGAGGACATGCCACCAGCGTTCATGCCACCTTCGAAGCCACCAAACTTGTTGCGGTTGGTACGGGCCTTCTTGCGCTCGGAGCGAATCTGGTCCACATCGCCCAGCAATTTGACCAATTCTGAGGACCGATTGCGCACGTTGATACCCTGATCCTTTCCGTTCGCGTCGATAAAGTGGAATTGCCGCAACATCCGCAAGAGCGACATGTGAGATCGTGCATCGTCAACCACCCGCTCTGAACCATTCTTAACAAGGAATTCGAGAAGTTGAAGACTCTATATTTCACAAGGGAAAACGACGTCAGTATATAGCACATCATGAAACCAAGTCGCGATGCTGCGCACCTTGTAGATCTGTCTCCATTCCTCGGCGCTCTTATCGGTGAATCGCTTGTAAATCAAGGGCATAATCTCGTTAAGCAATTGGCTGCATCATAGGATAAGCATATAGTTCACTTGGCTTCGCTTCAGTAATCGAGGGTACCACTGACTAGCTGTGTGTTCCATTGGCAATCTCCTGCATCAATGTAGTCGAAGCACCCCAGGGCTCATTGTTTGTGGCTTCCCGGACCTAGTCCAGAAGTAAGCTTGGCTGTCTCCATGACGTATCGCGCAATCCCGTTGTTCTCGAATCGTGCAGCTCGGAAGATCGTTGCGCAACGGGCGGCTGGCTGGTATACGGACCTTGGACTCCATCTCGGTATAGTTCATGACGGCTATGACGAAGCGGTCAGCCCGGTATCCCGGAATTGCGAGACAATGCTCAGGCGCTTTCATGCACAGCGAAAACAATTCCAAACTGATGTGACTTACCATTCTGTACTTTGCGGACACCAGCCTTGAGGTCATACAACGTCAGGTTGCTGACCTTGTCTTGGAGGTTTGAGAAGTCCATGGCGAGGGGTGACTGTTGTCAATGTGAATCGGGCGCAGGAGGAGAAAATGAATGTCGGCAAGCAAGGCCAGCTAAACCAGTCAAGTGATTGGTGTTAGAAGAGAAGGAAACGATTCAAGCCCGCCGGCAATGAGGTGTAAGGGGAGACAGTCGGTGGGGGAGTCGGCTGGTTTCCAGCTGGCCGATTCCACTTGGATGCGCCACGCAGTCACGTGGCGGCCCCTGACCCCGGCTGGGCAGCAACCTTGTACAAGTCCTGAACTGTAAAAGTGACGATTCTGCCCGGCTTACCGAGATTGTCTACGGATCAGTGGTATGAACTGCTAGATGACTGGTCAAGGTCCTCAAGTTATTATGCAATTGTGTACATGTCATTCGGGTGCCCGTATAAACTGAGGCGCTATCGCTATCAAAGTCCAAAACGAAAGGAAAATACCCTAGGTATCTAAACAGAGAAGGAAAATATGAAAACGTAAAAAAAAAAAAAAAAATATCAATAAGAATGCTCCATCCGAATCAATCATCCCTCGTCATGTCCATCAACATAAGTTTTACTCGTTGTAGAATTTCTTCATGATCAAGTGCAGGAAGAGGTTGACGTTAACTCGCATCTGCCCGTCGAAGAAGTCCATAAATTGTGTGTTGTTGAACTGAGCTTGCAGCAGGTCGTCAAGTGGTACTTGAGCATTGGCTCCAGGGATCATCATGTTGCCGCTGCTCCCGTCAATGGTGAAAACTCCAACTTCGTTACTGGAGATGGTAAGATCCACTCGATCGTATTGTCGCTCGCTATACCCTTTCCACGCGACAAGTACACCTCGATCGGACAATGTGCGAGCGGAATACTTGTATGAACCAAACTTAAACACCTTGCCCGACTTTTGGAGCTCGCGCTGGTGATCCCACTGCTTGGTAAACGGCATGAGGAATCGCTTCTTGCCCTTTTTGTTCTGCAGCGTGATCATGGCCTGCTCAATGTAGTCATTGTAGGTCTTGAGCTGTTGATCCAGGTAGAGGGCTTGATCATTGAGGCGAGCCGAAGTCATTCGTGCGCCCTCTAGCTCACGCTCTCGCTGGATTCGGCGACGATGCTTGGTCCGGATGTCACTTGCGATGGCGTTCAGGAGGTCCTGGTAATGATTATGCCGACTGATCTTGCCGGCCTGCTCAAGGCGAAGAATATTCTCCAGAGCAATACCCTTGAGCTCTGCGTAGTCCATAGACCCGATGTCAATTAATGTGCTGGCCTCCGAGTAGGCACCCCGACGAGAGTTGTTTGTGCTCAACTCCTCCCGTACCAGAGTGTGCCACCGTTGTTGATCTTCGTCACTCGGGGGCTTAAGCATGATATCCATCAAGTTTGCTCCACTCTGGACGCGAATGATATAGAGGATGCATCGCTTGGTCTCCATGAATAGTGTCTTGATATCGGCTTCAGGGTCTGGGGGAAAAGATAATGGTCAGCTGGTTTGTTGTAACGGTTCATCATCTACACGGGTACATACCTTCGGTTTGGGCAAGTTTTGGGTTCAGGGTCAAATTGATTTCCGTGGAACTGACACCCATCAACTCGTTCTCGTTGTTCTTCACGTTTCCAAGATCCCGTACGAGCTGTTTGAGGAAGTCATCCGGGTGCGGACAAATGAACTCGATCTGAGAAGCTACAAGTTGGTGAATAGAGAAGATGTCGGACATCTTGATGTAAAGAGTGGGCTTGGCCTTGGCGTAGAGATCGTTGAACTCATCAATGTCAAAGTACGCTTCAGCATCTTGCACCGAGATCACTGTTTGAGGTTAGATCGTTGAAGGTAAAAGTGAAAGGAATGGATGATGTCAACTTACTTGACCCCCAAATCTGGCCGAGCCTCTGTATTGACTCGCCAATATAAGAGTTAAGAGGCTGAAGGTAGACGTTTTCGGCTCCAAAGAGTCTGCCAGAAGCCACCTGAGCTACGACCTTGGCGATCTCGCCGAGGTTTCTCTTTTGTTCCTGGGTCAGGCCCCGATCCACAACACCGTACTTCTCTGGCTCGAGTAGTGCAGGTTGGAAATAATTCTTCCACACCCAATGGCCAACAGTTTGTAGGACAAACCCAGGATCCTCGTTGGGGAAGCGCACGAGGAGATTCTCATACATTTGTTGCGCAAGATATCTGGTACCAAATGGCATGCGGTACAAGAACTCTTCGAAAGCAGCAAAAAATTGATCAGCAATGTCACGCAAATCTTGCAAGTGCTGAATGAACGTCTCTCGAGTCTCTGGATCTCTGATGGCTTCTTCTCGTGGGAGATCCGGTCGCCGACGGCTGCGTTGACCCGTGCGAAGCTCCTCATTGTTGATGGAAGAGCGGTAAATTTGAATCGGATCACTCTCAAGGTCAAGGTCAGGGTTATCGATGACGGACTCCTTCACCACTGTGCCCAGAACATCACGCATGAACTTCCGGTCCCGAGGTGATTTGGCATATGAGCCAAAGAGCTTGTTCCAGAACGCGTGAGAGCGCAAGTATTCGGGAAGTGCGGTGAACGTTTCAATGTCTTCCTTGACGGAGCGAGTAAGAAGCTTGACAAGGTAGTATTCTTCGCGCCTCTTTTGCGAGTAACCAAAGAGACCCATCATCAAATGTCTGATGCGCTCATACTCCTTGTCCGAAGTGTTGAGCTCACGAAGGCGACGGAACAGTCTGGCGAGGTATTGGGACTGAGTCTGTAGGAGGAAGAAGAACACTTGGTACTGGTCTAACTTCTTTCTCGATGTCTTGTTCAAAGCCTTGAGGTCGTAGGGATCTTTGGAAGAAATGTCGGTGTTGGACAGAAGATTGCCGATGTGGCCACCAAAGTGTTTTTGGTGCTTGACAACTTCATCCAGGGTGATCTTGTTCTTGACAAGCAAGGCAATCTTGATGTCGAGCTGGCTGATGTACTGTTCTGCAAGTTCGTTTTGGCGAACCTGCTGGACGACCACCTTCCGCAACCGCTCAAATTCGATCTCCTCATCGAAATCAAAGTCGCTGTCATTCAGAAGGTGGACGAAGCCCTTCACGGTACCGACAGGTGGGTTCTTGCCACTTGTCAAACTCTTGTATGCCTGGCCTTGAATGCGGCCTCTGATGACACTTTGGGCCTTGATGACCTTCTCCATGTTTTCATTATAGTGTCGGCGTCGCTCCTCAAAGCGATTGCGGATCAGGCTACCCCTGATATGGGCCTGGAGATCGATGATAAATTCTTCCTCGTCTTCCAGATCAGCCAATGCCTGGCCAACTTGCACCCGTAAGAGCATAGCCCTCGACAATGCTTGAAGTTCAACGACCTCCTCTTCACTATCTTCAAGTCGTGCCAGAAGTCCTCCAACCTCAATGCGAAGCAATGCGGCACGTGCAAGTGACTGGAGGCTCACAACCAACTGCTCGTGCTTCTCAAGTTCTCTTCGCTCTGCTGCTAGGTGGTTTCGTTGCAGGACACCTCTGATCTTCCCTTGCAAGTCCAGGATGACACTCTCTTCCTGTCTCAACGAAGCCTGCTGGTCTTCCAGGAATTTTCTGGTCGCCCTGCCCCTAAGAATACCTTGAAGAAGAGTGACAGCAGATTGATGCTCGGCCAACTCTGAGCGAAGAATTGAATTGCTCTGTCGAACAGCAGCACCCCGTACCATTGCCTGTAGCGCGGTACATTGGTGTTCAGTCTTCGACAGAGCCTCCAACAGCTGCACGTGGCGTTTCTTAGATGCCAGGGAGCGGATAGTGGATTGAAGGAAGGTGATGGTATCGGTTTCGTGTTGAAGAGACGTCTTCACTTGAGACATGTGCTGACGAGCGAGATTTCCTCTAATCACTGCCTGCAGTGATCTGACCGGGCTGCTAGCTTGTTCAACTTCCCGAGACTGGACGCTCCTTTGTTTTCGTTGCAAAGCACCACGGATTACCGCTTGAAGAGTCGTAACATCGTTTTCAGCATAACGCGTTTCTTCATATTGGTCGGAGACAATTTTGCGTTGCAAAGCACCACGGATTAACGCTTGAAGCGCCGTAACATCGTTTTCAGCATAGCGCGTTCCTTCATATTGGTCGGAGACAATTTTGCGTTGCAGAGCACCTCGAATGGCAGCTTGGAATTGCTTGATCCCATTCTCCTCCCGGCGAGCGCGTGTCTGCAAGAGTTGAGTTTCTGCCCGCGCTTTCGAAGCACGAATCAGGCTTTGGAGTTGAAGAACATCGGTCTCCTGCGCCTCCCGCCATTGCTTCTCACCATTTTGTCGTCGGCGCACAATGAACCCACGGCTAATGGCTTGCAGCTGGACGGCAAATTGACGCATACTCAGCCGATACTGACTGATTTGTCGGGCCCAGTCCCCACGTAGGCGTGCTTGCAAATCGATCAACAAAGGCTCGAAATCCCAAAGGTCATTCATCATGGTGCCGAGCTTCAACCGCAGCATGGCACCCTTGATCTGGGCCTGGAAGTCTACAATCGACTGTTCACTTTCGTGTAGCTCGCGGTCAATCCGCTCCTCCTCTGACTCGACGGGCTCCAGTTCAGGTTCAGGCTCCGCACCGAAATTCGCGGCCATGCCTGCAAAGCTAGGCATGCTGACACCCGCCTTATCCAGGCCCTTTTGAGTCTGTTCAAGCTCGTGGTGCTCGAATTCAAGCTGACCAACCAAATTGCCCATGCGGAAGTCCAACATACCATTCTTAAAAAGTAACCAGGACAATGCATGAATGCAATGGATGACCTTTGGGATATTCTTCTTCTCGTAAAGGTCAATGAGCTCAAAACGGAACAATTCGGGCAGCTCCACGTCATCAAGGAATCGGAAGAACAAGGCGATGTTATCGGAATGGCGATATTGTAGCTTGGCATGTCGGAAGATACGCAAGACTCGATCCGGATACATGGCCTGCACCACCTCGGCGAGCGTCACACCATCTCGCAGAGCCTCCTCCAGACCAACAATGGGTGGAATCTCTTTCTGAATCACACTTTCAATCCATTCTTTGGCTTCTCCAATGTGACAAAGATATTCGTAGGCCTGTAGGAATTGTCGCTGTTGATCCATCCAGTTTCCAGCAGCCCAGGACGACACCTTGGGCTTCTCTGGGGACACCGCGCCGGTTCGTCCGCCCGCGACAGAATCCGCACGCTTCAATCGTCGTCGCCCTTGCATTCCCACCACGGATTGTGTTGCCGCACCGAACTGGAAATCATCATTGTCGCCGGACTGTGCAATCTTGGACAGGGTTCTGAGATGACGCGTCGATGACTTTTGGAAGGTCTCGAGTTCTGGTGCCGACAAGGCGGTAGTAAGCTGTGGAGGGTGAGGGCTATTTGATAGCGTTTTCTGAGGTGACGAGGGTCGCGATGACCCCGGCGTAGGGGTGGGAGACAGATGTTGAGGCGTTGTACCCCTTGGCGGCGTTTGCGACTCGAATGCAGCTGCTCTGTGTCGAGGTGATTCGTTCTCCTTGAAATGCACACGAGGCGACTCTGGAGTACTAGGCCGGTGCTCCTTTCCGATTCGTGACTCGTCGATAGTATTGCTACGAGAGTGTCGATATGGGAGCGGCTTGGCTGCTGAGGGTATGATGTTGGGAGCCTGTTGGAGAGGTCGTAGGGACCGTCGGATGTTCTCATATGTCGTCCCGGCATTTGACCAGCTTCCACCTCCACTGGAATCCATTGTCGCTGGGCCCGTCTCACTCTTTCCTCGATGGTGGCCTAGGCTGCTCTGGATGGAGGCATTTGAGGAAACTGTGCTTGTCCGGCTGGGAGCAAAGGAGCTGGAGGCGACTGAGTAGGCCGACGAGTTGGTTGACGCGGTTGATCCGTGTCGCAGAGGACTAGTTGACTGCCCTGGAAAATCCGTCTGGGCGCGCTTGAGCGATGGAAATTGGCTCGACATCGCTATTACCGTTGCGACAGGAATGCAAAACGCGGTGCAAAGAAGTTATCGTTCTCGATTGACCGCATCCCTGCTCCTAAAGCAGAAGCGGGGGGCGTTGTTTAGTCCAATCCAGGCTCTCGTAGCCCGATGTCTTTGTTGATAGTGAATCCTCGGAATGTGAGCTCAAGCACGTAGTCGCATCCGTTTGGTGACTAGGGGAGAGAGTAGTTTCGAGACAGGGGAGGGGTAGTCGAAGAAATGGTGAGAACCCGAATAAGACACGGGCAGGAATTGATGAGGCAACTCCGATGATGGAATTCTTGTTGACGGTAGTCGGACGGTGGGGGGTAAACTGGGCAGGTGCGACCGGGATTCCCCAAGCCCAAACGGGACAGTCCCAAAACAAATCTCCCAGTCAGGTCTAGCGTCGATCAGGTGATCGCCGTCGATCCTCAGCCACTCTTTGCTTTCTCTTTCCGTCTCTTCTGGACTATCGGAACCTGGCTGGTCCGACTGATGCTTAATGAAGAGGTTGGCGAAAGCTTTCGGCTATGTTATGGCCATCAGATTTCTCTTTCCGTGTCTATCCCGTGTCGGACGTGTCAAACCAGGGCAGGATAGTTGCAGTCTTGGCGTTGGCCGAGATCGATTTGACCAGTTTGAGAGGGTCTCGTAGTCCCGTGCGACCATCGCCTTCTGCCCGCAGTCCACCCTGCCCCTCCCACTAACATGATACCCGATCGGTCAAACTCGGTTTGATTTGGTCTATAATCCACTCTATTCCTTATTATATTTGAATCTATATATCAAGTATGCTCTTAGTTGTAGCTTACAGATCTCTAGTAGACCATTCGATCTCTAATTGTGATCGTGAAGCACTACGTATATATATCCGGGGCCGCCGAAAGTTCGATATAACATAGCAAACCTATAGAAACCCAGATTCAAACCCATCAGTATTAGCTCATAGTTCCCACCTGGATCTTGAAACCAAGTAATTAGAAAATCTCCGCAAATATCACAACCTCCATCCATTTTACTACTCGATCGTTCATGGCTTATAGCTGCATGATTTTAAGTGTCTTGTCAGTCGAACCGCTAACCCCACCAACCTGGGGGATAACGCAAGAATCATGACATGGGCCCAACCGCAAAAACTTCCCGCTGTAACCAACCTTTCCTCTCAATTCTCTCTTAGTCCACTACCCATAGGTCCACCAGCCTTCAGCAGCTGCACTGTCAAATAACAATCATGGCGACACTCGAAACCCAGCCCAGATATATTTACAAGATCGTCCCCTCCACGGCCCCAGTCCGCGAGCCACTTCCCGATCGACTGCCAGTCAGCGAATTGGATCAGAACTCCGGATTTGTCCACCTCTCAATGGCATCGCAGGTGCCTAATACCCTGAAGTTCTTCTTTAGCGAGGAGCCACTCGTGTATATCCTACGCATTAACTATGCGGACGTGATCCAGGATATTCGTTGGGAGTCGCCAGACGGAAAAGTGTGCGGTCCTCGGCCGGGGAGAGGGACTATTCCCGGTAAGCCGGAATATTCGTTGGCTTTCCGTTTAACATAATAGTTTACTAACTCGGAGTTGAAATTATAGCACTTGTATAATGGACTCAAACTAGGCAAGGATGAAGTGGAGAGCATCGCGATTTGGCAGAATGATGGAGGATGGGATAAGGCCCTGGATGGCGCAAAGCCTTGGCTCGTGTACTGATAAAAATTCCATGATATTTTGGTTGATTACAATGACAATAGCTTCAGGAAAGAGGCGACGAGTGAAATCTAGTCTTCAACCACTCAATGAGTCTCAATACATTACTACTATCGGGTAGAATACCAAGCGCGCCAGTGAGGCATCTAGTCCCCGAGTGGATAACAGTGCAGAACCTGCCCGTCTACATATCAAAATTCAGATTAGCTTCATGCCGCGACAATGCAGACATCCTAACGACAGAGACGAGGAATCTTCGTTCAGTTTGGAAATGTACTTACAATACAGTGAAGCATCCGCACTCGCCAGGAATACGAAGCTGGTTGCAACCTCACTGGGCTGGCCGGGTCGACCTAGACCTGCTTTTGAACCCCAACCCTCCATTTGTTCAGCCTCACGGGTGTCAACTTGGATAGGTGTGTAGATTGCGCCTGGTCTGGACCAATCTTGAGTTTAGCCCTCGAACTTGATCGTAAATAAAGATAGCATTGCTTACGCAACGGCATTGACACGAATGCCTTTCGGGATCAAATGCGCCCCTAGCGATTTAGTGAAGCCGATGATGGCGCCTTTGGTTGCAGCGTAGTCGACCATTGTACCTGATCCTCGGAATGTTACGACAGAGGAAGTATTGATGATACTGATTGAATATGTGAGCGTCTTGCAAACCCAAGGGCTGAAAGGATCGGACGTACGAATCGCCTCGACACATATGAGGGAGAGCGAACTTCGCCATGGCAATCATCTGGATGATGTTGGTTTTAAAAATATCCTGTGTTTTCTCGAGATCAATCTCAGAGAAATCCTTGCAAATGTATTGTTTCGACGCATTATTGATGAGTACGTTGACTTTGCCGAACCTATATGAGCCCAAGAGTCAGCATGTCGTTATCACAGGGGAGAAGAAGCATTGTTCTCATACTTTGCTACATGCTTCTCCACGGCCTCACGGCAAAAATCCAGGTCTCTCAAGTCTCCGCAGATAAGAAGGCAATGGACACCCTCCTTCTCCACCAGGTCTTTGGTGGTCTCTGCATCCACTTGCTCTGCCGGGAGAAATACAATGCTGATATCAGCTCCCTCTCTTGCCATTAGAATGGCAACCGAGCGGCCAATTTCAGAGCTAAGCCGAGATTAGATATTGTGGAAATGAAATAGCTTATAATATTCAAGGGCTATCATACTCCCCTCCAGTGATGAGAGCCTTCTTCCCTTTGAGTTTCCCCGAACCGGCATACTCAACAAAGTCCCCTGGTCCTTCCAATTTGCTCGACTCGCTCGGGAATGCTAATTTACTCTCCAGACTGGATTGATTCAGCTCAAGTGATACACAGATGGAACATATGCTCATAGGTCTTACCCAGGCTTCGATTGACTTTGTGCTACTGGTGACGCCTTGAACGCACCATGCTCACCCATTGGAGATGACATCTTGCGGCGATAATATTGTGACTTTCCCCACAATTAGTGTAGAATAAAAGCAAAATGAGGTTGAGTGATTGTGAAAGGAGTAAATTGTCCATTCGAAAAGAATTCCCAGAGAAAGACGACTATATTACTCTCTACCAGGATGTCGTCATTGTGTTGTAGGAACCCGGACCTGGGAGCAAATGACCTATTTGCCAATTTTATACCACCTTATTTGTTGTTTACCCATGGATCAGGTATAAGGAACTTAATGCGGGCAGTTTCTACTTCGGTCAACGAGTCTGTTAGTACTTGTGCCTGGCCTATATCATGGGGTATTTGGGTTTCTTCTTGATGTGGACATGTTTGCCTGGGAGTATAAATTTTGAGCTATAAACTCTAGCCTAGTTGCACTTTATATGGGTTATCTAGCTGAACAGTCCTATTTCCAATCTATAGAACCCGTGGTTAGCTAACTACCTACTCTTCCTCTCCTCTTACTCGGTCATCGTCATCATTCCTAAGCAGCCAGTCCTCACCGCCCGACGGAAACTCGGTAACCAGCCAATGGCCGTCGTGAGGGGTGAAAAAAGCTTGAGCGCTAGTCCCAAAGTGGGAAAGGGCCGCTGGTCGCAGAAAAAAAGAAAAGGAAGAGACTGCCCGCTCGAACTTTTTCTTCTTCTTTCTTTTCTTTGGGAAAGCTGGTCTCTCTCCATCAACAGATTGTTTGTCTTCTGTTGATCAATCTTCTCTTTTTTTTTCTTGGATACCCCATATTCTCTGATTTCAGAGTCTCATTCTTTTCAAATATGCCCATTACCAACAAGGACGCCACGCCTGGTGCTGCCATGAAGGCCGAGATCGAGGACTACACCAAGGCCCTCGAGGTCGTGAAGACCTACACCAACCAGGATGGTCTCGATGTGGACACCCTGCTGGACTCGGACAAGCACGGAGCTCTGACCTACAATGACTTCCTGCTCCTGCCTGGTTATATCGGTAAGCTGGACAGATTCGAGGATTTGGCGAGGCCTATGTGTTAATGATGCCGATTAATAGGCTTCCCTGCCTCCGATGTTAGCCTGGATACCCCAATTACCAAGCGCATCACCCTGAAGGCTCCTCTTGTGTCCTCTCCCATGGACACCGTCACCGAGCACAACATGGCTATCCACATGGCCCTGCTCGGTGGTCTTGGTGTCATCCACCACAACTGCGCTCCTGAGGACCAGGCCGAGATGGTCCGCAAGGTGAAGAGATACGAGAACGGTTTCATCCTGGACCCCGTTGTTCTCTCCCCCAAGGCTACCGTTGGAGAGGCCAAGGACCTGAAGGCCCAGTGGGGTTTCGGTGGCTTCCCCGTCACTGGTAAGTTGACTGAAAAAAATTTTCCGCTTCACCCAACATTGCCCCACCTTTTGCATGATGAACAAACCTTTTCATTATAACTTTCGTTCCACTGGCAGCAACGAGAGTTGCACTGTAGAGAAACTTTTTATCTGATCTTGTCCCCAACAAACTCAATGTGTTTCACTCACAATGTTCACTTGGCCTGAATGCTAACGATGACTCTGTGACAGAGAACGGTACCCTTCGCTCCAAGCTGATTGGTATGGTCACTTCCCGTGACATCCAGTTCCACAAGGACCTTGATGAGCCCGTCACTGCCATCATGGCCACTGATCTGGTCACTGCCCCTGCCGGTACCACTCTTGCCGAGGCCAACGAGGTCCTCCGTCAGTCCAAGAAGGGCAAGCTGCCCATCGTTGATGCCTCTGGCAACCTCGTCTCTCTCCTTTCCCGCTCCGATCTGATGAAGAACCTCCACTACCCCCTTGCCTCTAAGCTCCCCGACTCCAAGCAGCTCATCTGTGCTGCTGCCATTGGTACTCGTGAGGAGGACAAGTACCGCCTCAAGCTGCTTGTCGAGGCCGGTCTGGACATTCTTATCCTGGACTCTAGCAACGGCAGCAGCATGTACCAGATTGACATGCTCAAGTATGTCAAGAAGGAGTTCCCCCAGATTGATGTCATCGCTGGTAACGTTGTTACCAAGGAGCAGGCTGCTATGCTTATTGCCGCCGGTGCCGATGGCCTGAGAATTGGCATGGGTGCCGGTAGTGCTTGCATTACCCAGGAGGTTATGGCCGTCGGTCGTCCCCAGGCTGCCGCCGTCCGCAGCGTGTCCGCTTTCGCTGCTCGCTTCGGCGTTCCCTGCATTGCCGATGGTGGTGTCCAGAACATCGGTCACATCGTCAAGGGTCTGGCCCTTGGCGCTAGCACCGTCATGATGGGTGGTCTTCTGGCCGGTACCACCGAATCCCCCGGCGAGTACTTCGTCAGCAACGAGGGTCAGCTCGTCAAGTCTTACCGTGGTATGGGCAGTATTGCCGCCATGGAGGACCGCAAGGCCGGTGGTAACAGCAAGGACAACAAGGCCAACAAGGCCAGCAACGCTGGTACCGCTCGCTACTTCTCTGAGAACTCCCGCGTCCTGGTCGCCCAGGGTGTCGCTGGCTCCGTCCTGGACCGCGGCTCCGTCAACAAGTTCATCCCCTACCTCGTTACCGGTGTCCAGCACTCCCTGCAGGATATGGGTGTCAAGTCTCTTGATGAGCTGCACGACGGTGTCAACAAGGGTCTTGTTCGCTTCGAGATGCGTAGCGCTAGCGCCCAGGTCGAGGGTAACGTCCACGGCCTGCACAGCTACGACAAGAAGCTTTACGCGTAAATGCAAAATTTTTTTGAATGATGGATGGTTTTTCCCCGCTGTGAATATGACTTGAGAGGGAATTTCCGCATGATGCTACGGGTTCGAAAATAACAAAAATGGGGTATGATAAGGGCTGGAGTTAGATTCGAGGAGTTACGCTTTTTATTTAATGAGCATATATTGTTCCAACGAGTTACTCGTTTATTCTATGCAAACTTCATCCACATTCGTAGCTGTTGCACTGTAGTATGCTTGAGAAGTAACCGAAGCCGAAGCACATGGCGAGGCATGTCGGCTAGCACCGATGTGGTCAAGGCGGGCGCGGGGTACAGGGATAAGCCTAGGCTCTCGGGTCAATGATCATTTGACTATAAACACCCCCAAGGGCAAAGCTATACCGGCGCTGGGAGATGTCTATCATACTTCCCAAGTCCCTCTGCAGCCGCTGGTTAGCATCTGTCTTTGCACAGCCACTCAGGATTCGACAATCCCGGTTACCATCCTCCATCCCTCGGCCTTGGCTAGTATTACCGAACGGAAGCCGACGAGATTCTTCTGCTAGAGGTTACTCAACAAGTTCAATCCCAGCCACATCTTCACCTCAAGTTCACAAAATGCCGCGCGCGAAAGGCGATAGCGAGGGGAAGAAACAGCCTGCATTGGCTCGGCCCAGCTCTAGGTAAGCCATTACCTGGCGGCTATGCTCGCATCGCGCAGTTCATGTCCCGGTTAAGCGGAACAGAAGGTCACCCTCAAAAGACCGCGTTTTTGAGAAGCGAAGAACTTTGTACTAACAATGTATTAGTGTGATTCTGGTCTCGCCCAAGAACGAGATCCTGCTTCTTCATCGGGTTAAGACATCGACTTCGTTCGCGTCTGCCCATGTCTTCCCTGGTGGAAACCTGTCTAGCCAAGATGGTCCATGCCCGCCTGTAGAAGACCTCTCTAGGCATGAAGATGGCCCTCATTACCGACGGGCAGCAATTCGAGAGCTGTTTGAGGAGAGTGGAATTCTCCTTGCCAAAGATGGGAGCTCGGGCAAGATGCTTGTTGTTGATGAAGCAACACGTGAGCAAGGTCGAAAACTCATTCATCAGAATAAAGTCACATTCGACGAGTGGCTGAAGCAGCAACATCCCAATGCTGAGCCTGATACAGGTTAGTGGTTATTCTTAACACCCCGGTTACTCGGCCCCTAGCTAACATGTGAAAGACCAATTGATCCCCTTCAGCCGCTGGGTTACTCCAACTACGAACCCCAGGCGCTATACAACTCAAATGTATATCTACTTTATGCCACTTCCCGTGAATGCGGATAAGAAATTACTGGACGAGCTGCCAAAGGAAGGCGAGCGTGAAGAAATCCAAGTCCCCTCCAGCGATGGTGGAATTGAGGTCACAGAAGCACAGTTCCTCCCAGCGGCGGAGTGGCTGCGTCGCGCACAAAGTGCAGAGATCATCCTCTTCCCACCTCAATTCCTCCTACTGCACTTGGTGTCTGGCTTCCTTGACAAGGACCCTCGATCGGGTATTTCTGTGGAGGAAATGGAAAAACGCCGAGCAGGCCTGGTCGAGTTCGTGCACTCGGGCTCACCCGCTTGGACACACAAGTGCATTTCACCCAAGATGATGAAAGTCATGGAGGATGGACGTGCAGTTCTAGCGCTACATGATCCGGGTCTTGAGTTGAAGGGGTCTAACCGACGAGGCGAGTCGGAGTATGTCGTTCTTGTGCGGTTTACCAAGGGAACTGCGAGGGAGGTGACCGTGGCCTGGAGGAAGGATATCTTCAAAGAAGAGCGGAGTAATCTTTAGACTATACATCCGTCCAGTCTCTGCTCCCATAAATTCTATCTACATAGTATAGATTAGAAGAATACTACTGTACTTGTACATGTCCTGATCAGGCGAATCCGAAAGTATGGGTCCACAATATTGCCACGGCCGTAGATAAGGGTATAGTGGTAAATCTACGCCCACCGCCTTCCGGCCACGCCAGCCCTCGACAAATGGTCACATGACCCACACAAATCATTTGAGTCTTTGATTTTATGGGCCACCGAAAAACCCACCACCTCCAACCTCACCGTCGCCCGTCGAAACCCCCCATACACAATCAGCCAAAATGGAGAACGAGAAGGGAGAGATCGTCGATCTGTACGTGCCTTTATCCTCGAATTCGCTTTCGTCATCATCTACTCGGTGTCCTGTGTCTGGTTGTCTGCATCTACGAAACCTCGCGGCTCCGATTTCGCTGCGCAAAGCGATGGAATAATCGGGGACTGTTCGAAACGAACTGGAAAAACCAAACACCCTGGCGAAAATTCTGCGACTTCAGTGCGAGCAACCAGGACCAGGACACCCATTGGATCATGGAGGGAACAATTATTCGATATCGAATATGTTGAACATGCAAGAAACTAACGTCTTCTTCTTCTCTTCTCAACAGCTACGTGCCCCGCAAGTGCAGCGCCACCAACCGCATCATCAAGGCCAACGACCACGCCTCTGTCCAGATCTCCGTCGGCAAGGTTGACGAGAACGGCCGCTACACCGGCGAGAACCAGACCTACGCCATGTGCGGTTTCATCCGTGCCCGCGGTGAGAGCGACGACTCCCTCAACCGCCTCGCCCAGCGTGACGGTTACCTCAAGAACGTGTGGACCGCCTCCCGCCAGCGCTAAATTTGCCCGCTGAGGTGTGGTTTGCATTGGAGGGTGTTGACGGGTTGATATGATGTGAGTGATTTACTCGATATACGCATGTCTGTCTGTCTATACGGGGTGCTGACCATTGTGCAATAGAACGAACTGTGACTTAGATCGGTCCAGTTTGAAGGATCGGTTATGAGAAAAAAGGGGAGGAGGAGTACTAATGATGTCTCCTTCGGTTTTGAATTTTTTCTTTCCTTCGGGAGGGAGCCCTGTTTTCCTACTGTCCTATCTATCGAAATGAAAAATGGAATCGACGACTTCATGGGTCCGGTTTTCTTTTAACGATTGCCACCCGTTCAATCTTCCCTTCGCCCTTGCTTTGCTCTTTCCGATAGATATGACTCGGGAAGCGACATCCTTCTCGAGTCTTCAATCCGCCAGCACCCAGCCAAAAGGGAGGGGGAAAAAACGAAAGTTAACAAAAAATGAATTCAAAAAAGCCTAAAAAAAGACCACAGCCCTTTCCTATTTTACTTCTTGACTTGCATACACCGGCACATCAAGGCTTCCTCACCCCTGTGGACTCGGAAACCGGGTTGCTCACGCGATCTGTGATTCTGATGTCTGCTTGCCATGGGCGAGGAAGTAGAAATAGCACATCCAGCCGAATATTATATCCAAAACCCGCCTTCTGAAGAGCCACCGTTGCAGAGATCCATGTACTGGGGCACAGATACGGGTGGGACATCCCTTTTGTAGATAACTCGTGTAGTTTGAGTTGTTCGAGTGATTGGCTTGTCGTCTTTCTATTTCTCTCATAGTAGGTAGGTAATCATGCAATTATGATGAAGCTTTCCGGTATCATACGCTTGTTCTCAGTAAAGTTTCTTAGGAACTCAATACAGGTAGTCAGGATTATGGCAATATCTGAGCTTGCACTTCCAGTGTCTTCCTTCCATACATCCTAGTCGTTATCTAAGACGTATCTACTGTGTTCCACGATGCTCTGTTAGGGGTTTTAATTCATTTCTCCTCATCCATCATGACATGCAATACGTTGTCGTCCACATGAACTCGTGATTTAAGTAGACTCCCTGGGATTCATAATCCCAAGGCTTCCACAGACCAAGACACAATTGATAAAGAAAAAAACAAGGTTTTTAATCTATGAACAAGCAAATCACCCAGGTCTCGTTAGGTCTGAGCTTCTTTTTACTCCTTCTCCAGACGCACAGCCGGGTTGGTCTCGATGAAGTTCAGATCGACCTTGTGGCCAAGCAGCTCACGAATGTTGCTGACACCGTACCTGAAGAAGAGGTTAGAATACTTGTCACTTAGAAATGAACGCCGTGAGGGACTTACTTAATCATGGTAGGACGCTCCAGACTCAATCCCCAACCGTAAACTCTCATATCCTTGGGGATACCCATGGACTCCAGCATCTCAGGCCGGAACATACCACTGTTACCAATCTCCACCCACTTACCCAGACCCTCGTGGTAACCGAAGATCTCCATACTAGGCTCGGTGTAAGGGTTGTAAGCAGGCTTGAAGCGGAGCTGGTGAATGCCCATCTTGGCGAAGAAGACCTCCATGAAGCCAATCAGACCACCCAGAGTGAGGCCAAAGTCGGCAATGACACCCTCAATCTGGTGGAACTCTGCCAAGTGAGTGGCATCGACGGCCTCGTTTCGGAAGACACGATCGATACTGAAGAAGCGGGCCGGCCGCGGGTTGGCGGCGAGCTTGTGCAGCACGTACGCCGAGATGGAGGTGGTGTGGGTGCGGAGCACGAGACGGAGAGACTCATCGGCGTTCCAGGGGTAGCGGTAGCCGATAGAGCCGAACTTGCCGTGCTCGTGGACCTCGTGCACGTTATCCCAGTACTGCTGGTAGTCCACGGCGGGCGTGTCCTTGGTTGCTTGCGAGGCAGGCTGGGCGGCCTTGGGGCGGTGCGGGTCGTTGAGGGGATCCTCGCGAGGGGGGTCGGCCTTGAGAGGGTCGGCGATATAGAAGGTATCTTGAAGGTCACGAGCAGGGTGTTGCTGGGGCACGAAGAGGGCGTCGAAGTTCCAGAAGCCGGTCTCGACGTAGCGGTTGGTCGGCATCTCCTCGAAACCCATCTCGAAGAAGATGTTGCGGAACTCCGCGCGCACCTTGTTCAGCGGGTGCAGCGTACCGGCAGGAGTGATGGCACCCTTGGCGTTGAAGTTGTAGGGCTTCAGCTGGGCAGTCTTCCAGGAGCCGTCGGCGAGCATCTCGGGGGTGAGGTCGGTCTCCTCCTTGACGAACTCTCGGGCATACTTGGGACCCTTGGAGATCTTGTAGGCGATGTCCTTGGAGGCGGAGACCAATTTCCTCCGCTTGAGGTCGGCGAGGGCCTTCGCATCGCTTACGGTCTTGGTCTTTTGCACGGCGAGCAGTTGCTCACGGGTCTCGTCGACGATAGTCTCCTTGACAGCACGCAGCTTATCATTGTCCTTCTTAATCCAACCGCGCTTGAAGGCATTGCCCTGGCCAACCTTGGCATTGTCCTTCCCCACCAGGCCCGGCAAGTCGCTAATCTTCAGGCCGTCGAGAGCGGCGACGACAGCGGCAAAGACCTTGGCCTCGTGACTGCCATTGGCGGCAATCTCTTCACCCTCGGAGGTGAGCACAATGACTTCCTTCTCCAGAGTCTCATATTCAATCATCTGTCGCGACCCCAGGCGGTCCAGCGCACTTTTGACATTCGATGAGGGGTGGGAGGGGAAGGCTTCGTTGGAAAAGATGGGCGCATCGGACACGGACAGGGCGTCCAGGACGGGCTTTGTGAGGTCGGACGCCATGACTGCAGCCGTATCCTGCAGAGGGATATTTTTGGCGAAAAGCGGTTTGGAGAGGAGGGGAATCGGTCTTTTGCGGTGCCGGCCAAAAATCACGATGACTCTTTTCCCAGTATCGGATTCCGGCGAGGCACAGCGACCACTTCTGCCGTTTCACCCCGCCATCGGGTGCCTCAGTCCACACTTTCTGGCCGGAGTATATGGTAGCAGCATAGTCGAAGTGATCGTTTACCGTCCTGAGGCTAAGAAGTTTCAGAATGCCTTCAGTCATGAAGTACAGTATAATAAATTCTGCACATACTGTCCATCAGTAGGAGTAAACTTGAATCACCATCCTATCCTAGTCTAAGGTCTCGTCATACAATTGTCTACCTAGACACCTAAAAGAGTTAGGTGTCTAGGTTTTCGAGGTACTAATCCTCAGCTAGTTACCTGCATTTTATTGATTTGTCGTTTCCCAATGCCGCCCATCTCGAGTACATACTAATAGTCACTAGATGCCTGTGTAAGGCTGTAAGTCCTCTCCAGATCCCGACAGTAAGATTCGGGCGATCTATCGATCGGACAGATAGTGACTGAGTACCTCCGCCCCGGCCTTATCATCGCCTATTTCTCCCTGATTTTCTCTGACATACACCGTGTTAGACGCTAAGTTATTCAACTGGCTGAGGATTGACCGCTGGATGCATAGTCTTCATTTATCTCCGAGTTAATCCCTGCGGTCAGTGTGTTTGCCCTCAACATTTGTTCGTTGCCCATTCGTCAGGGCGCTGCGCTGTCACGTCGTCGTTGCAAAAGTACTCTCCCAACGTCGGTCAGCAGTATATGCACCATGACTCCAGGATGAGATCATCTATTCTCCTTAATACTTGATCCTGAGAGCAAGATCGGCCATTTTTATGAATCCAGTGACCGGGGAACAGCCCTCTCGGATCTCCGGCGGTCAAGGATTCCCCAAGCGCAAGGGCTTCACAAGAGAGACGGGGGATTCTCTCAGGTACGAGTACCGTTGGAACCTTACTCCAGGCCGAAATACAAAATTATGATCCATAAAACGGGGGAGTCTGGCACCACCAATCGCTTGCGACCGTAGAGGCTCAGAAAACGGCTCAGCCACAGGCTCGTTACCGAGGTGGGATCAACCTTGTTCAGTCAGCAGCGGTCAATCAGTCAGTTTTCAATCTGTTCAATTCCAGTATGGGGCTGTGGCACAACCTCCCCGAGACAACGAACCTCCCGAGTCCACTTTTCACTGGCTCGCACTAAGGTTCGTCGACTGGATCTTCCCCACTTGGTTTACCCAGAGGACCATTGGGCGTTGACTCTTTCTCCTATCGGACTGCTCTGTCAGGGTGTGTGTGTCTCTTGAGCGCCGCACATTCTCTGGCTAACTGGCTTGCCAAGGAGTTTCTCCTAAAGAGCCACGGTGGTAGACAATATAATCAAGTATTCAAGAGGGTCAGAAGGAAGGGGGTTGATAGATCATTGAAGCCCGGGGTCAAGATTTTGAAGCCCTGCGATCGCCACTAGGCGAACATAGTTTCAGCGATGATCCTCACGCTTTTCAGCCCGGTCATTTGCAGAGCGGGCCCAAGGGAGGACGGCAGAGGCTCTTTAGGGGTGTGTCGTATCCAGGAGGTCTGGTGTATGGGAGTGTGTAGACGGGTTGGAATACTCGGAGTCGATATCACTGGAAGATTGGCCGACCATAGTTATATAACGGGTTACCTATTGAAGTCGTCTGATAAATACCCTGGTTCTGCGGGTGAACTCTATCGTCGTGCATTTCTGTCCGTGCGTTGGCATCACTTGCAAGTCGGAGTCGGAGTCACTTGGACAGGCTCATGCAAACGCCGTTATACAGAGAGAGCATTGGTTTTTTCTGCGGTAAATGTGGATGTGAATAAATGGTGGACGAAGTGTTCCCCTAAGATTGGGTAAACACGTTTGAATCCGAACCTAATAATAATCGAAGACTCACGATTAAAAGAGTGATATTAAGTAACTATAGTAGTAGTAGTTAGCTAACTAGTAGTTATGTTATAGCACTACTAGAAAGAACTAAAGACCCTCTCCTCTCTTTCTCTCTCCACCGTTTCCCAAAAAATCCTAAAAAATCTAAGCAGCCCATCGGCATCGCCGCCCCTTTTGAAATATTCTTCTCCCCCCTCCAAGTGATTCTGATCGGCTCTCCCTCCACTTTGGGATCGTTTCGTCCTTCCCCTCCCCTGGGAATTGTAATCTGCCGGATCCTCAGATTCCCTCTGCCTTTTTCTTTTCTTCCCATACCTTATTTCCCTGGCCTTCCACTTCCCCCGCAAAGAACGCGTCGCTTACATAACCGCCCGGGCGTCCGTTCTCCCCTCCCCCTTCGTCCTGAACGTCCTGAACTCCTTCTCTCTCTCAGGGTTCCCTTTCGACATCTTCGATTTCCCCCGAGTCACTCGGGACGTCCCTGGACAAGTCCCTCATCGTCGTCCCGCCAAAGAATACCCTGGAACATCTGGAATCGCCTCATGTTGCTCTAACCAGCTCGTTGGATCTGTCGTGTCAGGAACCCGTCCCAGTAAGTTTGTTGCTCGTCTTGGACTCCGCTTCGGCGTTCGACCGTCCCGAACTCCCTTTTTTTTTGGGCAGGATGGTTCCCCATCCTAGCCCAACAACACCTCATGGTGTCAAAGGAGAGAGCTCTTGGTTTGCAGAGTCTCCCGGACAGACGACGCGAGAACTTGGAGTTCTGGCTTCTGTATATCATCACGGCCCTGGATGATCGACTAACCAGGTCTTAGGGCACAATGACTGGTGCGGACGAGACTCTTGTGGCCGCGACGGCGGTGCTGCAGTCTCTCGCGAGAGACGAGCCCACCACCGGCTCTGCATCCCCTCCCTTTGATTTCGAATTTCCCTCGTCCAACGGTGCGAAATCCTCCAAACTGCCCGGGGACCCCAGCCCAGCAAAGGTCGCCTTCGAAGCCGAGTTGGAGGCCTTGGTGCGCCGCGTGCACCACCTGGAATTCCAAGCTGTCAGTCATCACAAACTCCCCGACAATCCCCAGCAGACCACCGCGTCTGCCATCGGATCCAACGAGAAGGACCCTGATTTTCTGTGGACCTTCGGGCTCGATCGCTTGTCGTCCGGTCAAGGTTCTGACTCTTCTTATTGCCTCACACAGCAGCAAAAACTGAATCAACCCGATCGGCGACAGCGGACCCCATCGGGCCCCGAAGAAAAATCCCCTCGTCCACCCCAACAACCCGCCCCGACAGGAGACCTTGATGAAGACGATACCGACGAGGAGGATGAGACCGGTGCCACACGTGTGGTGCGCGAGGAGGACATCAGCATCCTTCGTAATCATGTGCAAAAGCAAGCTGAGGAGATTAGCTTCCAGAAGGATATCATAGCACAGGTTCGCGACGAGTTGCAGAAGCAGGAAGAGCACACCCGCCGTGCGCTCACCAAGGTCGAAAACGAAGACGTCGTCTTGCTCGAACGGGAGCTTAGGAAGCACCAGCAGGCTAACGAAGCCTTCCAAAAGGCCTTACGAGAGATCGGTGGCATCATCACGCAAGTTGCCAATGGTGATCTCTCGATGAAGGTTCAGATCCACCCCTTGGAGATGGACCCCGAAATCGCCACATTCAAACGCACCATCAACACCATGATGGACCAGCTGCAAGTCTTTGGTAGCGAAGTGTCTCGAGTCGCCCGCGAAGTCGGAACGGAGGGTATTCTCGGTGGTCAAGCTCAAATCACCGGTGTCCACGGTATCTGGAAGGAGCTCACGGAGAACGTCAACATCATGGCCAAGAATTTGACCGATCAGGTGCGAGAAATCGCGGCCGTCACCACAGCCGTCGCCCACGGTGATCTGAGTCAGAAGATCGAGAGTCGTGCTCAGGGTGAAATCTTGGAACTGCAACAAACGATCAACACCATGGTGGATCAACTTCGGACCTTTGCCACGGAAGTCACTCGAGTCGCACGCGATGTCGGTACGGAAGGTGTACTAGGAGGTCAGGCTCAAATCGAAGGTGTTCAAGGAATGTGGAACGAACTCACAGTCAATGTCAACGCCATGGCCAATAATCTTACCACACAAGTGCGTGATATCGCCACTGTCACCAAGGCCGTCGCCAAGGGTGACCTGACGCAGAAGGTGCAAGCTAACTGCCGTGGAGAAATCGCTGAACTGAAAAACATTATCAACTCCATGGTGGATCAACTCCGACAGTTCGCGCAGGAAGTCACCAAGATCGCCAAGGAAGTCGGTACCGATGGTGTCCTTGGTGGCCAAGCCACCGTGAATGATGTGGAAGGCACCTGGAAGGATCTCACCGAGAATGTCAACCGCATGGCCAACAACCTGACCACTCAGGTGCGTGAGATTGCCGATGTCACCACGGCCGTCGCAAAGGGCGATTTGACCAAAAAGGTCACTGCCAACGTGCAGGGTGAGATACTAGATCTCAAGAGTACCATCAACGGTATGGTGGATCGTCTGAACACGTTCGCTTTCGAGGTCAGCAAGGTCGCACGTGAGGTCGGCACCGATGGTACCCTTGGAGGTCAGGCCAAGGTGGACAATGTAGAAGGAAAGTGGAAGGATCTCACCGATAATGTGAACACCATGGCACAGAATTTGACGTCCCAGGTGCGAAGTATCTCGGACGTGACGCAAGCTATTGCCAAGGGTGACCTTAGCAAGAAGATCGAGGTGCACGCTCAGGGAGAGATTTTGACCCTCAAGGTAACCATCAATCACATGGTGGGTCGTTTGGCCAAGTTCGCAACAGAACTGAAGAAGGTCGCTCGCGATGTGGGTGTCGATGGAAAGATGGGTGGTCAAGCAAACGTGGAGGGCATCGCAGGAACCTGGAAGGAAATCACCGAGGACGTGAATACCATGGCCGAAAACCTCACGTCTCAAGTTCGTGCGTTTGGTGAGATTACTGATGCCGCCACGGATGGTGATTTCACCAAGCTCATCACTGTCAACGCTTCGGGTGAAATGGACGAACTGAAGCGAAAGATCAATAAGATGGTTTCCAACCTACGAGACAGTATTCAAAGGAACACCGCCGCCAGGGAGGCTGCCGAGCTTGCCAATCGCACCAAATCCGAGTTCCTGGCCAACATGTCTCACGAGATCCGAACTCCAATGAACGGTATCATTGGTATGACCCAGCTTACGCTGGATACCGACGATCTGAAGCCGTACACGCGGGAGATGCTGAACGTGGTTCACAACCTGGCAAACAGTTTGCTCACAATCATTGATGATATTCTTGATATCTCAAAGATTGAAGCCAACCGGATGGTCATCGAGAGCATTCCATTCACTGTTCGCGGTACTGTGTTCAACGCACTGAAGACTCTGGCTGTGAAGGCGAATGAGAAGTTCTTGAGCCTCACTTACCAGGTCGATAACACGGTTCCCGATTATGTCATTGGTGATCCCTTCCGTCTGCGCCAAATCATTCTCAACTTGGTTGGTAACGCGATCAAGTTCACTGAGCATGGTGAAGTGAAACTCACCATCCGCAAGTCTGATCGTGAGCAATGCACCACCGACGAATACGCCTTTGAGTTCTCCGTCTCCGACACCGGTATTGGTATTGAGGAGGATAAGTTGGACTTGATCTTTGACACTTTCCAACAAGCAGATGGTTCAACCACCCGTAGGTTCGGTGGTACCGGTCTCGGTCTGTCGATCTCTAAACGCCTGGTGAATCTCATGGGTGGTGACGTCTGGGTTACCTCCGAGTATGGACATGGTAGTACCTTCCACTTCACTTGCGTGGTGAAGCTTGCCGACCAGTCCCTGAACGTCATTGCTTCTCAGCTTCTGCCATACCGGAACCATCGGGTGCTCTTCATCGACAAGGGTCAGAACGGTGCCCAGGCCACGAATGTCATGAAGATGCTCAAGCAGATCGAACTGGAGCCTTTGGTGGTGCGCAACGAAGAGCATGTTCCGCCGCCCGAGATCCAAGATCCCTCCGGAAAGGAGTCTGGACATGCATACGATGTCATCATCGTAGACTCTGTGGACACTGCTCGCATCTTGCGCACATTCGACGAGTTCAAGTACATCCCCATTGTTCTTGTCTGTCCTTTGGTCTGCGTCAGCTTGAAGTCCGCCTTGGATCTTGGTATCAGCTCTTACATGACAACGCCTTGCCAGCCTATCGATATGGGTAATGGCATGCTCCCTGCGTTGGAGGGTCGGTCGACCCCGATCACCACCGATAACTCCCGTTCATTCGACATCCTTCTGGCTGAGGACAATGATGTCAACCAGCAGCTCGCCATGAAGATACTCCAACGACACAACCACAATGTCTTTGTCGTTGGTAACGGCCTGGAGGCTGTGGAGGCTGTCAAGAAGCGCCGATATGATGTGATTCTGATGGATGTTCAGATGCCTGTCATGGGCGGTTTCGAGGCCACTGGCAAGATTCGAGAATATGAACGTGAGAGCGGCCTTCAGCGAACTCCGATTATCGCGCTTACTGCACACGCCATGTTGGGTGATCGCGAGAAGTGTATCCAGGCTCAAATGGATGAGTACTTGTCCAAGCCGCTCAAGCAGAACCAGATGATGCAGACCATTCTCAAGTGTGCAACCCTTGGTGGCTCGCTGCTGGAGAAGAGCAAGGAGTCTCGAATTTCGAGCAGTGGTGAAATGCATCCCATCCACTCATCCGTTCCTGACAATCAAAACCAGCAGCAGCAGCAACAACAACAACAGCGGTCCCAGAAGCAACAAGCGTTGCCTTCACCACCGCGGCCTGCTATGGAGGCCCGGGCAATCTCCACCACCGGTCCTATTGGCCGCGGCAGTGTTGCGGAGCCTGAAGATAAGGATGAGGAGATGATCGACGATCGGGTACGTTAGCATGTCTGCTTGAAAGACTTGGTTCCGGACCAATCCCCGGCTAACCGTTTCTTCTTTCACAAACAGACATTGCTGCGATCCAACAGTACCTGAGCTGTCGTTTGCATACACTGAACATTTCCCTGCCCTGCAAATTGGCCAGATGTTTGCGGTGTGGCCTGTTGATACCCTGTCCATATGAATCTTTCAACTGCTTCTTTTATCATTTCATTTCTTATTCATGGTGGCGAATCAGAACTCTCACGGATTTTCTGCTTTATTCCCACTTCCCGTTATCTGCTCATACCCGCGTACTTCATTCTTATCCTTCCTCCGTTGTCTTTGTGGTGGTACCGCGGTACCACCATCATCCTCAATCATCGCATTCGTTTGATTATTTTTGTTAGGTGGTGTCTGGCGTCTATCGATAGGAACCTGGGTCGGTTCGGCAGTCAAGTGGGTGACTGAAAGGGGGGAGTTTGCAATCAAGAGGGGGTATGGCTTCGCTTCTATTTTATTTCTACACGTCGCCCCCCAAGGATTCATTTTCATTGCCGCCATGCTTGCCATCTATTCTCTCGTTTGCTCGGAGCCTGTTTCTTTTCCCCTTTGATTTTCCTTTATCTGTATTGTATCTAGTTGCTTCTCACTTTCTGATCCATCCTGCTAGGCTAGGATTAGACAACATGATTACGGCTCCGAGGTTATTCTTACCATTTTATCCTTTATGTTTGATCTTCCATTATCCCTAGGGGTAGTTTGATCGTCTTTAGCTTTTGATCATGGCGAGTGGATCGCGCATGGCTCGTTTGAGGAACGAATTCAAAGACTTCTTTTAACCACCTTCATACATACAAGCTCTGATGAAATGATTTGTACTGTCAGTGTTCTCACTCAAAACGTTGGTTTTGGGATCTCGTATTGTGCTGTCTTACTGTGGATATGGCTCATCCTCAACGCCCCACGCTGACCTTTTTACTGGCTGGTTTGATGCCCGTAGAGAACCCAAGATTGCAACCCTGGGAACGGACAATCATCACGTGCATAAACATGCACTGGAGTCCGGTTAGGTCAGATATCTGTTTACAAGGATCCAGCCTTGCCATACATGAAGCCATCATCCAACAACAGCTCATAGTCTACTGCCGAAATGCAACCATTCAGGGTATTCGCTCGATGGAGAAATCTGAGCGCAGATGAAACCGATCACGGAGAGATCCAGCACGAAATTACGCCAAACAATTCAACGCTTTCATCCATGTCCATCGCGACGCCCTCCCAATCCAAGTCCCTTTCAAATCGGGATCAATCATGGAAGAGTCAGCCATCCATGACAGGAATATTTGAAGTCAACGACAACAACGAAACCGTCTTCAATGCAGTAGTGGCTCCCATTCTCCCAAGGGTCCTACAGGGCAAATCAAGCAATTTCTTCGCCTACGGCCATTCAGGAAGCGGCAAGACTCACACTATCATCGGATATGACTATGAGAATACCGAAAAGCTGGGCCTCTGTCTAGCTTCTGCCCGCCACTTAATGCAAGAACTTGCTCGCCTGAACGGAAATGATACAAGCGACCAATTAGGTATCGGAATCCGCATGTACGAGCTCAGAAAGAATAGCGCCTTTGATCTCCTGAATGATCGCTGTGAATGCTTTGTCCGCGAGGGCTCAGACGGGCAGGTCTATATCCGAGGAAAGACGGAGATGCTCGAGGATGGTAAAGTCAGAGTGCGACCGATTGTGACAAAGGCATGCTGGAACTTTGAGGATCTCTCTCGCGAACTGCAAATTGGACTTCAGCTCCGCGCGACGGGGACGTCGACGGTCCATGACCAGAGTTCACGGACTCATGCGGTTATTGAGCTGGAGATTGTTACTAAGGAGCTACTTGAGGCGCGGGATGCGATTGTTGAACGACAGTCTGAGCTTGTGCCGGTGGGTAAATATGCGACGGATGTCTATTTGGAAGAGCAGATTCGGGCTGTTGTGCTAGATGAGCAGGGGAAATACGTGCCGAATCCGGAATATCAGGTTGATCAGGAACACATTGATGCTGCAGAGGCTAGGAAAGCTGAGTTTGAAGCGAGAGTGAAATCCGCTGAGGAGCATGAGTCGGGTTTGTTCCAGAGTATATCGCGTCGCCATGCTTGTTTGGGAGGAAAGCTTGTTTTTGTGGATCTAGCTGGCTCCGAGTACTACGACGCAAAGAACGGATCGAGGCCAAACCAGACACCTCAAGAGAAGCAGGAGGGGAGGCAGATAAATACTGATCTCCTGGCTCTAAAAGAGGTGATTCGTGCTCGGGCACAGAATCTAGCTCGAGTCCCCTTTCGATCATCGCCTCTCACGATGGTCTTGCGCCAGCATTTCCAGGCGTCTTCTGATACAGACTCTGCAATGATTTTGACCATCTCGCCCTCGGCTAAGGAATTCGCTGCTACAATGAACACATTAAAGTATGGAAGTCTGGTGGGAGTTGCGGGTGATAAGAAATAGACTGCAAGTCTTTGTGCGATGAAGTATATAGAACCCGTGTACTCCGATAAATTACATTAAGAACCAAAGCCAGATTCCCTCCATATCATCCTGCTTAGGTGTATGCTCCGTTCCATATCCCTATGAATGCAAAGTTGTTCTCCTTGGAGCCTCTAAATCATTCTCTTCAATGAAGCCAGCAGCGTTGGCCCGTACTTGAAGGACGCCCAGCCGACAGCTCCGAGAGTAGGCAGAGCAACGACACACAGCCTGATGATTGCGGCCCTCATTCTGGGCTTCAGGAACCCGTCCACCAGGTTCTTAAAGTTCGCAGGGTCATTAGGCATCGGGTACGGCTCGTCTGGAACTGGCAAGCCCAGGAAGGGGCAAATGTCCTCCCAATCCACGCCATTCTCGAGCGTGATAATGTGTAGACGATCCGCTGGGATGACCTCCTTAGCCATTTTGATGCTGTGAGGAATTATTAGTCCGGTTATGTTCTCGTCTTGTTCGTTGGATTGGGGGATCACATACTAGTCATTGTAAGATTTGCAGAGCTCCTCCTCATTCTCTGGGTGACCGGGTCTTGTGCCTCGGGCGAGAGCGTCGTAAATGAGGACATTGGATTTCATGAACTCTCCGAGGGTGGGATCGAAGTTCTTCAGGATATTCATGGGGAAGCTCTCTGCCATTTTGACCACGCCACCAGCTGAGTTGTTGACCGATTTTGCCCATTTCACCGGCGAACGCTCGGTCAGGATGAACTTCACGTCTGGGTCTTCTGCGTACACTCCGAGGAGATCCCTGCCCATGTAGCTGGGGATTTCAACCAGGCACTAGACGTATTCAATTATAAGACCACTTGTACAAATCTCGATAAGAGGGAGGGTTTACTCACGTCATACTCGGCCATCCACTTTTCAAAATCAGCCTTGTTGTATCGCTTAACTCCGGACAAGCGATTGTACTGCGCGATGAGTGCCTCGTTGAAGAATTGTAGATGAGGCAGACCTCTGTTGAGAACGCACTCGGCGAAATGGTAAGTCTTGAAGCCCAGGATGTTCATCGCGTTGAACATGCTCAAAGTTCCCGAGCTATATATGCAAGCTCAATCAGTATGATAATTCTTTTCAAGGTCAGTCGTAGGTATTCCTCTATCTTACCGGCTAGGGCTGGCCACGACAACCTTGACGGGTCGGGCCTTGGCCGGAGCTGGGCATTGATCAATGTGTCGTGACATCTTGTTCCAGAATGCAATTGTTGATCGAGGGACAGTCAACACTGGGGAAAATAGCTTTGCTTTTATGAACCTTAGAAAATAGACTGAGGTGGGGGCCGTAACTAATTATTTATTGATTTTGGGCTGGACTGCCAGCTCAAACAGGGTCGAAGCTACTTAGGGGGCCTAATAACAGCCGCTCAGCCTCCACGACTAACTCCCATTTTCCGAACTGTCTTCCTAATTTAGATAGGCCCCGCGCCCAACTTGGGCTTAAAAGCATGTTTGTGAGTAATTTTTTAACGCAAGAGTTGTATTGATTATCGATGACCTACGTGGACTACCAGGTTCCGTGGCAAGGCTGAGCGCCACTCATACGGCCAGGCCGTGAGTGCGAGAGAGGCACAACCACATAAATGACGCCGGCCACGACAGTAAAAGGCAGTGTGAGATTTTTCGATCTATCAGTAAATTTGGGAGGAACTGGGCCCTGATTCTTGGAATAATGGTTACCATTTCCCAAATCGCACCAACTTCCCCAAAAAGGATGGAGCAGGGACCCACAGTCAGCAAGCAGCTGAACACTGGGCTGTCGGGTACTAGCGGACTCCAGCCTTGGAGTGGAGCAATAATGGGGGAGCTTAGGAACCGTTCACATGCCTTGATAGGGCAGAGCCAATTCAACCTGAGGACGAGCTGACGTGATAGAGTTTTTATTCTTTCGTTTGTCTCTGGTTCAACGAGTGAGACAGGGGTCATGATCTTTCCTTGGGGGAGAGCACTAGTTCAGAAAAGGTAAATGCATTGGACACAGATCATCGAGTTTCTAGCGGTCTGTGAATCTGATCTGGTGAGTGCTCATCCTATCATCCTTTTCGAGGCAAAGTAAATAGATCTATTTCTCGTGTACGTCCTCGATTTCATCTGCACCTGGTACTTACTCTGTGTGACGAGGCGGACTGAGCGCGGGACAGTCAATCTGCTTTGGTCAGCATCGGGTCGCGAATCACTCAACAATTTTTTTTGCTTTTTTTTCTCTTTTTTTCTAGGAATTTAAGCGCTTCCTAAGCTTTAAGTAAGCTCTGTTTGAAATTATGGACGTTGTTTTCGAGATAAGATATAGATCGGATCACGCCATCTGCCCCCGGCATGGAGCCACCCAAGACAAGCTCATTTCCCTGCATCAATTTAAGCTTATTTGCCACGAGGCTCTAAAATTATTTTATCTTGTTGCAATTCCAGTAACTACTTTTGCACGATCATTGTTTACCTCATGTAGTTGTTTACCTCATATAGTACAATTATGTCGTATTGACCTCCCTCCTTCAACCCTGTCATTCCCATCGACGTGTCAAACCTCTCGTCGCTGATGACAGAACAGAGTACGAGGTGGTACATGATTTTGGTAAAATGAGAGCGAGCAAATTTTATTGTCTATCCGCTTTATAGCTTTCCAGCAAATATTATTATGATATAAAAAGAAGCAAGAGAAAGAAATGAAAGTATGGAAGAAAGCAAACCCCTCAATTCCAACCTCCAGACTACCACCGATCAAGAGTACAAGTTGATGTCCATAAAGCCCCGAGGTTGCCGAGGGGTATTTTGACCTAGTACCGATACCTGGCGCGTTGGAATCGCGGGAAGACCCCGGTGGTTGTCGTGCTCGTTTCCGTCCGAATGCCGGTTAAATTAAGTGGACCACTCGTCGTCGCATTCGTGAAAGTTCTAGTCGTGTTAGTGACTATTGCGGTGATGTTTCCGATCATCTCGCGTCGGACTATACCGGGAGGAGTGCGCCGTGTGGTGGTCGTGGTGCCTTCACCACGCGGGCTGATCGTTCGGACAGGCTCCGTCGACGTGGGATGGGTCGATAGAGTGCTGCTGGTCGTCGTGCGAGGAGGGATGGTGCTGCTGAAATTGGGGCCCATGGGAGTCGAGCTGCGCGTAGTTGTGGTGGTGGCGGCGGTGGTTGGTCGACCGCTAGAACTCGAAGGAATGACCGAGCTCGAGGATGGTATGATTGAGGAACTACTAGGTCGAATGCTGGAGCTTGGAGTCGGAGTGGCTGAACTCGAGAATGGTTGGGACGAGGAGGTAGAGATAGAAGTAGATATACTGGTAGTAGTAGGGCCAGGACCAGGGCATTCGGTGACGGTTCTTGTGATTGTTGCCAGGGGACAGCTGCCGATTGTGATAGTCGCCGTGTTTGTGACGGTAACAACAATGGGAGGACAGGCTGCACAGAGAGCAGTCGCAATTGAACAGATGGCAGTCGAGAGCGTTTGTGTGGAAGTTGGACAGGTACTCGCTGTAACAGTAGTGGTCAGGGGGCCACGAGTTGATGTATGGCCGTCACTATCGCAAGGGCTATCATCATGATTGGAGCCATCGTCGTCGAATTCCCGAGCCATGAGCGTGGCACCTGGAGGGAGAGTAGTGGTCGGAGGAAGCACAGTAGTGATTGGAGGATGGACAGTAGTTTTCGGAGGGCCATGAGTTGATTTATCGCCATTCAAGCCGGTGTCGTCGAATTCCCGAGCCATGAGCATGGCACCCGTCAGATCAGGGCTGACTCCTTGTCCCGGTCCAGCATTTGCATCGCGTTCGGCAATGACAATCTCCTCGCCGCGAACCGGATAACTCGCAAATAAGACGCAGGAAACGACCAGCAAGGTCCAAGTGTTCCTGGGAAACATAATCAAAGCCAGCCAGATCTGAGAGCTGCAGAGAAAAGAATATAAGACGGATCGTGGATCGAATTGCAGGTTCGCATATGACGTCCAACCCAATTGCTGATCAACAGAGCTTGACGAAGCAAGAGCCAGGTGTTTTTGTGGGAAAGGAAGTATCAAAAGCAATAGAAGCAAGAGCGAGAGCAAAAGCAAGCAAGCTGCAAGGGTAATGCAGTGTAGAAGCGTCAATAATGGTTGGGAGGAGGTGTAGTCTGGACCGTAGCAATAACCTCATCATATGTAGCGCACCGGACTCTCCTCCTCATAGTGATACGTACTCGATGTCATGAAAATATCCTTTGGGAGCCGGAACTTAGTGAAAACATTGGAAATCTGAGTTTCGCAGCTTGTCTAGCCCTAAGTTTGGACCTATGTTTAGAGTGGGGTGGTGCTGACGAGGTTTGGTTTGTCCTATTGGAAATCTTCGGAAGGTTGATGCCACGGTTAAGTCTCCCGGCTACTCTCATGGTGACTTTCCGGTTACATAGATTGCGATAAGGACGAGGTACCTGGCGGAAATCTCATGCGAGGTACTCTAATTCAGTTAACCTACGCGGATGCTAAAAATGGGATGGTCTCATTTTATGATTTTCCTTCCATCCGGGGATACGATACTCTCTCGGAGCCAACTCCAACTTTTATCAAGACAAGAAGGCTCTAGAGTTTGTCCGAGCAAACCAAATGGTCTCGTTATACCGCTGCAGAGGGACTTCAAATATTTTGGGTTAATAATTTTAATAATATTTCGAGACAACGAAAGAACATTAGTAAAGACTATATACCGAAATGGAATGCTGTGGTTGGATGCATATATCCTATTGTCAGTTCGATGCACTCGGTGATCACTTGGGGTAAACAAAACATGAGAGGGGGCTCAATCTGAAGAACGAAATTTCACAGTAAGAATTAAGCAATAGAAGAAAAATGAGTTTAGTTGTCTAATCACTTTTAATTTATGGATCGTAAAGTCGTGTGATGGTAAGGAATTATATTGCCGGAATTTCGTCAGCCACCTGTTCAATAAAGGTGGTGAGGAATCTAGTAGATGGCCAAGGGGCGACGCCAGCCGACCTCGATGACCTTGACAGCGGTGCAGCATACCAGACCCATGGCGTAGCAGACGGTTGTGAAAGCAATGAGGCCCCAGTACTCTCCGTTGCAGCGAGTCAGAATTTCACCAGCGATCGGTATGCCTGTGAGAGTGCTGGTCGAGGGGAAACGGTACGTTAGTCCGAAGCGCAAATGATATAACAGGGAGCAAAAGAAGACTCACCCAAAGCTCACGATGGTGTAGGCAGTTGCGTAATACCGACCGTAGTTCTCAGTCTTGCACAACTGTCCAACACAGACGGGCGTCAAGCTGATATTGCTGCCGCTAGAGAAACCAAAAAGCAATGCATAAATGACCAACAAGGCCAAGCTATCACCGGCAGGAAGCCAAAGGCACGCATTGCAAAGCAAGCACAGAGCCACAGTGGCGATCAGGGCATTGAAACGGCCTAGGAAGTCTGCAAAGAATCCAGGGAGCCATCGGCCGAAGAACGAACCCACGTTCAGAATGGCCAGGATTTGATAAGAAAACTTGGTGGAAAATCCGTGGTCCAAAGCATATGAGGAGATGTAACTGATCGGGATGAAAAGGCCCCATTCGATGAAGAAGACGCTCGCGGTAGTCAAAGTGAATCGCATGTCACGGAAGATGCGGAAATCAGGCAAAACGTTCTCCTTGGAGAATGGCTTCTGGGGTAATCGGGATCTGATGAGGAGGTTCGCAAACCCAAAGGCGATTAAACAGATCAATGCTACCACTCGAGTAGCCCAGCCCCAACCAATTTTCGGGAACAGCGCTTCCAATATCAATGGGAATGCAATTCCCCCAATGGAGCCACCAGTAGCTGCGACTCCGGTTGCAACTCCTCGCCTGGCATAGAAGTAATGGCCGATGGCAGAAATGGCGGGAGTAAAGATCAGGGATGCACCGACTCCACCAAGGACACCCACCACTAGCATAAAGTGCCAATACTTGGTGCAAAACCCAAGGAGAACGATCATGGCCATTTCACAAATCGTTCCAGCGAAGACAAGAAGGCGCGGTCCTCGTGCATCGAAGATAGGACCAATCTGCACACCGCAGAAGAAGGTCAGGAAGGCGTACATACCGAAGATCCATCCGATGCTACCGGAGCCGTAGTCTTTCAACTGGTGGCTCTCGATGTATGCCTGGAATGTACCAATGGTGTTGACAAGCCCTAACGATCCAAGGAGACCCATGAAGCTGCCAAACACCACAAGCCATGCTTCCCGTCCTCCTTCCGGGTAGGTGTTTCCTTCTGCGTCTGTAGTCACTCGACTCATGGGATCTCTATGAACAGATCTAAGCGATGGAGCTATGGTAGACGCCGTCCGATGGAAGGCTTCTTCCTCCTTCGAGGTAGTTTGATGTTCGGGCACCTGGTGCGTTGAATCTGTCGGAACCTGCTTCTCAAAGTCGGTCACTTCCGTCATGGTCTTTTCCGACGCCACTTGCGTGGTCTTTTCATGGTTGTTGGAGGTAGTCTGGATCTCGCTAGTTGTCGCTACGATGCTCTCGCCGGCATGGTTGCTGTGTGAGAGGCCATGGTCATTGTCTCCAGCTGCATCGAATATGCTGCCGGTGTGCCGAGCCTCGATGGACATTCTACGCGGAGTCTGCCGCTAGATCTCCGCAATGATGTATGCCGTGGTTATGAGATTTTATTAAGTATGAAGCCTTTGCTCAGTTCTCTTTGGATATGGTGATAAAGCTTGGGAGGTTGAATGGGTTTGAAAGGAAAGTGCATGAGAGAGAGGGGTGGCCATTAGCAATCAAAAAGTCGGAGTCATGATCCAGACCCCGGGTAACCAGAAAGTAGTGCATAGGGCGGAATACTCCCTATTGGCCTTAGACGTGTTTTTAGAGGGGGTTCTATGCCTCTTTCAGATCGAGCGAAAATTTTTGACAACAAGATCTGGATGGCTATTGGTAGGTGGGGCCTTGGTGGAGCGGGCGAGTTGCCTCCACTGCCGCACTACTGCTCCGTTATGGGAAACACCATAGCCGGTTCGTATTGTTGTAGATTGTCAAGTAGTATCTCAGTACTAATCTGGTTTGTGACTACATCTTCTCTTGGTTCCTTGTAGAGGCATGTTGCTGTATAGGGCAAACTATCCGAAGTGCATCATGCAAACCCTCGGAGAAATGAGCAAATCACATCATCACACCGCTAAATTTCCGAACACTATTGGGCGGGAGGTCCCGACAAATATATTTCGGCGAGTTACGCTATCATATCATCAACGACATTCAGTCTACCTAGCAATTGCACCACAAGGGCACAGGAGCATCACCATTAAAGCCTATAACATCAATGTTACCATACGTACACAGATGGCATTAAACTAGCACCACTATTATTAGATACCGTGTATAAAGGGTTCAGTAAAGTTAAATATATGTTTGTATTCTCCAGACGTTGAATGCGCAAAAGAGTTCCTAACGAGAGTCTTTCTATTCCTAACCTACTATAATAGTTTACTGGCCGTCTAGATAAAGTAGGAAGCTGGTCCTCATACTGCGGCAAAAATAGAGCTGTTGTCTTTGCCCGCTCAAAAGTGAAGTCGGAATTTGTTTTATGATTCCGTCCGTAACAAATCAACATTTCCTCATACGAATGAGACTTGATACATTTTCCTTCATGTAGTCAAACTTTGCCCACCAACAATAACAAGCGGGCTTGTGGTTTAGTGGTATAATACTCCCTTAGCATGGGAGTGGTCCGGGGTTCGATTCCCCGCGAGTCCACTGCTTCTTTCTTGGGCTTGTGGTTTAGTGGTATAATACTCCCTTAGCATGGGAGTGGTCCGGGGTTCGATTCCCCGCGAGTCCATTACTTTTTGCATCTCGCTAGGTCTCATTATTGAGTGAGCCTCACAATATTTTTGCCTAAATAGGAGATTGCTATACTATATTCTCATTGGTGGGTGAACTGCTCAATGGTTGCTTGATCTCCTAACGTTGAATCCCTTCTACACCACCATGATAGCCCCTTCCTGTCTAGAAGTATCTCAAAAGTTGAGTGGTTGGACATTATCGAATACCAATGGTCGGTTGTGGTTGGTTACCTCTATAAACCGAGCACGCTCACAATCTGAATTTGAATGCTTGGATTTCGGAAGGCTTTCTTGATCATCTCGCTTAATGGATGAAACGGTATGGCCTTGTTAGTATGTGCCAATTCAAGATTTGGATTAGCCTTTCTCCTTATCAGTAGAATCATAATCGTTACTGTCGGCTTACGCCGGTTAGCTCGTCTGTAGCAAATAGGAGCACGGTCCAACTGATAAGAAAGACGGCACGAGGGCTCTTGTCGCTTGCAATTTGGTAGATCAGCCACCTTGATCAGCGGCAAAGCCGAGGCTCTGCCAAACGCGAGCTTCCAGCACGCAGGCCCAGAGCAACAATCGGCCTCCAAATTAGAGATCAAAAAGCTTAGCATTATATTCACCAGGAGATAGGGACTGTCTCAAAAGCTAGAATAATCCCTTGAATGTTCTAAGATCAGGTACCATTGCAGCCATCGACTTGTGGGAACGCCTCCCCGCATAACGCTAACAAGCTTTCTTTTTGGTGGGTACGATTGTCAGGGGCTAATTACGTAGTACCCATGAGGCAATTTCGACCAGTTCAGTGCTCTATCGCGGAGGCCGCATCTTCTGGACTGCTAGAGTAAATGCCCGCCGACCAAATCTCTATATGCTATGCTATGATGATGCCTTCTGCTGATAGTTAGTCTTCACGCCACCATCGTGCGCGATTTAACCGAGCGGGGAATGCTGCAGAGCACGGTAGATAAACGACCATATTCTATGCAGAAGAGGGGAAGCAGATAACCAAAGCCAATCGAATGACGTTCCTTTTTGCCCCCTATACGAGCTTCACTATCGTTTGGAAGAAGATAGATCCATTTTCCGGAATCCGACGCTGGCCCGACAAGCCCTAATTTACTGTATTCCGCGCCGAAGCGCCAGAGAGCCAGAACTCTTAATCATACTTTCATTTTGGGGAATCCTAGAAGCAACAGAGACTCATACTGGAGCTGCAGTCAGACCCAAATAAACCACGACACGATGAAAGAAAGAGCACGCCGATCACGAGAATAAAGAAGCCGTAGAGGTCCTGATGACCTGCCGTTTCAGGCTAGGCGGGACGGTCTACCCCGCCTGCGCAGTGCCTCTGGTTGATATCAGTGGCTTATGGGCAGGAACCGGGGTTGCACTCGAGGTGTAGAAGAAGCATTAGCCTAGCCGGATACTAAGTGGCTCGGTGGGCTAACGGCAGACCATGCTGGACCTAAAGTACCCCCAATCATTGTGTCGATGGGACGGAGAGATAACTGGATTTACCTGTTTATCTTTGTTGGCAGCATGATTCCCCGTACCATTTAAATAGGCTCTATCGTTCCACTTCATACCTGGGAAGATTGGTGTGCAGGGGATTCCCTTTTCCATTCATCTCAATCCTGGGTTCTTCGGATCCCTTCCTCCTCACAGGATGTTGTTTAAATCGGCTCTGACATCGGCTGTGCTGGCTCTTTCCCTAGGCGTGGACACTGTTGCTGCGTCTAAGCATGGTCGCCTTGGACAGCTTGCTCGTGATCCTTTGGAGAGAGCTAAGCGGGCCGTCGACAATGGCCATGCTAAGCCAGTTCGCTCTACAAAGGACTACCGCTTTTTGAACGCGAAAACCAAAAAGAATCTCGTCAGTCATCTACCTGACGTTCCTTACGACATTGGCGAAATGTACTCGGGCCTGATGCCCATTGACATGCACAATGAGTCGCGGGCGCTGTTCTATATTTTCCAGCCTACTATCGGCGACCCCGTTGACGAAGTCACTATCTGGATGAATGGCGGACCTGGCTGCAGTTCCATGGAAAGCTTCCTCCAGGAGACTGGTCGCTTCCTTTGGCAGCCAGGTACTTATGCACCCGTGGAGAACCCCTACTCCTGGGTAAACCTGACCAACGTGCTTTGGTATGTACTTAGCAGAATGATGGGAACAGAGGGGAAGCTTCCAAGAAATATTTGTACTGACTTGACTTGTTTTACAGGGTCGACCAACCAGTCGGAACCGGATACTCTATCGGCACGCCTACTGCCACCAGCCAGGAGGAGACCGCACAGGATTTCGTCAAGTTCTTCAAGAACTTCCAGCAGACCTACGGCATCAAGAACTTCAAGATATATGTGACGGGTGAGAGCTATGCTGGCCGCTACGTCCCATACATTTCGGCTGCTATGCTCGATGAGAAGGACAAGGAGTACTTTGACTTGCACGGTGCATTGGCCTATGACCCTTGCATTGGTCAATTCGACTACATCCAGCAGGAAACCCCCGTTGTGCCTTTCGTCAAGGAGAATGCCAACCTGTTCAACTTCAACGAGACCTTCATGGCCGAGCTGGAGCACCTCCACAAGTCTTGTGGCTATTCTGACCTCATCGACAAGTACCTGACCTTCCCCCCACCAAAGGAGCAGCCGCCTCTCTTCTTCAACTATACCAGTATGGCGAGCTGCGATGTCTTCGATATGGTGTACGAGGAGGTCTTCAATAGCAACCCGTGCTTCGATCTGTACGAGGTGAACCTGATGTGCCCACTGCAGTGGGATGTCCTGGCATTCCCCACCTCCCTTTTATACCAGCCCGAGGGCGCGACGGTGTACTTCGATCGAGCGGACGTTAAGAAGGCCTTGCACGCACCCAACGTGACCTGGTCCGAATGCTCAAACGGCCCGGTCTTCGTCGGCGGTGACTCTGGTCCCGAGCAAGAGGGCGACACCTCTGCCAACCCCATCGAGCACGTCCTACCGCAGGTTATCGAGGCCACTAACCGTGTTCTCATCAGCAATGGTGACTACGATATGGTGATCATCACCAACGGCACCCTGCTGGCCATCCAGAACATGACCTGGAACGGCCACCTCGGTTTCCAGGAGAAGCCCTCGACCCCCATTGACATCAAGATCCCCGATCTCCTGTACAAGGACGTCTTTAAGGAGAACGGTGCCTCCTCTCTGGATGGTGCCCAGGGTATCATGGGTATTCAGCACTATGAGCGTGGTCTGATGTGGGCGGAGACCTACCAGTCGGGACACATGCAGCCGCAGTACCAGCCTCGTGTTGCTTACCGCCACCTGGAATGGTTGCTGAAGCGTACTGATGAGCTTTGAATGTGTGAATAAATCTATTCAACAAGTCATTGCATTGGAATGGCTAGCATCCGACTAGCCGTGGAGATGGATGCTTAGTTTTGTATGTAGTGACCAAGCCCATAATAATATGTACTGTTCAGCAAGAAACTCTCGAGTATATCGTATTCGGTCACGCTGAAAGTATGACTGATGAGCCCTGTTAATTGCGTGTTGGCCACAACTTTAACCAGAATAGCGTATATGAAGTACAGTCCGTCCATAAACACAGGGTATGTGTATTTCGATGCCGAGCTTACATACCCCGGAAACTATGAAACCGGGCCGTGTGCTACCGTCTTACGGCCACTTGTGGTATATAGATCCCGAATTGATGGTCTTGGATATGCATGAGTAGAGGCTACCAAGCATGAAACTGAGTTTTCCGCGGAAAACTCAATTATGTGTTTAGCCTGTGATGACAATTGCCGGGACTGGCCTGCCCATTTGAGTATATATTTTCTTCGCCAAGCTTGAGTTGAAGGCGGCTTATCAAAAAAAACGGGACAGCATCAGTGCTTTTAGTACTTAATGTCAGCCGCCACCCTGGTCAGGAGTAGATGCATTAGATACGGATGGCGGAGTTGATATACTCTATCAGGGATGTTGACCGGGTGGTAGATGGAAAGAAACATCGATGATTTCTAAGGACATTAGCCCGAGTCCAGTCCGAGTACTGTACTCCGTATGGACTAGCGCTTCGAAATCGGGTTTAGTGCGGTGACAATCTTTACCGAATATGGGCCAGCCTTTTTGTTTTACTTACCGTCCCCAGAAGGTATACCGAGAGCAGGTGCTCTTGTTGAAACCACGCAAGCAGTTCTCAAGATGAGGGGGGTGTCATCTCTCTCACGTCTGGTCATACGAGCTTTCTGTAATAGAAGATGGACTCCAGCTGTTACTGCTACTGTGTTGTGATAATCCTTAGTACGCGAGGCAGCAATGACTATTGCCTGGACACAGTGCAGGTGATGGATGAATCGGATTCCCCTAGCGCCACATCCAGTCCGCGCCAAGGGCCTAAGACTAGTTGTGTAGCGAATGGGATCTCTAGGTCCCCTTAAGATCGTTGCAGGGGCTACAAGGATGTGTGAAAAAATTCATATCGCTCAGTGGGAGTGAGTAGTATTCCCAGATAGGCTGTTTCCTTGCAATGCCACTGAGCATTATATAGTAGTGTAATCCTACTGTAGTCTCTCGTTCTGGCACAATGATCATCTCCCAGGTCCGCAGTCTCCAGACGGTTGGAGCCGTCCCGAGTCCACCAAGAACAGAATGAGGGGGCCATCCCGCATTTTGCCCACCTGCCGTTGCCGAGGGATTCTCTGTTCTGCCTCCTCTCCGTAAGCGAATCAAGTATGAAACAAGTTCCACTTCGAGGCTGGAAAAGCCAAGAAAAAAATGGACCCTACTGTGGCCTGTAACTCAACGAGAGGAGTTACGACAAGCAGTGGTGCGGGCGTTGCGGCGGGCGGCGCCTCCCAGCGCCATCGGTACAAAGTGACCCTCGGACGCGACGCGGTAATTTACGAGCCAACGAACGGCCTAATTCCCACTAATTTTCAGGGGTTCTCATTGGCCGGGGGTAAACCAAGTTATGGCTACTATGGACTCCCCGGAAGCGGCAAGATTCGCGCCTCTGCCAAGATGTTGGAGATGAGCAATGCTGAAGGTAGTTTTGAGGGTCAATTAGGTGTCACAGGTCACGAGTGACTGTCTGAATGTAGTCATCATGCATGAGAGCCATATGCGAGGCGAACGATAGACTTCCTGTTGGCAAAGTAGAATTTGGAAAGGGAAAAGAAACACGAGGGATGACAAGGTCGAGGGTGTGGATCGGGATGACGTCGGTGCCGCACAACGTGGAGATGAGAACTGCTTGCGGTCCGTGTTTTGTCCGGTTTACGTATTACCCGACATCGAAAGACTGAAAGACATTGTAGAACTTGGACTTTGTGCATAGCTCGTACTACTGTATGTACGTTGAGATTGTCGATGACATTATTCATCCTGGTTTCGAGTGGTATCACTGTAGAGAACACAAGATCTCGCTATCCGATGAAATGGGCAAACAAGCAGCTATATATGCCATAACTGGCTATTATTCCTCCATCTAGCTCGGAACGTGCTACTACTAACTTACTATTTACTACATATACGGGTCAAAACGGCCCCGACAGTCCCCCAGTCGCCTGTCGCCTCCTCCGGCCGAACTACAATTGGGTCCCGCTTGCCCATAGCGGCAGCATTTCATGCTCATTGGCAAACGACATCTCTACACCTGGAAAAAATTTTCGTCTCTTTGCTTCTTTCAAAGTCGGGCAAACCCGATCGCCAAGAACTTCCGCTTGGATGGCCTGATTCTTTTGCCTCTGAATATCTTGATCTTGTTCGCTAGCCTTGAAGACTTGGATCCGCCACACACTGTCTCTCCCAATATGATACGTATTCACAATACAGCAACCACTCTGTATCTATACCCTTTTGAAAAGCCTCGTCAGGGCCCATCCCCAAAGAGAGTTAGCGCCATACGCCCTTTGCGCTAGACTTTTAACGGGCCCGCTTTCTCGACCATTTAGCCAATACTGGCCTTGCCGCATTTTGTACCGCAGGACGGCCAACCCGTAATTTAATATTTCGATGGGAAAAAAAGATAGGAAAGGGAAGGAGGGATGCTGCACTCTGTGATACCGTGGATTCTATATAGTGCTTCATTTATCCCACCTATTCCCTCTTTTTTCTTCTTCTTTTTCTGTCCGTCCAAAGTTCCTCGCCTTCACTTCTCCCCCCATTCTCCACATTCCTCCTCCGGGTCTGGGGTATAGCTTCACATAGCTTTCCTCACCCACTCTCTTTTCCAAGAACATTTTGTCCCTGGAAAATACAGTATAGGTTGAGCCTATTCTCGGCTGATTCCTTCTGATCTTGTCAAAATCCAAAGAAGCAAAAACAACAGAAAGAATTGGTCTCAAAGACCTCTTTATCAAAAAGGCTCTTCTGAACAGACGACTGCTCTCAAGTAGCACCTCAGCGATACCGGCTTCGATTTTGTTCCCCCAATCGACAAGAATATCGGGGTTTTCCATTGCGGCATCTTCCAACTCCCCAGTGCGAACTTGCCCACGACTTCACGACCCTTCCCCACCCCATTCACGATATAGGACTCGACTGCATTTCTGTTTCCACAGCGCCAATTTGTAGTCTTGCCCACCAACGGAAAGCTTACGATAACTTGCATTGCAAACGATTTCAACGAGTTTCTTGAAAAAATAGCAGCGACTTTTCCCACCCCGAGCAACAATATCCCGCAAAAGCCCCAATTTTTTTTTCCAAAGCGCCTTACCTATTAACCGTCAATATGGGTATTTCAAATTGGACCCCTTTCAAAAAGGATCGCCAGAATTTCCCGGGTGTCGTCATCCCGCTGGCTGATGCTCCTGCTCACACCCCCGCAAATGCGGATGAAAAGGCCGACAAGTCTTTGGATCGTGCGCCTTCCTCCGAGAATGGCTCGGCTGGATCCCTACGTGAGGCTACTCACTTGACTCTTGAAGCTCTCCGAGCAGAGGTGGAGTCTGATATGTCCACGTCGGGCCATGATTCAGTATATGATCGTATGTGCTAGTCCCTTTCCGTTCGTCTTGAAACCTGCCTCCCCCAAGTGTCTACTGCGTTTCCCTTGCACCAGTGCACAAAAGTAGTCCCTTTTTCTGGTCGATGCTAATCTTCGTATTCTTGTAGGCAAAGCAAAGGTGATCAACCGCGCTCTCCAGGACATCGGTATGGGCCGATACCAGTGGGAACTATTCTTCCTGTGCGGCTTCGGCTGGACCGCTGACAAGTAAGTCTAGCCACTTGACAACTGGTATTTTTCTTTCTAGTTTTCAACATGCTAACATTCCTCTTTCATCTAGTCTTTGGCTTCAGGTGAGAATCGTTGGATATAGATTTGGTCACGTGGATGAAAGCTAATCATGTGCAGGGAGTTGCCCTAACTTTGACACCTCTATCATACGAGTTTGGTATTTCCGAGTCGCATGTTCGGTTTACGACTTGCGCTCTGTTCTTGGGTCTTTGCATTGGTGCCTCGTTCTGGGGTATTGCATCCGATATCATCGGTCGTCGCTGGGCATTCAACACGACCCTGTTCCTTGCTGGTGCCTTTGGTCTTGCTGCGGGTGGCGGTCCCACCTGGATCGGGTATGTGAATGAACCTTTGTATATTGTGGTTCGAATATGGCTAACGGTCTGGATAGTGTCTGTGCTTTGTACTCTTGCCTTGGTCTCGGTGTTGGTGGAAACCTCCCTGTCGATGGAAGTCTCTTCTTGGAGTTCCTTCCTTTCGCCTCCGGCAACATGTTAACCATGTTGAGTATTTGGTGGCCAGTCGGTCAATTGATTGGCAGTCTCTTTGCCTGGGCGTACATTCCCACTTTCAGCTGCTCTTCTATGGAAGGCTGTACCAAGGGTCAGAATTGGGGCTGGCGCTATCTAGTCCTCACTCTGGGTGCTATCACATTCTGCATGTTCGTCGCGCGGTTCTTCTTCTTCCATCTGTACGAGTCACCTAAGTTCCTGCTATCTCGCGGCCGCCAGGAGGAGGCCGTTGCTTCGGTCCATGGAATTGCCTACAAGAACAAGACCAAGACTTGGTTGACCAACGAGATCCTCAACGAGATCGGTGGCTATGCCGAGACCAAGGAGGAAGAGAAGCTCACCTACAGCCAAATCGTGATGCGCTTCTTCTCCAAGTTCTCGATGGACCGAATTCGTCCCCTCTTCGCCACCAAGCGTCTGGCCATCAGCACCGTCCTTCTCTGGTTCTGCTGGGCTACTATCGGCATGGGATACCCCCTGTTCAACGCCTTCCTGCCCCAGTACCTTTCCAAGTCCGGTGGTACCACCAACTCAAACTACACCACCTACCGCAACTACGCTATTACTTCCATCGTCGGCGTCCCCGGCTCCGTTCTGGCCTGCTACACCGTTGAAATCAAGTACATCGGCCGCAAGGGCACAATGGCCATCGCCACTATGATCACCGGTATCTTGTTGTTCTGCTTCACTGCATCCGCCAACTCCAACGTTCAGCTTGCTTGCAGTTGTCTGGAGGCTTTCTTCCAGAATATCATGTACGGTGTTCTGTATGCTTATACCCCCGAGGTGTTCCCTGCTCCCGTTCGTGGTACCGCGACTGGTATCTGCAGTTGTCTGAATCGTATTGCTGGTCTTTGTGCCCCGCTCGTGGCTATCTACGCTGGTGGTAGTAGCCCCGATGCGCCGATTTACGCTTCTGGTGGCTTGATTCTTGCTGCCTTTATTGCGATGACTTTGCTCCCCATTGAGACACGGGGTAAGCAGATTTTATAAAGCATAGAGTATTGTGCATACAGGGGATGGAGGCAGTATATAACGTTCGGCTTTTTTTTTTATTTTGGATTCTGATCTCTCCTTTCGTGGAGCGATGTAGACTTTTCTCTACTTTGGATATTTTCGCGTGCTAGATACCATGACAAGTTTCAAATTTGACCAAAAGCATTTTCAATTCTACGCATACATGTGCATTTCCTCATGGTACTGTGCGTACTTTTCTCTGACCACGCCATGTAAAAGTACATGTGACATGACAAGCTTGTAATTCAGGGCCAGAATTACACATTCTATCTACTTCCTCTGAAGTAGGGAGTGGATGGATGATATTGAACGTGGATAAAATGATTGTAACTAAACAAAGCCCATCCTCTCACAGTTTGGAAACTAGACAGTATCGGATCAGAATAGCGAGGTATGGATTCAATTCTACAATCTCTACCGATAAAGAGTTCATTACCAGTCCCAATGTAGGAGCAAGCCCGAAAAAGCAAGAGCCCTGGAATGCAAATGAACACTCTACCAATTGATCTACGAAAGCACCGGACACAAAACTAAAACCTAAAACCACATAGTGCAAGGAGGAGGAATCCAAAAAATCAACCCAGTTGCCATACGGACAACATGGGAGTAGCCAGAAATGCAATTCGGGAGATCTTCGATGACATCACAAAAAGAGATGAGAATGATCAAAATGGAAAGAAACCCATACATAGAGACATAAGACGAAAAAAAGAAACCGAAGCCAAGCGTGAGATCCCTATGAAAACAAGGACGAACTCCATCCCAAGTCAAGCCAGCAGCTCCGTGAGCGACGCAGTAAACACAAATGAGGAAGAAGCGGAAGATAAAGAGCAAGGGGCGGCATTAGACCGGTCGTACCCATCCTCTTCCGCTCGCAGTCAAAAAATCTTGAGATATGTATGCTCTTCTTCACTAGGGGGTTCCAATGACGTGTGTAGACAGATAGAAGAACGATGGAGATGAAGGTAGATGATAGAGAATAATGGTAAAAGGTATTGATCATGATGAGCCGAGGCGGAGTTGTGTAAAATAAAGACCGGTAGAGATGGAGAAAATTTGAGGTGTGTATCATGCACCATATCATTCGTCAATGCACATAGTTTGGAAAATAGATCACCAAAGAAGAAGAAAAAAACCAAGTAAAATCGAGCCTTTTGTCCGTGTGTAAGTTCTGATTTAAGCAACCGGCTGTTCGTTGTTGCGACGCCCACGCTTCTCTAGGAGAGTCGCACCACTCAGACTGAGCTCGAAAGGTTCATGCGGCCTACGACCGATGGCGCTTCTGGCCGCCGCGGCAACTTTAGCATCATGCTGTCCATAGCCCTGCTGCCTGGGTTGGCGATGGGCCTGTCGGGCTTGAGCTGCGCTGCTTTGGGCGCCGAGATTCGTGGAGCGCAGTTTTGCTTCCATCCCAGCAACGTCACCAGCATGGGTATTGGACTTGGCAACCTTAAGGGGAGGCTGCTCGGTATTCTCTTCAACGTGGGGGCGGTATTCGGGCTCGTCGTCATAGTCTTCGTTAAGAGCTCCCAACGCGGATTGGAAGCCGGCTAGCGGGTGGCCACTTCGGGCAGCCTGCTGACGGTTCCGCCGGCGCTTGCCTTCCTCTTCCTGCCTGTGAACTGCGTAACCGACATCAAAAACTTCGCGCAAGTTGAAGGCTCCCGGCGAGCGGAAGTCCATCCGGCGCTCCGAGGCTACAGATGGCGCATCCAGGATTCGGGAACTGGCGGGTTGGTACGGGGCTTGATCAGCACCGGCAGGGTCGAGTTGGAGAGGGCCATCTTGGCGAACCTGGCCCAAGGGTGTGGCCAGGGGCGGTGCGTCAGCGGCCGCGGTGGTTTCCTCGTCAGTTTGACGGATCCATGGGTGTGCGAGGAATTCCTTGATGGTGTAGCGCTTCTCTGGGTCGACAGTCAAGAGATGCGAGATCAAATCTTGTGCAGATTTGGAAATGTCGTCCCACCAGGGCGAGAGGAAAGTGTATTGACCGCGAGCCACCTTCTCCGTAAGCACTTGGATGCTCTCGTCGTAGAATGGAGGGAAACCACACAGCAGAGTGTAGAGTACGCAGCCCATGGCCCACATATCTACACTCTTCGAGTACCGCTCGTCCTTCACAATCTCTGGTGCTGTGTAACCGACCGTTCCGCAGGGAGTCATTGTTTGACTATCCCAGATCACCTTGGACAGACCGAAATCGGCAATCTTGATCGTACCGATACCACCAGCACCGACACCCGGGACGAACTCTCCTTCATCCTCCTTGTCTTCATCGCCCGGTTGCTTAGGCTTCGGATGTTTGCTTGGAACGAAGGGAGTAGGGTAAAAGAGCAGATTCTCTGGCTTAATATCACTGTATTTCAAATTAGTATTATGTAGTCGATTCAGAGTGGACCGTAGTCACAACGCACCGATGAACAACGCCGGATGTTTCATGCAAGTATTCAATGGCCTTGGCGACTTGAAGAATCACGTGGCGGCTCAAATCTTCGCTAAAGTATGTCAATCGCACGATTTGGTGGAACAACTCTCCGCCAGGGCAGAGCTCGAGAATGATGTAGTAATATTGCCGCGATTCGGAAAAGTCAACCAACTTGACGATATTGGGGTGATCGAGGTTGCGCATAATTTGGACTTCCTTGAGGATATTCGCTCGCTATAAAAACCAGGAATGTATTAGCGACAAGTCTCAACTCATGCGACAATCGAAACGGCAGTGGCACGCAAGAACACAGAAAAACTGGGGTAAAGAAAAACAATGGCCGAGGAGTCGCCACTATCGGTGGAAATGAGGCATGGTATGGGAGATAGAATGCGCACCTCCGCAGTCCGCGGGACCTTTTTGACGCTGGAATGAAGGTGATCGGACTACAAGAAAGAAAGATATTGGCAATGTTTTCTCCCTGGACGTGGAAAGCATCACTCGAGCCATGCAACCAGACACACACACCAGAAACACTAAACAAGAAAGAAACAGGAAAGAAAAGATACGAGCATAGCCAAGGAAATAGGAAAGCAAGACACTTTGGTCGTCCCTACCTGATTGCTGTTCATTTCGAATTTGCGCACGACCTTGATAGCCACCTCGCCCAATTCTCCGGTTGAATCCTTTGCACGGTAGACATTGCTGAATGCACCATCGCCCATCTTCTCCACCAGAATCCAGCGCTCGAGGCCGGGATATTGAGGCATCTTTGAGCGGCTTGATCTCTCTTCCTGAACGAGGCGTTCGATTTCCACGGACCGATCGCGCTTCACCTGAGCGTCGGTTTTTTGCTGGGTAGCTTGACCATTACCTCGCGCATCGCCCTTATCAAAGGCTCCAAGAGCTGGAGAGAATTGGCCTTGTGGTTGTGGTTGCTGTTCGGCGTGGACGGTGGACACGTCGGTGGTGGGTTCGGAATGGGGCGTTACGAGGCGAGCTTGTTTCCCATGCCGGATGAAATTCTTGATATTTTGTATCGTGCTCATGGTGGGAAGGATCAAGGTGAATGAGGAAGGAATCTATGAGTCGTGGACGGGTGAATGGCAGAGGGAAGGTGAGAAAAAATGGGCAGGGCGTCGGACGTGGGGTTGGGTAGGCAGTCAGCGGAGAGAGGAAACCAAGTTGTGCCCCGCCACAGATAAGGTTAGGAGGTGTAAGAGAAAGGAGGCTCTGAGGGAAGGGAAAGGACGGAGGTCCAGGGAAAAAAGGGGGGAAGAAGATGTGGAAAAGGAAAAAGGAAACACGGATGAGGTCAGAGTTCCCAAGATTTGCTGGTCGAAGTAGTAGCAGGGGGATGAGAATTGGGGGGGGAAAATGGGGGAAACGGGGGAAGTGGAAGAGGAAAAAACGCCTATGACGACGTGCGATCTTCGGGCGATGTCATCGGTTTTTTTGGTTGGGTTTGGTTGCGGGATGGCCATTTCCCACCTGGGCAGCTCGGATTACTATGATGACTCCTATCTCAAGTAAGCTTAGTTAACTTATTATTTGATTCTTATGACCACACCTCTTGAATTATTAATATTTAGGGTTTCCCTTGGTCACTTGCGTAATGATCTTGAACTATTATCTATCCTGAACTTGGAATCCATCCTTTGGCTAGGTCTATATGGAAGACTCTACGGTCCCTCAGCTATAGACTACTAAGCCAGTTTACTCTAGAAGCCCTTCCGTTCGAATACTGGCCAACTGTCGTCATCGCCGCCACTGACGGTGATATTAATGGATTTGTTTGATAATGGACCCCTGGATGATATGATGAATTGATTGTCTGAGAATAGTCCTATAGTCTCTGCCATTATAGTTGTGCTAGGATCCCCGCTCTAACCTGTCGAAGGTGCAAGATGATATCTCAACGACGTCTTCTTCGTCTCCATAACTTCCTGTTTCCTTGGCCGGCGCGCGCCGGCGCGTATCCTTGATCGCCAACGATGACCAACATGACGGCTCTTGCCCCGCCAAAACCACTTGCCCATCGGCTTCTCAGCCCTTCTAGCCTCGCCTATCATAGCCTCTTCTCGATTTCACTATTTGATATCAAACTACTACTCCTCCTCCAGCTTATAATCTCAAGATTAGGGCCTGGTCATTGCCCCCGTTTCCTTGGGTCACACAGACCTGTTTTCAGAAAACCAGTCTTCCCATGTTCCTGGGGGATATGATATCAAGCTGCCGACCTTGGCCAACCAAACTGGTGGAGGTTATATCGTCATCTTCGCCACCCCAACCCTTAGCCCGGATACCAGTATCATCTCTGATATTATTGTGCTTGCTCAATCCTTGTCATTCTTAAAGGTGGGTTCTTGTAGTCGCAATTTAATATATTTAATCTATTTACCTATTACCTCACCAGCAATAGTTCGAGGCCTAGGCCTACGTCCTGCTCATTCACGCAGCTCGTCCCTGGGCCAAGCAGCTCCGAGACCGTGCAGGACTGGAATGTGCGAGCCGTGTGGCTTCCGCATTGGATACATTGTAGGCCTGCATTATTTGCCATTACATACTCTGTAGATAAGGACCAAAGCATCAAACATGTTTGATGCAAGGAGTGTCGGACATAAAAGATCCCAGGAGCTCTGAAACACGCTGCGCCCACATATCCCACGCATCGCACTGATCTGGGCATACTTGGGGGCCACACCCAGGAATTAAGAGAAAAAAGAGTTCGAGGATCCAGGAACGCGTGCCCTTTCAATCCTCGATCCCCACATGGCCCAGAGGACATACGGAGTACCTGGAGTAGTACTTGGATGTAGTATACCAGCATGTACAGTAGCACTCGATCTTCTTAGTACTGATGGCTTGCTTGCATACTGCTTCTTTCTAGACAAACAGTGTTCAGTCTCATAGTTGTAGCCCAATAGATTGATAATTCGGTATCTCGCTGCCATGATATTTGTTCGAATGGCTGTCCATATCCACTCGTAGCAACTGGTAGTGTTCTGTGGAAGTATACAGAGTACAAAACTGGGAAATCCAAAGCGAGCTGCAGGGGTCAAGAGGCGCATTTGGCCAACGGTCATTTGCTTCTTCCTTTTATCCAGACGGGACACCAATACGGACCTCTGTACACCTCATTCGAGAAGAGTTGAAACGCTGGCCCCCGATCCTTTCAATAGGGTTACGTGTGCCATTGATCCTATTCTTAGTGATTCTATTCATTCTTTCCTGCCTTCGAGAATCCTCGACTGCTCTTCTTCTGCTCTCACTTCCACCTCTTTATACCGCCTATATAACTTCACCCTCGATCTCTCCGATCGTGGACCTATCCCCGGGCGCTCACAGGTACGGTGCATAAAATCCTAACGTGACAACTCTCCGTTCTCCGTCCGGAACGCCGAGTCCAGTTGCCTGCCGAGTCTTTTTCCCCCCTCCCAGCCACCAAAACTCCAGTCCACCCAATCCTACCAAATTATCCAACCCCAAGACGAATCACCCTTACTGTGCGTCACCACCTACGGTCCATACAGACGTGCCGCCTCAACCTCACTCCCAGTGGACCGACTGCAACTCTGGGCCCTCGTTGACTCGAAACTGCCCCCCTCGAACCGGGTGATCGACTCCCTTGCATCGAAAAAGTCCCATCCGTCTCGACTCGTCTGCTCTCTCATTCTTATCTATCCAGCCAGATCACACCCCCGAGTCTCGGTCGGCGTCTGCCGCGATGCGACCCTCGCAACCCTCGCCCCTAATTCTCTAAATAATCCTGCCATGCTATTATAATTCTCTATCCACCTTGACTCACTCGGTCCCCCAACAGTCGTATTCGCCCAACGATCGCAGGGGGCTTGATTTGGTGTGTTTCCGGGCCCAGCAAGATGCCCGTGGGAGTGATGGGCGCATCGGTGGACGTCCCAGAGCGACCGCTTCTCAGGTCCCACAAGGCGCTCCCGCGGAGGGGCATCGTGGTTCCTCAGATCGACCTGGCCCAACCGGCCTCCCCAGAGTCAAATGGCACAGTCACTGCGGCGCCGGTTCCTCCGTTGACTCCGCCCGGCGCAAACCAGGAAGAGAGCATGGGAGAGGAACAGACGCCACGGAAGATCAACTCATCGCATTCTGAGAACCAGTCCACAGGCATCCTCACGCCGCGCCGGCCCTCCAAGCCTCCTACCCCCGACGTGACACCGCCGCGTACAACTTCTATCAAGCGACCGAACCTCAATCATAGCGTGCACTTGTCGTCATCGTCGCGCGCCGAATCCTTCCAGACTGCCTGCGAGAGCATCTCGTCCGATGGAGATATGGAAACGCCTGTTCGATCCAGATCCCAGTCTGCGTCGCAGAAGGCCAAGAAAGGAGTGCCTTCGACCAACAGACAGAATGCGCGGAATGGTGTCAGTGCAAAACTGACGTATACCAAAGTGACGCCACCCTCTGCTTCGCAGCCGCTTAGCGAGACGGAATATGAAACTGGGTTTGAGTCGTTCGACGGAGAGTGGACGTCCAACAAGGCCGATACGTCTCCAACACCACTGGTGGTCGATAAACGCAAGCCTTCAAAGTCCCGGAGTGTATCAAACCACAAACCCACAAAGGCCGATACAGACACGCTGGACGTGCTGCATCTCGATGAGTCTTTAATGAGGGAAAAGAATCTGCGCGACAGGGTTCAGAAAACGCATCAAGTGGCTGAGAGTCCGTCGATGGAACGATTCCGCGAAGATATTGGTTGGCCCTCTTATGATGAACCCTCCCATGTTGAAGAAACGGAGTCGCGCCGTTTATCGGGAGTTTCTTCCACGTCCACAGTCGAGGCGATGATCATCGATTCTCCGAAAAGAGCCCACCGATCGTTGCGACACACCGAGAAGAGAAGCTCTCTCCGTTCTGCAAGTTCTCCTATCACTAGATCAGAGCGTGCATCCACAGTCTCAAATCCCGATTCGCAACATCGTCTTGTTCACAAGGCCGCCCGCATCTCGGAGCAGGATCGCCGGAGCATTTCATCCGACGTCTCATTCTCCACCAAGACGACCACCAGTGCACCTCCTATCCCAGCTGATATCATTCCCGTAGTGGTCATCCCCGAGAGACGCTCTTCGCTCAAGTCTGGACCCAACAGCCACGTTTCGTCTAAACCTGGCTCCCAGCGATCCAGTCAACGACCTCCACCGGTATCATCAGATGGCTCGGTGAATGTCCCGCGACAGCGGCCGCGGACCATGTCTGATTCCGTATCTGCAAAGTCCCGAGACATGGACTCGAGAGGACGTATCGTTGGTCGACCCGTCATCCCCCCGCGGAGCTCTTCGCTCTCGGCGCCGACAAGTCGTAACAACTCTCGCGCCACGTCGCTCACTTCGGAAAGCCTGCGGAGTCATACTTTGGCCATGGATTTAGAGATGCAAAAGCGCCGTGATCAGCAGCCCGTTTCGCCGCCCCGCCATAATATTCTGGGCCCCAATGGCTATGGCAAGAGTTTGTTGGAGCCTCCCAATCTACCAGGAATCATGGTTAGCTCAACGGACGATATGGCCACCCTACGACCGCCGTCGTTACCGTACACACAATGGTCGATTCCATCATCTTCGCCGGGTCCCATTGAAATCCGAGAAGCCACCGCGGTTAGCCTTTTCGCGCACAACAATCGGTCACTGCTGTTAGTTGATCAACGGGTGCCGCAAGACCAACGCGGGTTTGCAATGTTGGACCGAGGGTTGCCCTCTCGTGAGCCCAACCCTCAGACCCCAGACAACCCTATTCCAACAAGAGAGATATTCGTGGAATCCCCATTGAAGAACCCTCGTCCACCACCCGAACCCCCGGTCTCCAAACCTCTCCCACCGCTCCCGACACATGACATGACGGCGGATGATACCAAAGACGGCCCCGGAGGCCTTGTTCGTCGGTGGAGTTCTGTTCGACGCACATTGAGTACACGCCCTCGGTCGGATTCATTCAATACCATCACTCGATCTCTCTCCATGCGATCGGCCAAGAACCGCAAAGCAGGAATAGAAATGGACAGTCGTCTGCACCCCTTCTGGCGCCCACGAGGATTCTGGGACGACGTCCCCGGATCCCCCAAGAAAGAGAAATCCGCCATTCAAACTACCGCAGAGCCAGGCTTCGTCAGCAACTCACTGGGCCTCCCACAACAACGGCTCATCTTCGAGGGTCCTCCTGCCCTGAATCGCCGCAGCCCCGAAATGAGGAGCTTCTTCAGTGGACTCTCTTCCTCCACACGGTACCACGCCAGCCGTGGCAGTCTCGTCGACAACGGTGGTATTTTGCGTACTGGATCGCCGCTATATCAGAATCGTTACCGCGCCTTGTCTCGTTGGGGCATGCGCTGGCGATCATTGTCGCTTCGTAACGTGCGCGCTCGGATTCGAAGAGTCCGTCAGCGTCGTGACGAGCGGAAACGAGCTGCACGTCGGGAAACGCTGAAGCAGAGTATCGGCGGCCCCGTGTATGTGGTGTCTAGCGCGACCAATGGGGTCGTGCGGTGAGATTCGACTTTTGTTTTTGTTTTTCTTTCACGCTCTCATGACCCCGCCCCAGGCCTGTTTAGTGGATGTGTTTCAGCTGATGAAGATTACGATGCATGTGGGAGTTGCAATTGCCATTTCCCCCTCGTCTTGAGATGAGATTTCTCAGTTTTTGATTTTCACCTGGTTTTTTTTTTCTGCTTTATGTTCCTGGGTTGATTTTCTCTTATGATCTTTTTTGGTTTCCCTTTGATACGAGATTCACGAAACGATACGAAGCACGATGATGACTCGATGACTTATGCTTATGCTCATGCTTATGCCCCAATCAGCACTATGTACCTGCGGCCATCTTTCGGTGGCCATGATGTCAAGATGTACCATAAGATAAGCCTCTCTGCGTTGCGGTGGATATACACTTTGCCTTTGAGCCCGGATTGAATTGATAGTTGGCTTTTCGTTTTGATTTCGTCTGTGAGATAAATGCATTGTAGATCGTTCAATTCGTAGTTGCATATTGGTATACTAGGACACATCCATAACGCCGAGACACCATGATCGAATCAATATTCAATATCGACCACCCCAGTATCCCCTCCCACTCGCCCTGGTCCGCTTCCCCCTCCCACTAACACTCGACCTCCCCCGAATAGCCATCGACCCATACTCAGCCTCCCTCTCCCTCCTAATCCGCTGCTGATCCGGCGTTTCAGCCGACCCCGAAGACTCTGACAAGTTCTCGCCTCTTCGACGGGTACTATTTGATGCACGCTCACTTTCATTCTCACCCGCCGACACGGACGCAGCAGTAGCCTGGGCTCGCTTTAGCATCGCTTCCCAGGTCGGCGGGTCTAGGAAGGGCTGGGGAGACGAGGCGAATGAGAATTCAATTCGGGCGGGTTTGTTCATGGTGGAGTCATATGTTTCTTCGTCTTGGTTGTCGTCGAGAGGTGGTTTCATGTGTGTCGTTGCTGGTATTGTGCTGGGGTTTAGCACTTTGTATACTTGTTTAGAGTTGGAGGTTGTGTGTGTTATTGGTGGAAGTAAGGGGCGCTTATGTGGGATGAACAGTGGGCGTTTTGATGTCATCTTGTGAGTGGTAGATGTGTGAGATCAATAAGAAGGTAGGTGATGATCATGTCGCGTCGATGTGGAAGTGGAGGTTACCCCAAGGCTCTTATCGCTTATCAGCAGCTGTGCACTACATCAATGGCCTCGCGCACCTTCTCTCTACAAAGCACGTTAATAAGAAAGAGACTAAATTGCAATTTCATGACTAGTATCTTAATCAGTTACTCGATTCCATCCCTTCCCTCCGGCGCAGGCGAATCTCCAATCCAAAGTTGGGCACATGAAACTCCTCAAACGACAACGACCCATACAACGACTCCCTTCGCCCTCCGCCCTGCTTCAAGCCAGGCAAGACATCAAAATGGATCAGCAGATGCCCCAAAACCAGTTTCATAAGCGCACTTGCCATCCAGCGGCCGGGACTGCAATTCAAACAAGAACAGAGCATTGTCAGCCGATAAAAGCTCGGGACGGCAGTTGGAATTAAAAGGCCAAACGAAAAGGAATAGGAAGAGCAGTGGGCAGACGGGAAAATGTAGAATCCGATGAATTGCAAAATGACTTACCAGGCATGTACGCCCATTCCGAAAACGAGATATTCCGGGCTCAGATCGACGAGTTTGGTGTTGCTGGCTCCGGTGGCGGCGCGCTTTGCGAAGCGAAACCCGTCGAAGGTTTCCGGGTCGGTGTAGACGGTGCTTGAATGTTGGATGATGCCGCTTGGGACGCCGACGTGGGTTCCGGGCTTGAGAGTGATACCTGCGATGATTGGTTTTAGGGTCAATATCGCCGACTTCTTCAGGTTGTGCTCAAAGGCTTATTGGCGAACCACTCGTGACGACACTAACCATTTGAAAGTTGCAATTCAGTCACGCAGACTCGGTGAGCAGATACTGCAGGTCAATTAGTTAACTGTTATTGCAGATGAATCCCGAGGCACTGGCCAGATGAACATACTGGCTGCAGGAGGATGCAGTCGCTGGCACTCCTTCAAGAAACTGTCCATCAGAATCATTTGATCACAGCTTGCAACTGTGGGCTCTCGATTTGCTAGAATGGCCTCGGCTTCCTCGCGCAGAGGGTCAATATACTCTGGGCGCTGTGTGAGCTCGGACAAAGCTCCGTAGAGTGCCTGTATAGATTGACACCGAAGTATCGCGTTAAATCCACGCTTCAACGTCTTCTGTGACTTGTAGAGTAGGTTAAACGTACATAGGCAGTTGTATATATGAATGCAAACTGCAAGAGCAACATCTCGCCAATGACCTCGGAGTAGCTCCATTTCTGATTCACGATGGAGTTTTCGTATAGCCAGCGGAATATCTCGACCTGGACGAAGACTCAATGTAAGCATTACAAAAGACAACTAAGCGAAAATCGAGAACAAGACCAACCGGATTTTCCTTTTGCTCAGGGTTGGTCTTGCGATCCTCGGCAAGGTCGCCACTAGCCATTTCATTCTGATATTCGGCCGCCCGTGCATCGAAGTGCTTCAGCAAGGTCTTACGAGATGCATGCATATCCCATCGAGTGCCGAGAGTGGCCAGTCGGCCGATGAAGCCACCAAAATACCTATTTCGTCGAGGCACCGTGAGTTGCATGTTAACATAAAAGTAAGAATTCCAGCGTCTAACCTCTTTAAGCCATCGGGAACTAGAAATTGGACTCGGGTGGTCACGATCATGCCCAGGATATGATCCTTAACGGCCTGAATATACTCCTCGTTTTGAGACAATCGTGATCCCACCATGGCAAAACTGCCACTGCGTGCGACGATGGAGTAGGCAAAGTCGAAACAGCCCACGGCGCATTCTAGGGGAACTGCCATCAGCAAGGATCTCATAGGCTCGACTTGTAGCTCAAGACAGAAGTATTTGGACACAAACCTCCATCCATAAACTTAAGTGCCCCCAGCTGCGAAGATATGGCTTCATTCATGTGCGGGATATACCGGTCCAACTGCTTATGTGCCGTGCTCCGAATAAGACCTGGGGTGGTCTTTGCAATTGCTGGCCATCCTTTCTCCTTGGGAAAGTACCCCGGCATGACATGAGAGATCTGCAGTAGCTATTGATTTTTGTAGTGAGTTTAGTTCCTAGAAGGCGGAGCTAGTCGAATGGGGATCGCTCCTACCTGGTCAATCCATGGTTCGGGCGATGCTACCGCACTTCGGGTATTCTTGAGCTCTTCGATTAGCTCTGGCTTACACAGGATTACCTGGCCAAAGCGGAAGGTGCGTGGGATCTCGAAGAGACCATTGGAGAACCGAGCGTAACCGTCTTTAATAAGAGCTGGGCCGTTGACTACGAATCGATAGTGCTGGTATAGGATGGATAGCGGGCTTTTCCCAGATAGCATCGGAATGCGGCCCTGTGACATAGAGTTAGTACTTCATCATCGAACGAGATGGACATATGCGCCAGTCGATACAAAACCCATCTAACAACCTCGTCATTGGATAAAAGGGCTCAAGAAAACTAACATTTGCAAGGTATCTCGACCTAGCAAACAGCGCAAGCGTAGTCACTAGAACAAGAGTGACAGGTAGAATCAGGAAAATTGAAATAGCTGTCAGCTTGATATCGAGGCCAGTCGGCCAATCGATGTGCATGTTGGTCATTTTGCTGGAAATTCAGGACAAGACAATACGGGGACTCCTTGGGTTGAAAGGAGATCAAAGAAATTACTCCAAGTTTTGGCGATTTTTAAATGCATATATGTACGCCTCGACAGGCCATCTAGTTCGAGTCGGTCGAGGGAAAGTTGTTGATGTTGGGCTCATACTACAAAAAAGTACGTAGGCAAGGTATGTTGACGCCCTGCCATGAGGCGGAGGTAGATGCACAGCACTAATTTTTAACTGGTAACCAATCGGACTGCAAATGATCTAGGAAATTTGATATTGAGTGCATACATGAATCAGATCGATGACCCATGTTGCATGTGGCTCCTATACTAAGTGGACCGGAACAAAGAAACAGAAAAAAACGGCCCGTTTTCGAGCACGGAACTACCACACCGCAGCCCGAGCACAACAAAGAAAGAGAAAAGGCTCAAATTTGAGCACCCACCACACATGAGATAACAGTCGTACAAAGAAACTCGTAGAGGCGGAGAAACGATATGGGCGGGGCCCAAGTAGATCAAGATAAGTGACAACGAGATTGAAAAAAAGAAACTCCCAAAAAGGTATCAACGATTGAATCCGTGTGGTATAATGATACAAACAGAAGCGTCAACAATATACGCCCGCAGAGAACCAATAGAAAACGCCAACAGAAAGAGGGCAGGCAGAAATTGCAGGGCATATAAGTCTATGCAATGCTTTGCGGCTCGATGCCGCCCATCGTGGAGTATGAGTACGGCAAATCTACCAAACCATCGAGCAGCCAGTTCAGCGGGTCGAATACCTCGTAGTTCGGCTCCATGAACCCGCTCGGAAGTCCAGCAACGCTACTACCTGGTGCTTGGACTCCAAGGCTTGGCTGCGTTAGCATTGGTGCAGGTGCAAGGCTTGGGTCACCACCGGAAATTCCAGGCGTGGATGACTGGGTTCGTGGTAGGCCAACGGAAGATGCGGCCGAGGAATCCGCCGCGGAATCTGGGTTCGTTGGGTTCTTGAGATATGCTAAAGAGAGTTTAGTACATGTCATTTTTTGCGACAAAAAAGATTTGCCTTACCTTCAATGTTCCGGCCTTTAGTCCGCGTGTCCTCTCGCCATCGCCATACCGAGTCGAAAAGCAGAGACATGCTCATCCGGCAGCGAACCTTCAATCTCAACGAATCATCCACATCGGTAGTATTTCCAGTCGATCGCTGTGTTCCGCCTCCAAGCCTCCACATCTGGGCGAGCACCTCGGCTAGACGTTCAGGCAAATCATTGCTGGAAACAGACACGCCGCGAATGGCCCAGATAGTACGATTGAACAGATTTTTCGTGTATTCCATATCAATATGGGATGAGAAAAAGCTCTTACTCAACTTGAGAAGAGTGCAGCCGGCTGCAACCATCATCTGGTAAATGTAATAGGGGGTATAGCTGAGAACCGGTCCGACGTCCGTTTCAAGGTTCATGACAACTTCGAGGAATGATGTGGTTGCAACGTATAGGGAGAGCAGACGCTCGCGGTAGTCTTTCGCTGAAGGCTCATCGAAAAATGCGGATAGGTGTAAGTGCAGGTTCGAGGCACGCAAATACAGATTGGTTATGGCTGAATTCACGGTTAGTATGGGACCAAAGCTGCGGAGAGGAAGATGACATTACAATCATTTTGCGCTTTCATTTGCTCCTCGAGCTCATCAAAGTCACGCGAAAGGAAAGAAATCATTGTGTGTCTTTCCTGATCCGTAGTCAGACCGACGGGGTCTCGCCGGTTGCTGTACAAGGCTCTGGTGATTTTGTCGCAGAACTTCTCAACCTCCAATCTAGGCCTGATATCTGCAGGCAACTTGAAGTTAGGGTCCAATGAGTCACTCGACAACGTCCAATCGTAAAGCGTTGAAGGAGGTTGGCCGTAACCAGTTGATACACTGATAATAATCAAAGATTAGCTTGGCGCTGGAGCGTGCATAGACCATGGGTAAATCATACCGTTGCGCAACAATGTTGCAAATAGCCCAGGTTTGCACCTTATCCCTCAATTCCTCCTCGATAAGCTCCACGCGGAATTTGCTAAAGTCTTGACTGTGCGACGGGCGATGAAGACCAAGCTGCATGGCGACCTGAATCATCATTCCACAAAGCATAAATGTCGGGTCCGTAGAAGTACTGCTTGTTGGGAAGGGCCATGAGCAGAGCAGGCAGAGCGCCTTCACGACATGGTAGCTTTGGGGGATATCTGCCAATGTACTCCACACGAGACGGGTGACAGGCCCAGCGAGGGAAGTCAACAGGCCCGAATCACTTTGGTACCGTCTAGCTCCAACGCTGATGATTGTCCAGAAAAGTAGAGGTGAGGCGGTATAGTAGTCATCGGGGGTCTGTGCCCGGTTGAGGAAAGGAAGAAACGGATGGTAATACGTAAAGAACCTGCCGCTGTTAGTCTCAATCGCCCTACTTCCCATGAAATCTTGATGCTAGAACCTACAGATTGAAAAGTTCCGTCGCTTTCTCCGGAACAACCATTACATCTTCAATCCGTTTGAATTGATGATTGCCGTTCCGCATGTAGTTGGAGCCATCGAATCCCGAACGCAAATCAAGCAGCGACGCGACCGCTTCTTGAGAGCCCATGTACTGATCCGCCGACATGGCTGAGGGCGTCTGGTAAACACCGGCGGGGCTGACTTGATTCGATTCTTGCTTAGGCGTCACTTGACCTGCGGCTAGTGGTGGTTGTTGTGGGTAGGTGCCTGGGCCAGAATTTGCGGTAGCAATTTGCTTCCTGAGCTCGATGATCTCTCGTTCCATTTCCGCGTTGCGACTGCGCTTTCCAACCCGCTTGAAGTTAGACTCGATCTTGCAGTCGAGTTTTAGTCGACGACATCTGGAACAATCGGTCCAAGGGTCTTGAATGACATCGCATCGAAGCTATACGAAATCATCCAAGTTAGCAAATATGCGTCGTTTGCGCGACTTGGTTTCAATAGACGCCGCCACCCGGCTGCGTCGCATTGAACATAGCAACTGAACGTACCTTTTGTTGACGACATTCGTTACAGGCGCGCTTTACAGGCTGTCGCCTCTTGTCATCACGGTCGTTATCATCGGCGTCGTCGATACTGCCCGGTGAACTATCCATCCCCGCAAGAGTGACATTGCGCTTGCGACCAGGCACGTTATCGGCAGCAGCCATAGAGGCAGCAGTATGATTGACACCCGCCATTACGGGACTGGTGGCTGCTGAATCATTATCAATTTGCGCAATGGAATCCGGAGCCTGGGTCTGCGACCCTTCGATTCCGCTCGATCGCCCAAAAGACGCCAGGCTGATGACGTTGCTGCAAGCGGGACCAAGATCCCGAGGGGCTGCGGGGAGAATTGCTAGTCTAAAGATATGCAGACAGCGCGGAGAGGAAGTTCCGGCAGCGATTCTATTGCGCAATGACTTTTTTTCAGCCCGAGATAATCTTTTCGTTCTCCGCACAGGCCGTGGGATGCAGACTTCAGTTGCACCAGTGAGAATGACTCAGCGCGGGGGTTCTCACGTGACTTGGCCCCAGGTTGGACGAGACTCTGATGTAATGTTCAGGCAGAACCAGGCATCAATATGGCCGGACTTGTGCTCCAGCTCCCCGACCGACCAAACTTCATTTGGGAATTTCTCCTTAGTGCCGCTTTAACGAAAGCTAATTTCGCTAGGAAATTGTGTCTCTAGCCGTCTCTACATATACCTTTATTGGTAATTATTCCACCTTTTGTGTTTGGCCATGGCACTGCTACAAACGACAATCGCTATGCGTAGTTGCACATCCAGAAGCCAGAACACCACCGGTGATCCACAATGGAAGGTGGGCGGCCGTTGCTGTTTACTAGCGCGAGATCGAATCGCTCTCGAGCTTCGAGACTTCTTCCTCGCTTAAATGCCGATTTGTATGAGATGACGTGATTGAAAAGTGGGACTAAGAAAAAGAAAAAAGTTTGTGACTACAGTATTATTGTCAACTGTGTCGTACAAAATCCTTCTAAATGATAGGTCCGAACTACCTGATTCATGTCAAGATCTACGTTATAGAAATTAAGAATCAAAAACAGAGCGTGTCTTCAATTGAACAAAGCCATTGCGAGTAAAGAAAGAAAGTCTAGCCGTGAGAAAGTGCTAATGGTATTCCCTGCAATTCCGTGGTTAAAATGTACGATTAGCGACCGAAGTACCAGGCCTCTCCCATACTGGTGTCGTGCAGGCTAATGTCGGACTCGGACTGGGCAATCGTCGAGGGGGTTTCTATTGCAAGCTTTTGTCTCTTCGATCTGTGACCTGGTGGGAAAAATGGGGTATAATCACGAGTGCGGGAAGTGGGAAGCCCATATGGACGATAACGAATATTGGTACGGGCTGCTCGTTGAGGTCCAGGATGACCTAATTGTTCAGTAACTTCACTCTCTCCAGGAGCCAAGTTTCCAGACAAGCGACGCCTGTTGGCCTTTCCGCTTGTGTCGTCAGTAGATATACTTCCTTGCCGGGTTTCCCAGACGACTTTACTCCCACGTCTAACAAATCGGTAGGTAGGTCCTGTTCTCGTCAAGTTTCGGAACCATGGCCAGGAAAATAGACAGGAGCCCCGGGGTGTAGTAGATCTAACTCACTGTCGAAGGGTTGCCTTTTCTTATCAGTGCCACCATCTGGTCGGATGATGATTGTGAAACAAGGTCGTGTCAGCGGTGATTCACCCTTCAAGAATTCTGGAGAGGTACACTTAAGATGAGGGAAGTGCTTGAATATGGTTCGGTCGACAGTGGAAGCGATATTGAAACCTGAAATGCGAGACTCGTCACGCTGGGGGCTCTCAAGCTTTGCATCGTTTATTTTATCCAATGGCAAGGGACACCACCAGAGAGTATCTCCATCATCAAAGTAACCCTGGTCGATGAGGGTTTTCTGTAAAAGGTCAAATTGCGCTGGTGAGATGGATGCGCCGTTGATCCAATCTCCTTCGGGTGATCGATCCAGATTCTTCGTTGGATAGGGTAGAAGGTCATTCAATCGAATTGGAATCGGCGGCTTGGTGAGATCTGCTCGAACTACTAATACATCAGCGTTTGGAACAACCGTGGCTCTTTGGTAGTCGAAACCACCATTCGAAGTTGAATGAGGTTGACTAATGCCGTATTGCTAGTAGGTATTTTTCATGAGATCCATGTATCGTTCTAGGAGCCGATACATCTCCTGTTTGAGAGCGAGTTTCCTGGTGCCCTTCACGTTTGCAGGCAAGCGAGTGAGGAATCGGGTTGCAACAAAAGCAGCGCGCAAACTGTTGCGCTGAGTCTTGGATTTCAATATGATGCGCACTGCGCCGTCGACGCTCGTGTCTTGGGTAATTCCAAGGAGGTGAATATTGCGCACAACCAAGGTGAAGACCTCGTAAATGATGGTCAGAACCGCATTCTTCTCCTGGTTTGTGCTCGCACCGATTCTCTCCCAGGAATGATGCTTCTGGAGATCGGTCTTAATAGAGTCTAGCTCCTTCGACGACATATTAAGCAATGATGAGAGACGAGAGTTGGTAAATGTTAGTGGGAGTTTCAGTTTGAGGTAGCCTGATTGATCAAGTTATGTGATTTATCTGTGTCTACGGAGGAAATCAACGACTATTTATTCCCCTAGGGATTGTCTCCTCCGAGAGAGACAATATGCCTCATCACCTCGAACTCGCCTTTCATGTTCTATTGATGCTTTCGTATGTAAAACCCATCACAAAACAGAAACTATTTTACAGCTTGAAACAGTAAAGAACACAAGGAAGTTGTTTGTACAAAAGCTCGATCCAACAAAGAGTCGTATTCGATCGAAATCGATAACGGCTTTATTCTCGATGTCTTGTTTACATTCACAAACAAAGACTATATTTATCAGGAACAATGATACAACATGTCTGCAACAAAGACTCCTATTCATGCTTTTTTCGATATTCCTATAGAGGTCTCCCCTGACCCAGAAGCAAAGATTAGTTTCGCATATCATTGAAGTATCCTGCATTATTCAGTTGCCAACTATAGTAACCGATAGTCGTACAACCATCACGCCAATGCTAACTTATGAGGTCATCTTGACTATCTGACCAATTATGTAGAGATCTCCCAATCGGGGCTATACAGAGGATCGCTAAGCCGCTCAAACCGAGGCAGTGCTGGCGCCAAACGGGCAAAACAGCCAAACAAATACAACCGTGCGGGCCACGTTGCGCCCGGCGTTTTGATACCGTGTCCATTCCAGTCAAGACCTCATTTAGTTTGATAGGTCTTGATTCGAACCGGAATCCACGGCCGCTACGTGATTCCTCTTTCAGATGACCAGCCTCCTCGTGGTTGGACCCGTGGTTTGTCGTCTACTGCGGGGTCCCTTCGGGCAACCGGGCAGTCTTGCCCCCCGCCAGTAGCAAATGGCCAATGCGATTACCATTCGTTCTCGCGAAGCTTGACTTTGTTCTTCCGCAAGGCTTAGCTAGGCGGATTTCTAGTCGCCTTCTAGCGTCACTCTTCTGCTGGCTGCTGCACTGCCTGAGGTGGCATTGTGGATAGTTATTGGCCCCAGGCCAACTCCGTCAGGGCGTTGCTGCCATGCTGTCTTATTCTCTCCGAATTCAGGCCCACTGGTTCGATCATCTGCTGATCTCGCATAGCCAGGGTCCTTGATCTCATCCGGGCGTCGGGGCCATTTCTGTATATCACCGATCCGAGTCCGACGTCAGCAGCCCCTCGGACATTTAACTATAAAGCTCCCTCCGGGGCCCCAGGACTACCCCAGGATCATCTAACTTGATCATAATCCACAGCGAATAAATACACTACAACATCTTCATCTAAATAGTCTCTTTTGATCTTCCGTGAACCGCAACCATGGGGTCAATCGCGGACGAAAAGTCCAAGAGCGCGCCCCTCAACGATGCCACTAATGGTGGCGAGGGCTCCGCAAAGGCCTCCAAGGAGAGTCCGGAGCGCCCACCTTCATACAATCAGCCAGACGAGCCAGATGTCGTGGTCCAATTGCCTCAGCTCAAGCTCACAGACAAAGATGTGCCAGTCAGTGAGACAACTCAGACCGTCAGTCGCGACCAGGTCGTCGCGCATCTGAAGTTCCTTGCCGTTCTGGGAGACCTGCGGGACTTTGTCTCCAACAGTGACGGTCTCTTTGGTCTATTTGACTCTGCCGCCGACAAGTACCCCGACTCGGTCAACGAAGCTCGTGTTCGTATACGCGAGAAGCGCTGGGCTGTGTATACGGCTCGCGCCGTTGATCGATATCAGAAATGGTGGTCGGCTTGCCTCCCAATGTCCCGATCGGTTGTAAGGATGCAAGACTTGAGCTCGGCTACTTATGAAACGATCGTGAATTGCGACACCAAGGTTCTGTGGAGTGTAGATAACATGCCCCCAATTGGTGAGTGTTTAATTAAGGGTCTCCCCATCCTCAGCATAACTAACAACTTGTGCCTAGATATCTTGATGGTATGGCACTCCCATATGCTCAATCCGAGAGACTTCCTCGAAGATTGCATCCGGTCTGGCAAGATGAGCACTTGGAGAACGGGCTTCCCCTTTGCCGCCGTGAATGATTGCATCAATGACCGAACCTTGGAGTACACCGTGCCCGAGAAAACGAGACTGCTATTCCAGGAGCGGCTCAAATTAAGCTGGGACAACTTCCATGATCCACCCGGCAAGGATCTCGAATGTCCCCGCTGCACCCGAATCAACACTGTCCTCTGGACCGAAGGGGGCATCGGAGAGTCGGCGAAGGAAGCCTTCAAGGATAGCACCGGGTTCGCCGATCGGTCATTCGCAACTACCTGCAAGCACTGCAGATGCCTCATCAACCATGACCGCCTTAGAGTCGCAAAATTCCGCAGCGACCTGATCGAACTACTTAATGATAAGCTGCCGATGCCAGGGTCCATCTACAATCTCAACGGCGTTCCCGAAGGCCTTTCTAGAGGGAAAGGTCTGCTCCTCCACCAATATATGCTTTTCCCATCGCTACTGATGGAGGTTATCGGGAGAGACTTGCTCGCTTTCACCGACCCTCGACTGGATCGGTGCAGGGACATCGATGGCCTTCGCAAGGAGCTTGAAATGAAGCTGCGCGACCGAAAGGTGGTAAGCAAAGCGCACCAAGGTGTCTTGCGGAATAGCTCTATCGTCCGGCCCGGCGAGAAGGTGCACTTCCGCCGCATGATGTCGCACTACTGGGAGAATTTCAGCCCCTTCGCGCTTGATCTCGTCGGCGCGGTGATCCGTCAGGGAACCTTTGTCCAGAAGATGGACAACATTGACTGGTTGCACTCGCCCACAGTCATGGAAACTGCGGATCGTCTAATCAAGAAGTACAACGTCTTCTTCCAGATTATGTACGACAATCCATCGAAAATGGCCGTTCCAACGTTGGACGTCGATCTCGCCTGGCACACGCACCAGCTCCAACCAAGACGATACTACAAATACAGCACGCGCATAAAATCCTCGGGACTCCGCATTTTCTTCGATCACGACGACAAAGTCGACGAGAATAAACTCTCCGAATCCTTCGAGTGGACAAGCAAAATGTACCGCCGTGCCACGGACGGCGCTATCTACAGCGAGTGCACCTGCTGGTACTGCGAGGCTACCCGCGCACCGGATCTATACGATCGCCTCTTCAACATGGGCTCTGCCTCGCGAGCTCGTGATAACGCAGATACCCTCCACGACCGCGCAGATATATCGTCTGACCCGGACAAGAACCCACATATCTCCGCACACAACGCTGTGCGACCATCGAGCCTCGCATCCCTGGATCCCCGTGTCAGCCAGCTCCAGCGCATCCGTCTGCATCAGAACTATGAGAAAGCCGTTCGACGTGCCGAGAAGCGCGGCCGTGTCCGGTCTGATGCGCAGAGGAGCAAGGACGGCGGTTACGAGCCGTACTACTATGCCCCCTATGTCTGGGGCTACCCAATCGTGGTACCTTACTATGGTCCATACATGTGTGATCCGGGTATCAGTTCGGACTCTTATGCTTGCAACCCGAGCTGTATGAATGTCAACGCCGGTGCTGTGGGCAACTGCTGCTCTGGAACATGCGGCGGTGGCGTGGCAGCTGGTGCTTGCGGTGGTGCCGGTGGATTTGGCTGTGCTGGTGGATCTGGAGCTGCCTGTGGAGGAGGTGGATCTGCCTGCGGAGGAGGAGGAGGAGGAGGATGCGGAGGAGGAGGAGGAGGCGGTTGTGGTGGCGGCGGTGGTGGTTAAGTTGCTATGCTTGACACTCTCTATGATGGATGCTTTTTATGACCGAATACCCTTAATCGCTCCTCTTTGCTTCTTGTTTTGTTGATTTTTAGCCTGTTTGCTATCTACTCTGCTACTTGCTTTACTTACCTTGGCTGTGTATAGTTGTGCTACTGTACTTGATGTTAATGAATTTCCATAATACAAGATGGCCTATAATGTTTTTTTAAATATTCAATCAGAACTTAAACGGGTTTATTTACTATAGCCTGTCCGAGGAAAATATAGCAATGCAACCTTTTGAAAACGGCGAGACTGCTGCCGCCCCCTAGATTTCCCGTGTGCATCCTCTGGGGCCTTAGATCTCTGCTCGACGGGCTAAATATTGCTAAGCCCGTCATGGGTACAGTAGGTATAAGTATCTTTTGGAAGGTCTTTTGAGATATCTTTTCGGATGGTCTTTTGAGATATCTTTTTGGAAGGTCTTTTGAGATATCTTTTCGGATGGCCAAAATGATATCTCTCGACCTGAGTAGGTGATTATCTTTCAAGATACGACTAAAAATACGATTTTGAACTTAATATAAAACTCCACTATATAGAAGACTACTATATAGAATACTATGTATTATTATGCCTAGCAGGGATCTAAGGCCTCAAGGGGTGCGCGTGGGAAACCCAGGGGGTGGCAGCAGCCTTACTCTTTTATTCCATGATCTTCAATGTATGCCGAATGATATTCATATATCTAGGTATCTAACGAGGGTATCACGGTCTTCAAAGTCAGACACATGCAAAACAAAACTACATGACAATACACTTATTTCGACGCTTCCGGCTCCTTTCCCGGATAGTATGTTCGTTCCAATCCTCAATACGCCTCCGCCACTCCTCATTCGCAGGCGGCGGCAAGCTATTCGGCTCCGTCGATACCCGCCGGCGGAACGATCTCTGTCTGGCGGGGATCTGTGCCTCTTCGTCTTCTTCAGTGAGATCTAAGGCGTTGCCGGACGGCTGGGGGATGTGCAGCAGATTCGGAGAAGATACGGAGTAGGAAAGGTAGTCTTCACCGAGGAGGGTTGCTCCTAGTGTTGCTCCTAGGGTGGCTTGCCCTTGCTGGGCTGGTTGTTCGGCTGGGTGGAGGCTTAGTGTTGGGAGGGGTTGGAGAGAGCGCAGGTGGTTGGTAGCGACTGGGAGATTGGGTATGGATGCACTTCTCATGTCGGAGCGCGCGGGCCAGGCATGATAGTTCTGTGTCGTTGTTGCGTGGTTGGCGAGATGTTGATCTGGTATGTGCGGCACTTGCGGTATTTCTGGATAGGCTCGCTCCAGGCCAGGGGTTTCTCCGGCAGCAGAAGAGGAATCCCTTCTACCTCTACTGGTACGTCTATTGCTAGTAATTGAGCCAAGACGTTGAAGGAAAGCAGATTGCGGACGAGGACGATCCGACGGGGTTTGTCGGGCCACACGGGCGGTCTGTGCTCGCTGAACAGGCTGAACAGGCTGAACAGGCTGAGCAGTGCCGTTTGTTTGATTCTGAGCATTTGAAGACCTGCTTGGAAGAAGTGTTATCTGAAGATCTTCTGGCAGAGGTTGATCAGCTTCGCGAGTGTAAGGCGGTGGCGGTGGCACCCAGTTATCTGCATCGCTCTCGTGTGGAATTTGACGACGACCGGAAGTATTCCGATATCGCGGATCATAACGTCCCCGCGTAGATGCCGCAGCTGTAGCAGCCCGGTGAAGTGTGTCTTGCGAACGAGGCTGTGTATTATCATACGGGATATCAACCACGTCACCACGAGTTTGCCCGTCTGGAGATGTTGCAAGGGCAGAACTGCTTCGATGAAGATGTGAGAACGCGTGTTGACTTGCAGTCCGACGAGCTTCCCGAGCGATTGCCCGCGATGGCCGGTGGACGAGGCCCGTCAAGGTCGTCGGATCGGTATCTCCACGGTGCAAACGAGTTCGTCGCCTTTCCAATTCTACTTCAGTGTCCAGTGAAGAGTCTGGCTCCGTGAGCATCGCAGGGGCGGTCTCGCCTACTTCGATATCCAACTCGGTCTCCTCGCCGTTGGTAGTTGATCTCTCAAAATCCAAAATAAGTATCCTCCCACCGTCCACGGGGATATCTTCTTCACCGAGCACTTGTGGCCGTACACCACCAGGTGCCACGGCAACGAGCCGATGTCGTGGCTGGCTTGAAGCAGTACATCGTACCCAGCGAGCAGACGTGACTCCATGCATATCAGTGATCCGCCGGCCACGAATAAGAGCCTTCTTGGGTTGCTGGATGATCTTCTCCAGCTGAGCCCGGTTATCGCGAGGCACCAATTGTCCCTCACTATGATGATTCCCACAGAAATGGGGGTCATTGGCATCTTGTCCCTCCGGGATCGGTGGAGTCACGTCAAGGCACGCAGGCACTCCATATATCCATATTTCAGAGTCTTGAAACCCTAGAGCAGCGAGTTCTCCCGCATTATCCGTAGACGGTTGCATAATGGGCAGCATTTCTCGCAACTCATCGGCCAAGAAGGGGCTAGCAAAATATACACCTCCGCTATTGACGTTGTTGACTTTGATTGCTCGGAAAGCTGCCAGGGCGCTGTCATAACCAAGTATCCAGCTGTCGTCCGCTTCCTCGTGGCCGTTTATTAGACAAGCGTGAGTAAACTCGGGAGTAGTCTCTGGGAAAAGAATCTGTGTTGTCCACATGCGCATTTGGAGCTCCTGTGGCGATGCATCTATTCCTATGTCCGTGTAAAAGGGGGCTGTAATGGTGACGATGCCACCTTGGTCATTATCAACGGGCGATCCGAGTAACATGGTACCATCTCGGGAGAAAGAGAGTGCATCGACACGGGGACAACGCGCGGCTCGGCGTTCTGTCGACAGAACCTCTTCCCCTACGGCATACACCTCAATGCAGTCTTCAAAGGACAAAGCCAGAACGCTTCCCAAGGGCGAAAACGTCAAGTCTCTGGGGGCATCATTCAAGGTAATCGTTTGAAAATGCTTGACTTCATCGTTCAGCAGTCGATAAATATTGACCTTATGCGTGGAAGATAGAACGGCAAGTAGGGAACCATCATCTTGGATTGTTGCACCTAGAGGCCGCCGGCGAGTCTGCAGTTCGTATTTTACAGCAACCGGTTCTTTGGTCACATCTAGCACGACAATTCGAGACGAGCTAATGCAGAGCACCATTTGACCGTAGGCCGAGAAGGAAAAGCGAAACACCTCGCCCTGGGGAAACGGGGTGGACGAGCTCATAGAACTGGATATTAATCGAACCAGGGTGCGACGAGGTCGCAGGAAGACATCAAAGGCATTGCGTCTAATTTCTTCTAGGAATTGGCGTTTGAGGCCGGCCAGACTGTCGGTCTCGCTCGGCGCGGGGGTTGCCCCTCTTGTCCAAGTGAAAGACGAACATTGCGATAGATGGTAAGCATACAGCGACGGCGACTCTGATATCCGTCTCCATTGTCGGTTCAGTAGAGTCAAAGATGCAAAGACGTTGGCATCGACGGCATAAAGAATGCTACGCGGGGCCGTGTTAGGCGCGTTCAATGCCACATGGCCTTGGGGGAATTTCGGGGTGGGGGAAATGCAATCCGACCAAGGACAAGCCCACTTACTGCTCAATTATATTTGGAGGCAGCCGATCAAAGGCGCCAGTCTCTTGAGGGATCGAGACCTCCTCCTCCATGATCACCAACGGTTCCCGACATGCGGAATTGGCGCTGTCGGCCAAGTTGGAGATGCTTTCCTCCTTGGACTTGGAGAGTGGCTGTGCTCAGCCCCAACCTCCTCCTTCCTTCTTCTTGACGCCCGTCGATCTTCCATAAATAGCAGGCACGTGGAGCTGACTCAGCGTTCCCCGCATTCAGTTTAGTCTGGTTTTTTTCGCTTCTCCGACTCTCCGAACTGCGGCAACCCAGTTTGGAGGCGAGTTCACTTAGATTGGAACCATCTTCCTATTTTCCCCAGACACTCAATTACCACTCTGGTCGCGTCAAAATGTGGACTCTACAAAGTGCACCATGAAGTATAATGCGCCCTGACCCACGGTAGTGTTAACGTCGCTTGATCGTGCTCCATGCTCATCGCATTCGGCCGGGTTGTACCCCTCATTTTACGCAACTGAGATCGGCCGACTCCGAAAAGTCCCCGGGATCTTTTCCCCAGACTGTTTCCCACACCCACTCAATTCCACCTTCCTGTCGGTACCTCGTTCTCGGGCTTGCGCATCATGTCGCCTGCAACCCTTCAAGTCAATCCTAGTTCGAAGCTGCCGTCGCCCGGGTTCAACGCCGGTGCGCGACCCTACCGATCTCACAAGGTCCGCGCCTGCGACCTGTGTCGCAAGCGCAAGTCCCGATGCACGGTCGATATCCCGGGCCAATCCTGCCTCCTATGTCGCGTGCAGGGGGCAGACTGCCACTACCAAGAGGAGCCCAATCCGGACTCCTCAGTCTTGAGCACAACGGAAACCAAGCCGTGGTCGGGAGCGCCGCCGGTTGAACCCATATCGGGACAGAAGCGCAAGCGCAGCCCCGAGAGACTTCCTGAGAGACTTCCTCTCTCGCGTCAGTCAACCAATGGACCTAGTCCGCAAGGGACAACTTCCTCTGGTCGCCGTGGCAGTGATGCACGGCGCAAAGATGACGACCCGCACAATGAGTCAGTCCTCATTGTCGGCCCTATGGTTGCAGAGGATGCGCAGGTTATTGAGCAACATATGCCCCCCGAGCGATCGAGTCTATCCGAAGAACCTAATAGCCACCCATACAACATCTACTCGAGCGATCCACGGAAGCCTGTGCTCTATACCACAATCTCACGGCGGAGGAAGGGTATGCGCCGGGGAGTTCCGCCTGGTGAAAACCAGAGAGAGATCTTGGAGCAAATTCTAGGTCCTTTCAAACACGACCTTGTCAGACTGTAAGAATTATCATGTCAGACGCGTTGATGTTTCCCGGTGTACTAATCGCGTTTCTCTTCATAGCTTCATCGACCGGTTCAATGTCGCATTCCCAATTTTTGACGGTGAACAGTTCTGGGAGTCTTATATCACAGAAGGACTCGAAGATCCCCCAGCGTCGCTGATCTGCCAAGTATATTCAATGTCACTCGTGTATTGGAAACATACCCAGAAGCTCGCATGCCATCCAAAGCCCGACGTTCGATACGCGGTCAACATGACGGTGGCTGCTTTGCACGAAGAGTTCTCTGCGCCTGGACTGTCCACGATCAGCGCGGCATTGATTGACTTGACGGGAAGACCCATCTTCTCCATGACTGGAAACGCAATCAGCTGTGGACGTATGTTGTCTCTGGCCAACTGTCTCGGGTTGAACCGCGATCCAAGTCATTGGAAACTCTCGCAACAAGAAAAAGATCAGCGAGTACGTCTTTGGTGGGGTGTAGTAATTCATGATCGATGGTAGGTCACTCTGCGCAACCATGTAGCGCCAATGATCATCCTTTAACATGTTTCACAGGGGAAGCTTTGGTCACGGTGTACCGCCACAGATCGCCAAAACCCAATACGACGTACCCTTGCCTACAGTTGACAGCCTCGTTCCTCCAAATCTTCGTACGACCGAGCGCGTGAGAGCCGCCCACTGCCATATCTTCTTGTGCAAGTTGACCGAGATCCTCGGCGAACTATTGCCTTTGGTCTACGGCTTGCAGGCCAAACCGGCACGAGAAAGCTCCAAGAAGATCCGACAAATCCGGACCGATCTAGATATGTGGGAGGACTCTCTTCCTGACTGGTTGCGATCACCAGTCAATAACCGTGGGGAACAACTGTCTGCTTCCAGCAGCTTACAACTCGCTTTCTTGGCAGTCAAGATGCTTGTCAGCCGAGTGGAATTGAATGTAAGATCTGCCTTCTACAGATGGGCCATGAGACATTTTACTCACTCGTTGAATACAGGAGGTCAACAACGCTGATACCGACAACCCCGAAGCTCGTCGCTATTTCCAAACCGAATGCCGCAGATCCGCAGAAGAGATAGTGCGCTTCATTACCTCCTTGCGAAAGGATAATTTCAAAGAATTTTGGCTGCCATGTACGTCTCCTTGAATCTCTCATCTCACGCTGTGTAACAAACTGACAATTTCCAAAGACAGCGCTTTCCACTTAACGTCCACGGCCACCCTCTTGGTCCGCTGCGCCCTCGAAACAAACGACACCGAAGTAGCCCGGTCCTGTCTTGCCAACGTGGAAACCCTGCGCAACGTGCTACGACGCGTTCGCGAAGAGGAAGACTGGGATGTGGCTGACATGTGTCTGGATCACTGCGAACGAATCATGCACCGACTCCCCGGTACAGGCGCTACCATCGATCAGCCGCTGACTGCGGCGGCTATGACTGATAACGGGCTGGTCAACCCAGCTGCGATTTCACTGCCCGAGACGCAAACCAATAATGATATTGTGGATGACATGATGTCTATTTCGAATACTTTCGGCACGATGGACGGATTCCCCTTCGATATGACGGGTATCTGGGACGTTTCCGTATTCCAGGATGTCAATCTGCACGAGGGATGAGAAAACATGTACTTAACGTTGGCTTTTTTTGGTTCCTGCTGGCCCGTTCATAGGCCTTGGTCTGTTTATAGTTTTTTTGGTTTACAAGGGCAGGCAGGGGGGCGTGTACTTTAGATTAGCCCATTTTCTCGCAGTGTATATACCCAAAAGGTCCACATTCAACTTGGACCGTGCAAATAAAGGAATAATATCAAGTCTATCAGAGTCTCAAGTTTCTTTTTTCATATTAAAGCATTTGAACCAAATTTTGTACATGGAGAATCAAGAAACAAGAGGAAAAAAATCAGACTCCCCAAAACGCTATTTTACAATCGTTCCAAAGATGAAGGAATGCTCAGAACGAACCCCAAGAAAACCATCTAAATGACCTGCCCCTTGCCCGCAAATGACAAAAACAAACCCCAGAGATGATGAGTTGGGAGGGAAATAAAAAGGGGCGGAAGATTCGAGAGTGATAAGAAGTCTGCCGCAGGGGGTTGAAGGGAGCGAGAGATTTACTCCTTGCTAGAACCCATACCAAACATACCGGTGACAGAGCCCTTCATGCTGTTCATCTGCTCCTGGCGAGCCTTCTCCTCTTCGGCGGCCATCTCGGCCAGCCACTTCTCGCCGTTCTCGCGGATCTCACGGTCGATCATTTCGTAGTTCTTCTGGCCGCGCTCGCGGATCTGATCCCACAGCATCTTGCCTTGGGCGAGACCCTCGGAGGGCGACTGCTCGCCATCCATAGTACGGCTGGACTTCAGGCCGAGAGCAGAGGCAAGGCTGCCCATACCAATGGAGGGCTTCTTCTTCTGCTCTTCGGCGAGCTCCTTCTCGAAGCGCTCACGCATGGCCTTCTCACGCTTGGAGAACTCCACGGGGATGCTGGTACCCTCGAACGACTTGAGGACGGGGCGAACATCTTCCACACCCATACCGGCAAGGTACTCCAAGAAGGGGATGAGGGCAACAAGGGTCTTGTCCTGGGCATCACCGGTCCACTTGTCCAAAACGATGGCGTTCTCGGGCTGCAGGCGGGCGTGCTCCTCCTTGGTGTCGATCAGAATGACCTTGGACAGGTCACGGTTCAGATAAGACAGATCCTAATTGGAGATACAGGTCAGACGAAAGCAATTGATAAAATCATGCGGGTAGATTATCATACCTTGATGTACTCGCCGTCCTTGTAGCGGGTAGCCTCACGGAAGAGGGGCCAGCGGATGATGCGGTAAGGGTCGAGTTTCCGGAGAACCTGATCGGCCATCATACTGGGGACACTGGTGAACAGGACGAGCTCGTAGTACTGGTTGAGGTAGCGGAGGAAGTAGTCGACACCAGGACGCTTTGCAACACGCCATCCGTGCTCGCGGCTCCACTCGCTGTGAACGAGGAGATCTTCCAAAGACAGAACCAGGGTGTAAGGCTGGCGCATGTTGGGGTCCTCATCGGGGAGCAACTTGGGGAACGCAGGATCCTTGTAGTAGCTGGTGAGGTCACCCGTACGGGCCTTGATACGACCCCACCAAAGGCCGGGGCTCCAGCCGGATGGTGTCGCTGTGTGAGCACGCTCTTCCTCCTCGGTCTCCCAGTTGCGGCCCAGGTAACCCATGCCAGCAATACCAGCAGCCAGCATCACAGCGTACATGATGTTGGCCATGCGGGCCTTGCGGCGGTCGAGCGAGGTCTCGTATCCACTCTTGGGAATATCGCCGCCACTACGGCCACTGCCATCCTCGCTGTAATCTTCTGTTCGGGTGTGATCCTCTGTGATGTTCAGAGGTCCCTTCCTCTGGCGTGCTTCGAGCTCTGCGGCCAACGTCGACGGGATACCCTGGGTCAGGTCGGGGAGGGGCTTCTGGGGGAACTGTTCCGCTTCAGGCTACATGAAATAATTGATCAGTAAAGATAGAGATCCTCCACTTCATGGTAAACGATTCAAGATGGATAGCTTACAGCGATGGGAGACTCGGCCGCTTCGGTCTCAGGCTTGGCCTGTGATTCAGACTCTGGTTGCTCTGCAGCGGCCTGTTTCTTCGCAGCCTTGGGCTTCTTTGACTGAGGCTCATTAGCCTGCAGCGACTCCGGGAGGGTATACGGAGTGCTGTCCTTGCCCTTTGCGTACCACCGGGGTCGCTGAGCGGACAGAGCGGACACCCGGACGGTCGACGCGAGGACGTTACGCCTAGCAAGAGGCAGCACAGCACGGCTCAGCATGACGGAGGGTAGTAATTATGAAGTTAAAGATAGACAAGAAACAGTGCACTCATGCCCTTGCACTTAGCTTGGGGGAATCACGTCCTCGGCTTCGGGACGAGTTTCCCGTAGAAAAGTCGGCGCGCGGTGTGAATCGGGTGGCGCATAGAAACCAACCGCGCAGTTCCTTTTTAATTCGCCCGAGTCTCACCCTGGCAACTTTTCTTCTTTTCTTCTCCATGAAAGTTGTACCCAGACATTAATTTGACCCTGCACGCGCTTCTTTACGCATGTCGGGTTGTATTAGCTGGGGAGACCAAGGAAGTTTCTCTTCTGAATCCCACTTCCAAGAGCCGCAGCGAAGGCATCCTCTGATGCTGTAGCTCCGTACGTGGGTGACATTCCTTTTTTTTGTCTTGATTTTGTTCTACCAAGAGGCTATTCTTCGTCTCTAGTCCCTTATCAAAGACCAAAGGCCAAATTACAGTGCAAACCTTCAGTTAATGCCGAAGATCCAATCTATGAGTCTATGAGAAACTATGAAAACCGAGTCCAATCCCTAGTTCCGTTCCGTGTACCTTGTTACTTATAGACTTTCTCCCTCGCCACCTCAACCTTGGAACCTTCCCTTCCCTTCACCATGCGGCTCAAAAAATCACAAAGGGCCGAGTTCTTCGAGGACGACGATATCGTCCCCGCAAAGCCCGTCCCAGCGCGACTTCCATCAAAACCATTCCGACTCCTGGATTTACCGTCCGAGATTCGAGAGCGCATCTACCATTTCGCCCTATTTACTCCCGCGCGAAAGAGCGCCCTGAAGAAGAATGGCACCGTGGGCGCTTCCGCAAAGAAAAGCAAAGCGTTCTCCCCAACGGCACAGCGCATCGCCTTATTCCTGACCTCGCGCCGCATTCACGATGAGGCCAGCTATTACTTTTACTCGACGCAAATTTTCCGGCTCTTCCCCGTCCAGGACTTTGCGCGCATGCCGACCGTCCGTCAACTACCCCGTCGCCACCGCTCCTCCGTGACTACAATTGAGTTGATTCTGGGGAATAGCTGGACTGCGCCGCCGAAAACCTGGACGGTCAATCAGGGCTTGGGTCTGCACGATATGGTCCTCACGCGCACGCTGAAGGTGTTTATCGAATGCGATCCCTCGCAACCGATCTTTGAGGGCTTCCGCGTCTCCAAGGAGTACTACACCGAATTCGCGGGGCGGCTTATGCGACAGGTTCTGGAGCGACTGCCGGGCCTGGTCCAAGTCGAGTTCGACGCTTACCCGTCGGTCCACAAGAACGGGTCTTTGATGACCCGGTTATTGCAGGAGACTCGAGATTTCCAGAAGAGAGTTCTCTGGGGCCCGGAGAGAGGCTGGGTAGATGGGGAAGATGACTATGACGACCCGGCAGAGGACCCGGCAGACGCGGCCATTGATGGCCTTCGTGCCTCTCATCCTGGTGTCGATGTTCTAGCCGAATCACTGCAGCTCGTGAGCTTGGGAACGGAGACAGTTGCTGCTTAGACTACACTGATGTGATAGACGTGATCATGATTTGGGATACAGTACATCGCGCGGCGTTATAGACTTGCTTTCGTGTTTAGATTACACATAGAACTCACATGCTTCGATTTTACCTCAAGGTCATCACTCGTAGGAACCGCTATTTTCCTGCCTATTACTCCAGGCTGCCTGGGCATCTGCCTTAGCAGTCTCGTTGTCCAACTTTAGACAGAAAAGCCGAAATGGGACTCTAGAGTTGCCTGATAACTATTCACGACGCGTACGTACTACTAGAGATGCGGTGTGATAGGACGAAACGAGGACAAAAAAACAATGATTCATAATTAGAGTGTTTTCGTAGGTTTCATGCGCCGTCTAACCCTCTAGAGTTCCTCATCCACCTCCATGGAGGCACCGTTACCACCATCCTTGCTTGTCGACTGCCGAGCAACGGATGCTTCCTTGTCAATCATCTGCCTCGACACAGCAACGATGTTATCCTCGATCAATTGCTGGCTAACGTCTTCGATGTCTGCGAGGGGGAATTAGTATTTAGTACTACATAGTAGCGGTGTTTCGCGGCGAATCTCAGATTCAACATACGCTTCTTAGGATCAACCTTGCCCACATATCTCGTCTTCAGTTGTTCCTTAGTGAGCTCGGTCTCCTCCTTAACCCGCTTCTCATAGCCCTCTGCAAGGCTAACGAGCTGCTTCATCTGCTCCACGTTGTGCTTGCCCTCCTCATGGAAGTCGTTCATCTGCAAAGCCTCGGTCCACACATGCTTGTGCAAGTTCATCAGCATGTTCTCCTCCAGGCCTGTCTTCCGGTAGTTGATGGCAATGCTGTAGTAGTGGCGGTTAAGACCGTGAATGAGGGCCTGAATCGAGGGCTTGTTCAAGTGACCCAAGTTTGACGTTGTTTGACGGGGCTCCTGGCCCATGACGACAGTCTGGGGTTGGATAAGACGGAAAGCATCAATGACGACCTTGCCCTTCACCGACTGGATGGGATCCACGACAACGGCGACGGCACGGGGAGTGAGCTGCTCAAAGGACTGTTGGGTGTTGATATCGACGGAGGAAAGCCAGCAGCCGAAACCGGGGTGAGAGTGATACCAGCCAACGACAGTCTCTGGTCTGCTCGAGGAGGACATGTTAGTGCAGCTCTTTGATATTCGGGCAGCAGGTATGGTGATAAGCGTACCGTCCGGTTTGTCGGAGCATCTCCATCATCTTGGTCTGGAACACAGGGTCTACAGCCTCGACACTGACACCGGTACCACTCTGAGGCATAGCAAATACGTCCACCACCCGAACTGTATATTCATCGACAAACTCTCCCAGCATCAGACCCATGACTTCCATCGGCACACCAGCACGGCCGTGTCGCAACATCTTCAAGAGTGCAAGGGAGGAAATATGGACGGTTTCGGAGTTATCGATCAGGTTGGGAGTGTCCTATATCGTGATATTGTTAGATATTGGTATCGGAGCTAGCATCATCCACGAAAGGTAGCTTATAAATGCAGGCGCAGAAGCTCGAATGGAGAGGGACACATGGCGACAACGAGACCGCCACCATCATGACTTACACCACCGGGAGCACCACCTCCCATCCCAATGCCTTGGGCGGCCTGTAGCATTCGGTTGATGCGATCCATGATGGCTGAAAGCAACTAAGTGAGGTGCAAGGAGAGAGAGACGTGAGTGATTGATAGCTTCCCGAGTGGAAGCTTCTGGGAGGTCGGAAGGCTCAAAGGGCTTGGAGGAATCGAAACCGTCTAGGAAAAGTTTGCAAAGCAATAATCGAGAGCAATGATATAAGAAGATGAAAATGGCCTAAGCAACCGTTCGAGTGAGCAGGGAAGTGTTCGCGTGGTGTTTGGTTGGTGATCCCAGGCGGCTCCCGGAGCTTAACTGACGAAGGCGGTCTGGGCTTCTGCCGGCTATGGTGCCTTCCCACGCCGCGATTGATTCTCTCTCAAGCCTCCCGTCTCTGCCTTCAGCGCCATGAGCATGACAATTCTTGCCTGCTGCTGTGCCTAGCTTCGTTGCCTATATATTTAGGTAGTTTCTGGTACTCCGGGTTGTCTGCCTACCCCCCGTGCCCTCGGCTATAAAGCCACTCCCTCATTGCTTTACTCCGCATACTTCCTCTCTCCTACCGTCTTCTTGATTGAGATACTCCCACACCTCCCACTACTTTCGCCCAATCTCTCGTCAACCAACGCGCAAGATGGCGGCCGAGCCCGTTGCCAATGGCTCTGGGGCCAACAACAAGAAGGTTGCTTACTTCTACGACTCTGATGTGGGCAATTACGCCTATGTTTCTGGCCACCCGATGAAGCCTCATCGCATTCGCATGACCCACAGCTTGGTCATGAACTACGGCCTGTACAAGAAGATGGAGATCTACGTATGATTTACCTTCCTCTATACCAGATGAGTGAATATAACTTCCGATTACTGACGCGCAAACATTTATAGCGTGCGAAGCCGGCTTCGAAGTACGAGATGACCCAGTTCCACACCGACGAATACATCGATTTCCTGTCGAAAGTGACTCCAGACAACATGGATCAGTTCTCAAAGGAACAAAGTCGTTACAACGTCGGTGACGACTGCCCGGTATTCGACGGTCTCTTCGAATTCTGCGGTATCAGTGCTGGTGGTTCTATGGAGGGCGCCGCCCGGTTGAACCGCGGGAAGTGCGATGTTGCCGTCAACTGGGCTGGCGGCCTTCATCACGCCAAGAAGAGTGAAGCCAGTGGTTTCTGCTATGTCAATGGTAAGAGATGATCCACTTTCATCTTAATTCACTTGGGCGCCAGTTAACCTTTAGTCTTGTCAGACATCGTCCTCGGTATCCTGGAGCTGCTGCGATTCAAGCAGCGTGTTCTCTACGTCGACATCGACGTTCACCATGGTGACGGTGTCGAAGAAGCCTTCTATACCACGGATCGCGTCATGACTGTCTCTTTCCACAAGTACGGCGAGTACTTCCCCGGCACTGGTGAACTTCGTGATATCGGTGTCGGCTCGGGCAAGTACTATGCCGTCAACTTCCCCCTCCGCGACGGTATCAACGATGCCTCCTACAAGAGCATCTTCGAGCCCGTGATCAAGAGCGTCATGGAGTGGTACCGTCCGGAGGCGGTTGTCCTCCAGTGTGGTGGTGACAGTCTGTCGGGCGACCGTCTTGGTTGCTTCAACCTCAGTATGCGTGGGCATGCCAACTGCGTCAACTTCATCAAGAGTTTCGACTTGCCGACTCTGATTCTCGGAGGTGGTGGTTACACCATGCGCAACGTCGCACGCACTTGGGCCTACGAAACTGGTATCCTGGTTGGAGATAACCTTGACTCCGAGTTGCCCTACAATGACTACTATGAGGTGAGCCTTTCTAAGCTAATGACTGATCGGCTAAAACTCAGCATACTAATAATTCTCACCAGTACTTCGCCCCCGATTACGAGCTTGATGTCCGTCCCTCGAACATGGATAATGCCAACACCAAGGATTATCTGGACAAGATTCGCAATCAGGTTGTGGAGAATCTCAAGCGCACAGCTTTCGCCCCGTCTGTTCAGATGACGGATGTCCCTCGCAACCCGATCCTTGATGGTATGGATGACGAGGCTGACGATGTCCTCGACGATCTGGACGAAGACGAGAACAAGGACAAGCGATTCACCCAGCGCCGGTTCGACCAGTATGTGGAGAAGCCCGGGGAACTCAGCGACAGCGAGGATGAGGAGGAGAATGCCGCCAACGGTGTTCGCCGTCAGCCCGGTGCTATTCGCCGCCGAAACCAAGCCAACTACAGGAACATTGACGCCGCCGACTCTGGCCTCGACAGCGGCATGGCTACTCCGTTGGACGCATCCTCAATCGCCGACAACGAGATTGATGCCGCTCTAGACACAAAGATGACGGACGTTCCAATGACCGAGTCTGGCGCCGTTACCGCTGCCGAAGGCCAGGATACTCCCATGGCAGACTCTGAACGGATGGCTGTCGAAGGCGATGATAAGGGCACCTCGGCTGCCGTGTCTCAGCAACCCTCCCCTCCCACGCACGATGAAGACACCACCATGGAGGATGTCAGTGCAGTTGCCGAAGAGACTGAGCTTCCAGAATCTCTCGATACACAGGAGGAAAAGAAGCCCGAGGTGACATCTGCCGCTGAGGAGACAACCAACGCACCCCCGTCACCCTCAGGGGCACAGCCGGTGTCGAAGGAGTCTTCCGTCCCCGCCGCCGATACTTCTGCGCCAGAGTCTGCGCCCGTCGGCGAATCCGAGACGGCGAAGCCAGCCTCGGAAGTGGCTACTGATGAGCCGACCAAGAAGGAGGAGTAAACATTCTGTGATACAAAGACATCAATATCGGGTCTAGGCGCAACGGACAATGGGCAGAGAGGTGTTATCGGTTTGTCAGCATTCACGTATCGTGTTCGGCCATGGAGGCATCGTCAAGTTCTCTCGTCATACATGAATTGCAAAAAGCGTTAATTCGAATGTCGAGAGTCCGTCTCTTTGGTCGAATGTGATCAGACAGATTTATGAGGCTCATATCCGATATTCTCCTGGAGTACGTCGTTCTCAATGGCTGGAAAGGAATCGGTTTGGTCCCTTCAATCGCGTCTGCTTTTCTTTTCCTTTTTCTAATTGATACTGTTTTATGATTCCATCTGTACAAGCGCATGAATGAAAGCTTTTGATCTATTTCAGAGTACATGGGACGAGCCTGGTCTATTCGTTCGCTTATCCATCATGTTCAGGGGGACCAAGCAGACCGTAGAACTGTTTACAGTAAATCACAAAATAGCTTTTAAATCAAGTTTCACTTGGCACATTCATAGCTACAGTAATCTCGCCCTCTTTCGAGTCTGTACTCCATAGTTAGCAGATACCACCACGTGACCTTTAAAGCTCCCGATGACCTAATCGGCCTGGTGCCTTTCCTAAAGCGGCCTAGCGCTAGGGCAACCCCAGCCCACCAATCGGGGCGGCGCCAAGATTTTCCTCACCCACCAGCGCACTAAGCGAGACGAGAAAGCACTGTGGACGTTTCTTCGACTCCCGACCTGACCTTCCGTCGCCAACCCTTTTCGCCTATCCCGACAACCCCGATACTCAGCCATCATGTCTAAGAGAGGGTAAGTCTGACTGCCCTGCATTCGAATCAAAAGCACCAAAAAAAACCACCTGGGAGAGTTTTCGCGGAGGATCTCGACGACCGAATACGCAACATCTTCAACATCGAATATCTCAGCCTGGGAGGGGAAATCTTTGGACGCCGCGACTCGGATGCAACAAAACGGAAAGAATGAACGGAATGACTGACTGAATTGAATAGTCGTGGCGGTGCCGCCGGCAACAAGCTGAAGATGACCCTCGGTCTGCCTGTGTACGTTTCACCTTGAAGATTTTCCCACGCCGTGTTCCCTCGTCCAGTGAAGCTTCGACAACCCCGTCAATTGCCAGTCGCCATGGTCGAACCGATTCCACGCCAGCTCGCCTATACACACCACGCTCAAACTCCCGACATTGAAATTTTACGAACAAGACCAAACCATGACGAATCGGCATTGGCGGGGAAAATCGTCGAAATCATTAGACGAGGATAACACGACATGGGAAAAGAATCACTGCTCCGAATTCAGCAACGCAATGGAAAACTAACGGTCTCGTTTCTCTCGAATAGCGGCGCCGTGATGAACTGCTGCGACAACTCCGGTGCTCGCAACCTGTACATCATTGCCGTCTGCGGTATTGGTGCCCGCCTGAACCGTCTCCCCGCTGCCGGTGTCGGTGACATGGTCATGGCCACCGTCAAGAAGGGAAAGCCCGAGCTCCGCAAGAAGGTCATGCCCGCCGTTGTCGTCCGCCAGTCCAAGCCCTGGCGCCGGGCTGACGGTATCTACCTGTACTTCGAGGACAACGCTGGTGTTGTAAGTGGACGATCATGTCTTTCCACTCGGAGGTTGAGGGAGTGTGGAAGTGTGCGTGACGAGTGCATGATCCAAGATGATTCTTCAAGATCGATTGGAATTGTCTCTCGTCGCATACCCTCTACATCCGTCTCCTTCTCTCCATTTTATTTCTCTACGTCAGCATACTCATTCTTATTCTACAGATCGTCAACGCCAAGGGTGAGATGAAGGGATCTGCCATCACCGGTCCTGTCGGTAAGGAGGCTGCTGAGCTTTGGCCCCGTATTGCCTCCAACTCCGGTGTCGTCATGTAAAGAGAGCAGTGAAACCGAATAAAACAACAAAATTTCAACGATACCAAAACCTGACTCCTTGGGACCTGGGAATAACGGGGTGCATTCATGGCATTATTGTGGAGAGACGGAGAGGCCAAAAAAAGGCAGAGGAGGAATGGGGGAAAGGTCCATCTAACGTGACGAATTCCACCTATGTTATTTCGAGCCCGTCTTTTTTATCCTCCCCCATTCGTGTTTTTTTCTCTTTGAACACTGGCGACTCGAGGGAGTATACTGAAAAAATACTACCTTTTTCATGACAACTTCGGGTGTTCTTGTATGAATGTGCTCTTGCTCGGGGTGTCATGCTTGTCCTCGTGCATGTACCCTCATGGTCTTGGGTTGATTTATGAATTCTCATGGCTTATGGCTTGAGTTTCATCCTTGTCGGACGTAGTTGTAGTTCCATGTAGAGAGATATAGGAAGTGTCGGGGCAGACTATCCCGGTCTGCCATTTCTATATCCGGCATGTCGAGCACTGTCAGAGGTCTCGTACGGGCTGACTCTTAATGACTATAGTCTGCTTATAGGCCCGGTAGTCTTGGACGGAGTTCTTCGTCTAGTATGACATCCTGAAATCATCTTTATAATACTGTACACTAAATACAAATATACATATCATCACAGCCAATCAATCAATCTATCATCACTTCAAATCATCACGACCACGAGCCTTACCCGGCGTGCGTCCCCTAGAGACCTCCTCAACGGGCTCCTTGCCATTCGCTTTCGACGCATCCAACCACGTCGTCTTGCTCGTCTCAATTCCATCGCTCTCCAATGCCCGACTAATCAATACAAGTAGTCCAACAATCACGGTCACCAAGATGAGCACATGTACTGCCCACCAGAAATGCTGTACACCAGCCGGGCACATCGTAATTTCGTAATTCCATTCGCCGATATTGGCATCAAACCATGCGGACAGAAGACCGGCGTTTCCTCCAAACTCGCCCATCATAGCGCGCAGTGTCACCTCACGGATTGAGGGGGTAGTTGGCTTTTCCGGTCTGTACTTGTTGAACCGTTTGGCAGCCCACTTCCACCCCTGGCTTTGAGAAGTGTCCTCCAGTTCACCGCTTACCTCGCCTTGTGCATCGGCAGTCCGGTTGATATAGTGGATGACATCGCAACCGGTGTGGTCATGGCCCGTGAGGATAAGTCCGTTCCGGCCATAGCCACCATGAGCGGCAGTCTCATCGCCACTCAAACCGAAGATACCTTGCAAGATACCGCTAGCACTGATATGATCGCTAAGGTGGTTCTGTTCTCTCAGACCACCGGCCTTCCACCGCGGGACGCCATCCAGTCCATCGCTGTCTTCCTCATCCTGGAACGTGAAGTACGGCCCATCGGTACAGATCCCATCTTCCTTGTGCATGGGCAAGTGTGTAAGGAGCAAGGTGAAAGTTGAGCGGTCCTCGACTGGGTAAAGACGTTCGCTGATCAAGTCGTTCAAGTACGAGTAACTGCGAGTCTGAAGTTCCTCAGACAGCGCAGGCGTATCAAAAAGAAGGGTATTCAAATTGATGAGGTGCAATGTCGGCGTAATAGCCGGCCCATCAGAGGCATTACCTCCGCTCGAAACTGGAGGATGCTGGAAGCGAATGTCCCAATCAGCGCGGCCAAACTCGCGTTCGAAACGCTCCATCCGCGCCTTGCTCACGTCGCCCGCGTATCCGATATCATGGTTCCCGGCGACGTTGATGATGCGCCTCGGCCAGGCAGGGTTTGCCTCTGAACCCAGAGGCTCCAATTGCTGCTTAGCATGGCCTTGGGTGCTGCCCACAGCCCCAGTCCAAGTAATATTATCATTCACGCGCTCTGCGCCACGGAAGACCCGTGTCCAGAACCGCGTACTGCGCCACGAAAACTCCTCATCGTCAATCCATTGGCTGCCCAGAAGATCACCCAGCACCGTCGTATGCGTTGGTCGAGTCCACCAGAACAGCGTGCGATATATATGCGCGAGATAGTAGTCGTTACCGAACAGGTCTACCTGCTTGACTGTTGCACGAAAAGAACGGGGTACATCCTCGGTAGCGAACGTCTTCAACCCAGTCTTAATATTATCGAGGACGTTCTGGTCCAGGAGTACCTGGGGGAGGGGCGTCGTCGTTGAGGCTTCGGCCACTGCTTCCCGGACAGCGCGCCAATGCGTGCGCATGCGCGGAATAAGCTTCCAGTCAGGTAGCGGCAGCGACGAGTCGCCTTCAAGCTGCGGGTCTGCGAGAACTAGCAGTCTGAAAATGGCGGGTTGATTGTCCGCCGCCGCGTCCGGGGTGCGGAGGTGTTGGAGGAAGGTATTGACGACGACATTCTGTTGCAATCTGGAGAAGATCGAGGGGCTATCGGCGCTTTCCGATTGGACTCGAGGCAGGGGAAAGCCGCAGCCGTTGAATACGGGGTAGAGGTAGAGGTAGACGGAGGCTGCGAGGGTGAGTGGGAGGAGGAGCGTAAACACGCGGCTAAGGAGCGCGCGGAGGAACATGAGGGTCGTGGGTCGAGTGGATTAAAAATTCTTATGAATGAATAATATACAGCATAATGAATATAAGGTCGAAGGAGGGTGGCTGCGAAAGGGGCACAGATTGGCGCAGGTGGAGGACGATCAAGGGTGATAAATTGCGGATGCTCCCCCGAACTGTAGCCGCTCCGCCCCAGGTATGGGCTCCGGCCAGAGTACTGCTTGGCTTACCCTGGAGTTGAAAGCATCACACATGGACATGGAATATTTACTTGAAAACACGTTTGAATTTCTCCGTAGTAGTGGATTGTGCAAGTACTTTTTTTTTCCAGGTTAAGTGTTTGGTAGTTGTTAATTATCTAGGATAGTGTAAATTCTACATAACTACAGACAGGACTCCCCGCTCTGTAGAATATATAGTTCAGAATACCTTCGAAAATCATCGAGACCCATGCCATAGATGGATGGATCGTGCCGAAGAAAAACGTGTGTTATTCACTACTATACCTCCACCACTGTACATCAAAAATTTCTTGAAAAAACCACAGTTTCTACAAAGATGGCGCAAATCTACACACCCAGTGACACCCAACATAAAGTAGAGCCAAAAACTTAGGATTATCTACAAACCCACGAGTAATCGTATATAGGAGAAAGATAGTCCAAGATAGAGCCACGAAGATCCACATCTCACAAATCATTCCACCATATCAATCATCCTCCACATAAGCCAAAATCATTCAAACCAAGATCATCATACAGACAAGACTGTCCGCATCAACCCCTTCATATCCACGGCATCCACGTCGTTGAAGAAAGAAAAGGGAAAAAAAGAGAAGGAAAAAGTTAGCCGTGGCCAACAAAGAATGGAACGGAAAGTCGAGTCGGAGATCGAGGGGGTATATCACATCAAACGCCAAACGGGTAAGGGGGGTGTAAAGGGGAGGTGTAGTGGGAAGATAGCAAAAGGAAAAAGAATAAGAAAGATAAGGGGTTAATATAGTGAACAGAGAGAATGGAACATAAAAAGTGGGAGGTTCAGGGAAATCGGGGGTGGATGGCAACAGTAGATAGCAACTGGTTGAGATGGGCTAGGTACCCCGTGCCGGAAATAGAGCAAGGATCTTCGGCAAGAGAGGATTTACTTCGATTCAGTTTTGGCCAGCGATTCAGGGAGGAGAGGCGAGTTTCCAACCTCGATCTCACCGAGTGGATTTGACTGTGGACCATGAGCGCCCTCGGGTTCGTTCTCCGGTGCCTCGTTCCCCGTTTCGGTGTAGGAGTTGCCGTCCGACGAGGGCGATTTGGCCAGGTTCAGACCCTCAATTCGAAGCCCTTTGTCCTCTTCATCTTCCTCGAGCAATTGACTCGGCTGCTCCGAGCCGGTGGGAAGGTTCATCAGCGCCGGTGGACGTGCTTGCATCAGGCGAGCTTGTTTAAGACTGATGGTCTTTTGCTTGTTGCTAGTTTCCACCTTTCCAGACAAGTCACGCTCGATAGTCGCTTTCATGAGAGCGGCCATCCATAGACGACCTTCCTGGACACTGTCGACCTGGAAGTAGTGGGTGGTCGGCTTGGTGAACTGCACAGTACGCGAGTTGTTCGACTTTGGAGGTACCAGCTTGAAGAAGAATGGCCCACTGTTGTCCTTGGCCGTAAGCGAAGCGATGACAGCGGGACTCGTAACCTTCATGCCTCCCGCATTCTCGGTAGAACTCGCGTTGGCCGGCAATGCTGTAGCACCAGTGACTGTCGCGTGCAAGGCGATGATAGGGTCATTGTCAGCCCGCAGCACACGATGAGCGGTAATATCGATCAGGCCTCTCTCTTCCGTGTCATCTTCAGAGTAGTAATATGACAGGCGGCGGCCACGTAGGACGAACAACCGGGGCTTCCATGTGGTCATCAGATTGGACGACCGTTTCTTCATCCAGCCACTGTAGTCACAGCCGTCCATCTGCTCTCTGGGCGACTTCTTCTCCAAGCCACGAGTGTAGGCGCTGGTGTCCTTCTTCGACTTGACAGTCCGTGGTCGAACGACAAACCCGGGGCCGTCTGCGGCCTTGCCAGACTCATCAGTACTATGGCGTTCCGAGCTCTTGGACGTAGCAGATGGAGTGGTTGAACCAGTGCGACCAGTCATAGGGTCGTAGTCGCGAGGCGAAACAGGAGCGGAATTGTCGCTACCACCTTTGCCAGCGACATCAGAGATGGTGCGCAGGCCAACCGCCCGGCGGAACTTTGGCAGCTGGAAGGGCATGGTCGAGGAGCGAACATTAGCCTCTGCTTTGCTGTCTGCCTTGACATCCTTCACCTCGCTCTTGTTCTCACCCCTGGATTCGTTCTTGTTTCTAATCAAAGGTCCGAAGCTTGAGAAGAATCCAGTCTTGCCTTCAGTATTAGAAGATTGCGAGTTCGAGGCTCGCGTACTCATGCTCCTGAATCGACTCTTGGGTGGCGTTCCGTGGTAGGCCTGGGCTGCAGGCGAGACGTGCGCGGCCGCGTCGCGAATAGAATCGATACTACCAATGCGAGATTGGCGCTGACCGGCACTTCTGACTCGATAAGGGTCTTCTGCGTAGCTCGACTTTCGAGAGTGGCTAATGCTACCACCAGTGGATGTGCGCTTTTGCAGAAGGCGTCGAGATCGGCGGGATTCCACTTCTGTTCCAGAAAAGTACCCTCGTTCGAGATCCTCGTACTGCTCTGGTGTATTGGGTTCCGATCCGGTGATTTGTGGTCCACGATAAGCTGTGGTAGTACCGATGGACGTTCCTGGGCGGGCTGGCAACGGTTGAGGGCCGCCGTTGAGAGTCCACCCCCTATCGAAGGAGGGCTTTTTCTGATGGCTGCCATTCATACCAAAATCAGGCATACCGCGATTGGTGGCGTCAATCGAAGAGTGGCGTCGATTGTAGTCACGGATCGAAGCCGCGGAGACTCTTCTTGGAGAGTCATTGCCGAATTGGGGTGTCATCGGGGTCATCGGAGAACTGCCGTTGCTGGCCAGCCTTGGGTGCTGTCCGGGAATGTGCTGCTGCCCGGGGACGGTAGAAATCCGAGGCACATACGCCGAGCCAGTCCTTTCAGAAACCGTTGGGATCCGCGGGAGGAATGGACCAGTATGGCCCGCGCGAGATAGTGACCGCTCCTCAGGCACCGAAGGACCCGCATAGCTAGAGATTGAGCCCCTCGTAGGTTGTATTTGTGGCTTGATGCCCTTCACTTCCTCTTGGAATGCCTTAATCTTGTGCCAAGTCTTCAGTCGCTTACCCATGACGCCAAGATCAAAGTGTTTCATGAAAATGGTATCCTGATCCATCTCAAGAAGAACATCGCCGGTGATTTCCTCCCTCTCAAAGATATCGCAATGGCTGGGATCTACTCCGAGTTCACGCAGATGTTTGGCCGTCTCGGAGGGATTCCATCGGCGGACCTCCTCTACTGTCGGGTGCGTATTCTCTTCTTCATCCGTCTCGTTGCCATTGATGTAGGAAATACGATGGCTCAGATGACTGCTGTATTCACTTGCCGAGTCGTTGATTGTCTTTGCCTCTTGCGTTGACACACTATGACGAGGAGTGTTCATGTCCGTAATATGCTCATCGATGACACTCAACGTCTCATTCATCACCGGACTATCCTCGCCATTCGCATGGCTATCAATGGACCGACGGAACGCATCTTGAATGTTCGCAGCCAGGCTAGGGCGTGGAAGCGGAGACGAAGCGGAGCGTTGTTGCTGGGGAGAACCCAGCACCTCCGAGGTGCTGGCATGTCGCGACGCCTGTGGAGTTGTCTGCTCGCTTCCAATAGAATTGAAAGATGTCTCGATAGGAGTTGATGGTTCCATTTGTGTGGGGGATTCGGTATTTTCGGATGCAATTACCCCTTGAGGTGCGGGGTCGGTCTGGATGTGCTCTAGCGAGCTGGGGAGTCTATAGCTCGTAGGAACCTCGTGGGCATGCGCCTTTCTGGTAAAACCTACATTAGGATGTTAGTGGTGGCTTGCTTTTACCTCCCTAGTTCTTTGCTGTTCTAGAAGCCCATGTGTTGGCATTGGAGGCGCATACCTGCTGGAAAGAGGCCCTTTTGGCCGGTTCCGGGGTGTTCACCCAGCCACCAACCATCCTGAAATTCTTCATCCATCTCCTCTAACAAAATCACATCGCCGCGCTTCATTCGCAACTCATCATCTCCGCGCGGGGTGTGCTCATCTGTGAATCCGTTAGGCGCATTGATCTGGGAGAGGCGATCGGGCAGAGGGGGGTGCGCAAAGGATAAGGCGCGCGCAGATTGATAGTCGCTGGGTAGTACTTACGAAGAACCCAGAGATAATTGCCGCGCTGGACATTCAAAGGCGGCGCCGGGGTCGCCTGCGCATTGGCGGCCATTTTGTCGAGGATTGATCGCAAGATCTCGTTTCCGTCCGAAGTTCACGGATAGGAGCCGAGGCCGAAAAGCGAATGATTCGGGATGGATAAGTCAAGCGCAGGACATGGGGGGCCCGTAGCCCTTTCGGGGGGAGAAGAATACAAACAAGCAATAGCCAACGGGGGGCCGGGGAATCTTGTGGTGGTTGAGATATGTGAACTCGGGCAAAAGGGGAGGGAATGTAGAAGGGCAGGAATCTAGCGCGTGAAAGGCGAGAGCACACGGTCAGGGCTTTAGGTCATTAGCTCGCGGGGTTCGGGAGGATAGACTAACCTCAAAAGTGGACCGGAAGCTTCGCTCTCGAAGCGCGCGCGCAGGGTTCAAGTGCGAGCACAGATGAAACGGCCGTTGAGCGGGTTGAAGGCGGGGATCTCCAAGGCGTGGCAGGTTCGATCTACCAATCCAGTGGGACGGACGGATGGATCCTGGCGCAGATTCTTGGGATCTGAAGAATGAGACGGGATGTTGAGACCGTTGAGAGGAACGAAAGTTCGAACGAGGACTAGAGTAAAGTCGTCAAAAGCCGAGTTGTGTGGTGGTTCCACCACAAAACCCACCAGAGGCGATATCGTCACCAGGGGAGGCAAGCGAGAAAAAAAAAGAGGCGTGTGCTAGCGAAGCGACCATGAAAAAAAAAAACGAGAACCCAAAGAACCAGAAGAGCCACCAAATGGTTATTTCGACCGGACGATTCGAATGACCCAAACGGGGCCCGAGTGACGTGTGCGGCCGTCAAGGGTTTCCGAGGGTTCTGGACGCTGGTCAATCCACAATTCCACGGTTGATGGGACCCGCAGTTTGTACTCTACTACTGTAGATAGTAGAGTAGGTACTGTAGGTACTCCTTCAGCACAGACAGTTATTGGACTGTCGTACTGTAGTAGTCCTGTTAGACCAGCAGTATATGCCCAGGGCCGGTGGGCAAGGTGGATTGTAAAGGCGAGCGGCTGAGTGGGTTGCACGGCAGTTGGCTGAGGGGGCAATGGAGAAGAGCCGACTCTTAAGATTGGTCTTGAAGGAGAAGGAAGACGTAGGAGAAGAAGATTGGTAGTCAATAATCGATGGCTGATGGTTAGTAGCTACTAGCGAATATTGACTGGTCCATAGAACTGGATAGATCGACCGTTCTCCGGTTACAGTCGATGCATCCAGAGGAATGTGGTCATCCTTGCAGCCCAACATCATCAGTGTAGTAACTGCTATAGTAGATATTCATAAAGTACTATTATTAGGCAGTAGGTAGGACTGGACATTCTGTTTACTCCGTACAATCCGTGTCCCTGGAAAGCACTGATGATCCAATTGATCTATCGACGAGTCCGGAGCCCCGACTGTGATTGATCGTATTGATAAGATGATTCCGATTATCATCTTGATTGTCATAATCTATACCTGTCGAGAGATATACTGGACTTGGAATTATGATTCTCATTGCACAACTTCATTTCTCGATTCCGCCAAGTAAAGTCAAACTTACAGTTTGAAGTAGTCCTGTGAGTTCGACCTGCGCGGTCGATCCAAGCATCTCGCTGCATTAGTCGAGGGTACATAGAAATAGGTATCCCTCACGATATACGAAGCATCCGTGGCCAATATTTTCTGGTGCTTCCCGTCATCTTCTGAACAACCAGTCACTACTCCCAGAGCGACGCTTTAACTCACCAGCTATCTATGGAGATAGGGAGACCCTCTTTACCAATTCTGTCGCTCTGGACATTAGTTTTATTGTCTCTAAATCCATCATAAGTCATCTCATCTTGACTATTTTTGTGATTTCCTTACAAGGTTTGTCGGGGTTCTACTGCTTAGCTGAACATCATTAGACCTTATCATTCCCCAATGCCCCTAAACATCACGACGAAAATATAAGACAAAGCAAAACAGTAACAAGTAGTACATTTAGACCTCTCTATTAATATATAGCTAAATAGCACTAACCAAGTGTGGGGAAACCAGACCTTTCCTTGTTAAAACAGTTAGCCAACAGGGAGATCCATAATGATTGGGCCTTTTGTTCTGTTCTTTGTTCATTCGTCCAGAGCAAACACTCTTCTTAAGAATCAAAACCACTTTTCATCCCTAAGCCCTAAGGATGACCTTTCACTCACCATGGTCTCCCCCAGGATCCAGCGATCACGACGTCCTGCCGATCACCTTGAAGAGTCTAACTCCACCGCGAGCTTGTTCCTGGGTGGAGTGCGGAGGGATTGGATGGCTTCGGCGGGGGCCTCCCACCCACGCGAGGCGAGACTGGCCGCTATGTCTCATCCGAAATCTCCAAATTCCCCTCCGGTAGCTGCTCCGTCCAAGGTATCCCGAGGGATCCATCACCCTGGACCTGCAGAGCTAGCCTTGATGTCACCCGTGACACCAGGTGCAAATCTACAACAGTCCGAGTCCGCCTCGTCGTTACAGGCCCATCCCCCGACTACCAGCAAACCCGACCCGCCGAAGAACCCTCTTCCCTCGCCCGTCCCAAGCCCTGGCTCTCATCCGAGCCCGATTCTCTCTCCACCTCCCACGATCCCTTCGAATGATCCTTCCGTCGCTGCCCTGGCGGTTCCACCAGCGTCTGACAAGCCGCCGGCGGTGGCAACGGTGAACCCTCAGCCGCGACGCGACGAAAGCGCGAGTCCCCGCCAACCGGCCTCGAATCAACCATCCCCTCCTTCAGTACAGAATCCAACTCCGAGACCGAGCGTGTCGGCAGCATCAGAGCCATCTGAGATTGTACCGTCGAGTGCTACTGTGCCGCACCCCGCCGATCCTGGCTCACGTCCGCTACATGGGATCACCAATGGCATTCAAGCCCAGTCCGTACAGAATCCAATGGGCCCGAACCAGAGCCCGTCGATGGGAGTCAATGCTCGTGTAGATACGCCGGGTAGTCATGCAATAGGATCACCATTACAGAAAGCGTTGAACCAGCCGTCCTCATACGAGTGGATCCTCTGGAGAGAATGTGCGAACTCCCTGCTGACCGAGGCGAGAGAATCCTCGCTGGACGTTGGTGGGCCCAGAGCTCTGCTCTTGCTGAACGCCTGCAGTGACTATGATAAAGATCTCTTCTACTTGGTGCTGCATCAGATCTTTTGCGAGATGTCCAGGGATGCTAATGTGCTCCTCGCAAGACTTCCGGTCCTTCGCGATGAACGTTGTCAAATTGGTATAACCAAACTTGCAGAACTACTGGAGGACAATTCGAAGCTGCCCCCATCCTTGCTGGAAGCATTCTGCGTATTTCCGCTGCCCCTGGAGCAATTCATCAACGCTCCATGGTACCAAGGGATTCTCGATCAGGTAGTAGGCTGTCTCTCGTGCCTTGTGACTCAGTTTTCATTCTTAAAAACCGAGACCCATCGCAGAATATATGAACGCTGCTATCCACCACTGGTAAAAGAGCTGAGACAGGAGTATGGCGTGACGTCACCGGTTCTATTGGGTGTGATCTTTATGTCGATATGTCGGCATGTCTACGATACGAAAAGAATCGATCTTTTACAGCGCCACTTCAAAAAGGACTTGTTCCTTGTTTCGAAGAACGCGGGTCCAGATGCCCATTTGGCCCTGATTGAAGACTATCGAAGGATCCCGATGAGAGGGAGGCCCTCTGCAGCTCCTCCCAGACCCCCGATGCCAGTTCATCAGAGTCAGCACCCACCCCAGCCTCGACCCGCAGCGCCTGCTGGTTATTCTGCTCCGTCCCCCGTGATCGACTCACCCGCCATCGTGAGTCCCGCATTACAAGCGAATGGACAGAATCATCCCGCTTATCCTTCGCTGCATATCCAATCCCCAATTTCGTCAATAATCCCCCAGAATCTCCAGCATGCGCAGTATATTGACCAGCACGGTCATCCTATTTCGGCCCAGCAAGTGTGGCAAATGTCTCGAATGGCACATTTGGCGCAGGGACAGGCTCAGGACCATCAGGCACAGCCAGTACTACTACAGCCAGTTAACCCAGCCCAAGGGCAGGGACAAAATGCTCAGAGGGGACCGGTTTACATGGTCGTTGCGAATCAGGCACCTCAAGTCCTCATACCGGTGTCTACTGTTCCCTCTCAGGCCGACCCGTCGCCCTCGCCGTCTCAGCCCTCTGTACTTGGCTGGCCTAGTCAGGTGGTTCAGCAACAACAACAACAACAACCTCAGCAGCCGCCGACACGGCACATGTCTACTGGCGACACGACCACTCAATTCTCTGCTGCATCCCATGCTATTGAGACGACGGTTACAAGCCGGACTAGTCACTCAAGAGCGCGGCAGCCTCCGTCAATAAGGCCCGTCCCCGCTTCGTCACCAACGGTGCAGGTTCCTCAAACCCAGGCTAGCCGACCTCGTGTGCCTGCTATGTCGCCACTGCTCCCGCCTGAAGGCTACAGGGCGCCCCAAACAGTGCAACCGAACCCAATGCGACTGGGTCTGCACCAGGCTGACCTTCGCGACCCGGTCAAGCAATTAGTACGGCGGACGCCGAATGGTCTGGAAGAAACTGCCCTGTACCAATACCTCAATGGCTTCATGCTGGACCCAACACAGATTGATCCGGACGTCTTCGGTTATCGCTGGAAATTCTCGATATCGCCTGATGACTACCAGCGCTTCCCCCGCTACGCTGACAGAGGACAAGGTCAACGATTGGTTCGGACATACCAACCAGGTTGTCGGACGTACCGTCTGCGCATTACTGCCCTGCCTGACTCAAAAAAGGAAGAGGTGCAAACATTCTGGCCAACTGCAAACACTACCTGGCCTAGTGTACTCTACATCTTTGTTAATAACAATGAAATGTACGTACGGCGGAAAGTACACAACGGAAAGGACCTACCTTTGGATATAACCAGACACCTCCACGAAGGCGAAAACGAGGTCAACGTTCATTTCCTTCTAGCCACTAACGAGTGTAAGAATTTCCACTACGTGGCGGGTGTCGAAACTATGGATATCTCTGAGTACAACGAAGTTCTCGCCTTGACGCATCATGTCCCGGCGAGCGAGACCCGTGCCAACATCAAGAAACGACTGAAACCCAACACCGATGACGACGAGCTGGCCGTCGTCACTGACAGCCTAACCGTCCCACTCATCGACCCCTTCATGGCACAGATCTTCAACACTCCCGCTCGTTCCTCCAAATGCAACCATATCGAATGTTTCGACCTGGACACCTTCATAACGACCCGGAAGTCCCAGTCAGGCACCTCCCCAATGATCGACAACTGGTTTTGCCCCATCTGCAAGGCAGATGCTCGGCCGCAGTTCCTGGTCGTGGATCATTTCTTCGTTGAAGTCCGCGACGCGATCGTCAAGCGGGGCGTTCTAGATACCGCCCAGTCGATTCAAATCCGAGCCGACGGGTCGTGGACAGTGAAAGCCGTCAGCGACGATGCTTCTCCCTCCAGCCCAACTAGAAGTCGACTCTCTCAACCTCCTTCCTCTGGCAAGCGCAAGGCGGATAGTATGACTGGTGCAGTGGAGCAGAATGCTCGCACTAAACATGAGAGCACCCCCACTGCCCCAGCCCAGGATCCCGTGGTCATCGAAATCGATTAGTGATGCTCACAAATCGTCGATCTTATCGCATCCACTTCCCCCGGGCGGGAAAAGTTGGACATCTGTCAACAGTGCTCAGCTCCCATATTTCCTTTCCCTCTCTGTTTATCTTCCAACATGTTTTTTTCTTCTTCTTTTGTTGGCCTTTGGCTACCATTGCGTGCATTACACAAAGATTTATACCCCCTCCGTTCCCATTTCGAAAAGCAGATTGTCATGACTGGTATGGACTCTGCTGGCGTTGATTTGAATTCATGTCTTATTTTCCTTGTGTCGAATTTCCGGATTATCGATCTTCTGTTTCCTTATTCTTCTACGGAAAGATTGCGTGTGAATATAATACTTGCTGGATTTCTTGATGAGAATCGGATTTCTTACTACGACGTTCTCCCATTTGATCGGCGTTCGATGAGTTAGCGGGCGTGACTCTTAGAGATCGGGCTTGTTTGACTCTTCATATTCGGCATACTGCTTGAGATCCAAAAGATTACAATTGTTACATCCATCAAAAACATTGCGAATATTCCAGTCCAGAAAGAGCAACGCTCAATATGAGAATTTCTATATAGTCGTAGACTAGCAAAACGGGAACTGAACGTCCCAAACGCAGATCATGCTCATTCAGTGGATGTTCTTTTCCCACCTTCAACATTATGGTAGATTATACAGAGATATAGGTATATGGAAATATTCAAATCATGCCGCTCATCAGAAAAAGGAAACATCCCAAAAAACATGCTTCACTTCCTGACTCGCCGAACATGACTGACAAGGTTCTCAATGACCCCCTCGAACGCCTCTTTCTCACTAACCAGGCCATGCCGGCGCTTCAACCAGTACTCCAATAACGCACTGGCGCGCAAGGTGACCTTCTCCAACTCGGAGACGTGCTGTGCCAACTCTGTATCCGTCAGACCGCTGAGCGCGGCGTCCGTGGTCGCGCACAGCCGACGGACTGCAGAGAGATCTAATTCGGGGGGCGGGGCTGCGCCGCGACGGGCAGTTTTCGAGCGAGTAGGGGCCTGCCCTGTCGCGGCTGTGTCGTCGCCCTCTTTGCGGGCTTGGTTGTGGGATGGGGTGGTGGTTCCCGAGTTGTCGAGGTCGATGGAGGGGAGAATGAGTTTCTTCTGTTTGGATGCTGGTAGGATCTCGTCTAGGTCGACGGGGACACCCAGGGAGACGAGGAAGAGTCGGCGGATGCGGGATTTGACCCAATTTTGGGGTTGGAGGGGTGGCGGCGCTACGAGCTGTGACCATAGGGAGAGACTGCGCTCTGTGCTGAAAATGGCTGAGGAGTCGGGGATGGGTTCGACGGGTGGGAGGGAGCTGAGGTCTTGGGCAGCGGGGAGAAGGTCGTCGAGAGTGCCTTGGAGGGCTGCGAGAAGTTCGGAGGTGGATTTGAAGTTGTCAAAGTCGATGAGAGGAGGCTGATGGAGTTGTACAGTTAGTGGCCAGTCTCCAAATGGGGTCAGTTCCGCGACTTACGACTGATATAGATACTTGAGGTTGTTGAGGGATGGTGCTGCCAGCGGTGTCCTCAACAACCTCGGGTTCTTGAAAGCCATCCTCAAAGTCGTCAAAGTCGCCAAACTCATCATCACCCATGCCACCCTGCTCCTCCACAAATTCGTCAAAGTCGTCTCCAAAGTCGTCGTCGTCATTTGCCTCTTCAAACGTCTGGTCTTCCCCAGCGTGATCCGGTGGAGGACTATCAATTATGGTTTCCACCGTATCGGGCATTGCATCGCTCGGCGATCTTTGATGAGCACGTGGTCGTGATGGCAGCTCATCTTCAGGAGGTATAGTGTCCACTCGAGAAAGTCGCGTCTCAGGAATGGATTGATTGGAGGCATTGGACGTTATGGAGTCTGGGGATTCCCGATCTACCGCTGGTGGTGGGAGAACGCTGTCCAAGTCGGCGGGGGCCGTGGTCACGACATCAGGCGCGGCATCTGCCTGGCGCTTTTCATATGCTTCGGTACCAGGGACCTCGCCATAGCTAGGCGATTCTAGATCTACTTTTTCAACCACCGTTCGCGGGATTGGCGAGCCGCCTGGGGTGAAGGGTCGGTCCTGCGACCCCGCTGGGGAAGGATCCCTGCTGTGTGAACCTTCTGGGACCACTTCAATTTCGTCGGGAACTGCATCTTGTCCCCGTTTCTCGTATGCTTCTGTGCCGGGCACTTCGCCGTGTTGGGCGCTGTCGTCGACCCGCTCTACTCGAGTTCGTGGGACAGGGGAAGCACGACCAGACTGTGGGCTTTTTGTTTGCAGATTCGAGTGGCCTTCGCTGGCATCTGAAAAGTGTTCCTCGTCGCTGTCTGAAGCTGCTATAAATCAAAATCCGCGTTAGCTTCCCTCCCAGTAAAGTGACGTAGGGGGAGTTCTGGCGAAAATAACATACTATTGTCACCAGCTCCGGGGTCCTCCCTCTCAATGGTCTTACTTGGTGGTTCAAGGTGGGTTGAGGAATCGGGCAGCGCATCCGACATGATTGCAGGGCGGGATTTATGGCTGGAACATGAGACGAAGGCAAAGAGGAGACGGAGAATGGGATAATAACATGCAAGAAGCAAGTAGTGTGTGTAGTGTGTAGCGCGAGAGTGACGACGTTGGTACCCTGCGATCGACTAGAGTCCAGAACACGCAAGCCTCAGGCACACATGGATGGAGGCTATTTTGATGCCTATAAAGTAAGGCACCAACAAGCGCGTAACTCACCTGCTTCAAACTCCTGCCGATTTATTATTGCCCTACATCTGTCCTGCTCCAAACCCACCGTCACCACCCACTCTTTGGGTTCCAATTCATTCCTCTAAGTGAGAGAATCGCATCGCACTTCTTGGACCTGTGACCTCTTTTGCAGGACCTTCCTGCCTCCCTGCGCTGGTCGACGGCCCGTTTCCTCTGTTGCTTTTTCACCCAAGCCCAAGCTTGCCGGTTCGCTCTGATCGCAACAACACATCACAATGTCATTCAACTTCGGCGGTGGAGGCTCCTCTGGAGCTCCCAGCACCAATCTTTTCGGTACCGCTGGTAACACCTTCGGTTCCAACAATCAGACTAGCTCGAACGCTGGATCAGGTGCTGGCAGTAGTGGTCTTTTCGGAAATGTAGGAGCCTCTGCCACCAGTGGGAACGCTTCTCCTTCGATGTTTGGTGCAGCTGCTTCGGGTGCACAGAGTCCATCAATTTTTGGAAGCGCTGGCGGTGCTACTACAGGGACTCCTGGAGCATCTTCGGGCTTCTCTTTCGGCTCCAAGCAGACGACTGGCTCGACCACCCCCGGACAGACAGCTACCAGTGGACTGTTCGGCGGCACCGGAGCTGCAAAGCCCTCAGGTGGCCTGTTCGGTGGTGCCTCCTCAGCTACCCCAGCGCCAGCCGGCGCATCTTTGTTCGGAAACACCTCAACTACCCCCGCTGGTCCTCCGCCAGGATCCAAGACAACTCCGATGTTTGGAGGACTGAATGCCGGCGCTTCTACTACCCCGTCGTCTACTACCGCTATCTCCTCTACCACACCCACTACTTCGCAACCACAGTCATCCGGCGGCCTCTTCGGGGCCGGAGCTACCCCCGCTGCCTCAAAGCCTCTGGGCTTTGCCCCGGCTCCGGCTGGTGGTAATTTGTTTGGCAATGTCGCTAAGCCAGCCGAGTCCAGCACTCCGAGTGCCACCGCGGCGCCTGCTTCCAAGCCACTATTTGGACTTGGAGCCACAGCTCCCTCCACTGGCGGAGACACAACCCCCAAGCCTACGTTCTCTCTAGGTGGAACACCCGCTGCCACCGGTGGAGCTCCCAAGTCTGCGTTCTCCCTCGGCGCAACTCCCGCTGCTAGCGGCGATGCAGCTCCCAAGTCTGCATTCAGTCTCGGTGGACCTTCGGCTGCCACCGGCGCCGCTCCTAAGCCCACATTCTCCCTCGGTGGAACTCCCACTGCAGCGCCGTCCACTACGGCCGCATCCACTGCTACTCCACAAAAGTCCCTCTTCCCCAGTCTGGGAGGAGCCACATCCTCGGCCGCTCCGTCGTCTACAGCAGCCGCGCCTGCTGGAGGCTCACTATTCCCTACCTTGGGCGGTGCTAAATCTACGGCTGCCGCTGCTACACCCGGAACTACGGCCACTGCCCCTGCCGCTACTACTACGCCTGCGGCTGCACCCAGCCTATTCCCTAAGCTTGGAGGTGATAAGCCTTCCACCCAACCCGCTACTACCACTGCCTCGACGGCCACGCCAGCCCTGGGTGCAACTGCTGCTGCTGCTACTACTACTACTACTACTACTACTACAGCCGGCACTGGCGCGGCTGCTCTCGGCCAGTCGACCACTGGCCCTGCTCCCCCAGCGCAGTCTCGTCTGAAGAACAAGACCATGGATGAGATCATCACTCGATGGGCGACGGACCTTACGAAATACCAGAAGGACTTCCGTGAACAAGCTGAGAAGGTCGCTGAATGGGACCGTATGCTGGTGGAGAATGGTACCAAGGTTCAGAAGCTGTATGGAAACACAGTCGATGCTGAGCGCGCTACCCAGGAGGTTGAGCGTCAATTGGCATCCGTAGAGGGCCAGCAAGAAGAGCTGAGCTCATGGCTTGATCGATACGAACGCGAAGTCGATGAGATGGTTTCCAAGCAGGTCACCCCTGGCGAGCAGGGACCTGATCAAGAGCGGGAGAAAACGTGAGTGCTAGATTTCTATGGGATTGTTCTCTCGAACGGACCAGCTAACCATATCTACACGCAGATACAAACTGGCGGAGAAGCTCTCTGAGCGTTTGGATGAGATGGGCAAGGATCTCACCAGCATGATCGAGGAAGTCAACGGGGCCTCTGCAACCATTAGCAAGACAAACCGGGCCGACGAACCTGTAAGTTGTCTCTTTTTGAACCATGGCGTTATATACCATGCTGACGATTGCAATAGATCTCTCAAATCGTCCGCATCCTCAACTCGCATCTTTCCCAGCTGCAGGTCATCGACCAGGGAACCTCAGAGCTCCAAGCCAAGGTTGCGGCTGCCCAGAAGGCAGGACAGTCAATCTCCTCGCGCCTTGGTTACGGCTATTCCAGCCCTGGTATGGGCGGTGGCAATGCTGCCGATGATTTCTACCGCTCCTACATGGGCAGACGGTAGAGGGATGATTTCATGGGTGTCTTAATGATTCTTTAGTTGCAGGGTGCCAATTGACAGGGTTTTCGATGGGAAAGGTCTGTTATCGAGGTAGATTTCTTTGATCATGTACTTTGCCTGGGGATTTCCGAGGCTTAAATGGTATCCTAGGTGATGCTCTGTGTTTATTGTATATCTCTGGACCGGGGTTGGTCCTTTGGTTTCTAGTCAAGGAAGTTAAGGGGCGTAATTCAAAATATCCGGGATGCTCTATGGTCAGTGCCGGTCTTTCTTCTTGAGTTGTGATTTCTCGTTCAAGACGAATGTAGTCTCTGTATTGTAACCCAAAGTTCCTGTACTGAGATATGCCCGATGATCTGGGAAACCGTCGAGCATCCAGCTGTACTGCGGTTACTGTATGATTCTGTAGACTTTGATATCTATAATCTAGTAGCCTTGAGTAAGTGGCTGCATGATACCATGAAGACAACACCAAGTGGATGAGCTATTAGGAGATACAGTCTGTCCAGCTTGGCTGGGCTGTGCGGGTCGGTAGAATATACTATAGTTGCTGCGATGTTTACATCGTTATCAAGGCACTACTATTCCATTCCAAAATGCACGGTAACGAGTATAAGGGGCGGCTAGTCCCAGTGTGAAGATATCATTCCTAAGTTCTGCATATCCCAGATAGGCCGCCGTTAGAAACATCCTTGATTCAGGAGATAAGAGTATGCCCTATAATGTCCCAATTGCATGAACCCCCTAGTACCATTTGCTGTAATTCCCAATCTCCCCATTGGCAAGGCGTTGGAGTGTTGTCCGAGGCCGGATGCAGTCACATGCTGGTCACTGACAGTGAGGGCAAACCCATCTCCCGTTTAGGAAGGCACGATAGTCGCTGCTTCCATCAACGACTAGCAAACACCCCGTTTGGGAATCAGAACGTTAGGGTTGATTATCCCCAAACCCTAGAGGTATAAATATCTCCTCCCCACCCAGGGCCTCCCAAGATTTCTTCCTCCCCCTCCTCCTCCAGGTCTTGGCCCCCCTACCTCCACACTTGGCCCACCTGGCACTCAACCTTACTTGGACTTCCACTTGACATGTCTCCTTCTCTTGTCATTGAATAAGGCCTGCCATCTATCTGGCCCTTGTTCCCGTCAACCTGGCGCGTCAACATGTTGACCCAACCTTCCTGGATGCTGCCCTTCCATTTGTTTTTCATGGGCGTCTTCACGACACATCCACACTGACACGTCCACATGGCCTCACACGTCTACGGCACGTCCACACCTTCACAACATATCAACACCTTCACAACATGTCAACGCTTTCACATGTCCAACGGCCTCACACCCTTTTAGGCCACCATCATCTGACGGCTTGAAGAGTCAAACATAGCAGGTAAGGACCCTACTTAAATCATCCCTGCCCACAACTTATGAGATTTCCAACAATCTTCGAACTAGGAGCCTACACTAAAGTTCTTGAGTGAACCTCGACAGCAATGACCTTGTTGTTCGAGCCTGTGTAGGGCGTGGTTTACACATAGTCTCCACTGCCACACATCTCAGCCTCCTCCCTTTGACTATCTACCAGGAGATACTAACTTAACAGATCAATCGCACACATTTCAGCTTCTCAACACACCTCCAAGACATGTCAAAACCTTCATGGTATGTCAACCCCTTCGTGGCACATCCACATCTTCAACATATCAACATTTTCAGGATTCACATACACCTTCAAGCCACACCTTCATGACACGTCCATCACATGTTAATACACTATAGCACGTCCACATCAACATGTGTCAACATCTTCATGACACACCACACCTTCATGGGATTCATGCCCATACCTTCATGATACATACACACCTTCACGATGTCGACGCCTTCATGACAAGTCTAAATAGCCTCGAGTCAAACAAAACAGGTAAGGGCCTTACTCAGATCATCCCCATTGACTCGTCGTATCGCTAACAATCTTCAATTTAGGAGCCTACACTGACGTTCTTGAGTGAACCTCGGCAGCAATGACCTTGCTGTTCGAGCCTGTGTAGGGCATGGTTGACTCTTCCTAAGTCTCCACTGCCACACATCTCAGCCTCCTCACGTTGACTCTGCTGGGAGATACTAACTTCACAGATCAAACGAAACATCCAACGCATCAACAATATCTCACCCTTCTTTACCTCCTGGGACAACCGTCTCATTGCTGATCTGCCTCCTTGCCACTAGTGATTCTTCGGATCATGGTTCGCCATTCTTTGACGTTGAACGCCATCAGTCCTTATCAACGGACAAGCAAAACCACAAAATTCGCCCTCCTGACCTCACAATACAAAGAAAACAGTTTAGCTTCATCTGCTCTATCAATCCAGTACCCAGCATTACTCATGAATAAAAAGTTGCCAGATCTGCCACTCTATTTCCCGTGCTGAGTAGTTTGACCATCGTGCGAGTATTAGTCTGTGCTTGTTGGTGTTCAACACCGAGAATCTATCCACTAAGCTGCGAGTGCCTTCGACTATCATAGTCTTAAGTGGAGTATTTGCAGGCGCTTTGTCTTTTGAGCAAAAATCCCTTGCAGTCCGCATCACGCGACGACCATGTGGCGCACACTGGCCAACTCGCGACGACTCGTGACGCCGTTTGAAGCTATGTTAAATAAGCCCTCTTCCTCTCTGGGGCTTACGGGGTTCGTTTTCGGACCAATGGAGCGCACCTCTAAGGAAGTATGAGGTCCAATCTTGCATTTCCACTGGGCTGGGGGTGGGCCCCTCCAAGGTGACTAAGCCCTGCCAGGATGTCCAAGGCGCAACCGTCGACCCCATTTTCCCCGCATCGAAACTGCCCTGTGCCCGTTCTATCGCTCCTTACGGTGTGCTTGCTGTGGTGTTCGCATATTTTTATAGAGGAGGGGTGTGCGCTGAGTTGTGTGGCAAGCCAATTCTTTTTCTCGACAGACAAGATGGTCCCCTCGTCCGCGTTCCACGCCCGAGTCGGGCCGTCGTGGTCTTCGCTTTATATCATTGTGTCACTGTTCCTTTTCTCCGTTGTGACTGTGGCCAATGCGCTGGCGTATGAGCCACAGAAACCTCTCGCTGAGACAGGGATTCCATCGGAAGGTTCTTCTGCCACGCTTGACGATTTGTCCACCGAGACCGATCTCGGAGATGGCGATGTGACGGTACCGTTGAGCCTAGCACGTCCTGCTGAGACGTTGCAGGATCTCCTCGATGCGTTGAATGTCATGCAAGATGAATACTTTGTACTATGGCTAGGCACGTGGCCATCTAGCATCGATTGGACTGCCGCCGTTTTGGGGACACATGTCGCCGCGACACTGTCGTCTTTCTCATCCAGCGGGCTTGACATCATTGAAGACGACAAATCGCACGAGTCCTCCTTTTCTACCTTTGAAAACACCGTCAATTACTTCTTCAGTCAAACCAGTACATTCTACTTTGGCGAGAATGCTTTCAGTCTGCGCAACCAGGCCTACGACGACATGCTTTGGGTCGTGCTGGACTGGCTGGAGAATATCAAATTCCAGGACCTACACTCGAACCTTTACTATTCCGGTTCGAATTCTTCTTCGGTCAATGCCTCTTCGCAGGGCTGGTATGGCACGCAATTCCGTGACGCCGCAGCACACCGAGCGCGGATCTTTTACGAGCTTGCCTCGGCTGGGTGGGACAAGACCCTATGTAACGGTGGGATGAATTGGAATCCCAGGTTGATCCCGTACAAGAATGCCATTACAAATGAGCTTTATATCTCCGCCAGCATTGCGATGTATCTCTATTTCCCCGGTGACCCCATCGATGCGCCCTTCCTCGCCAACTCGCAGAGCAAAGGACCCTCGCAGCGATACCCGCACAATCCGACTCATCTTAACGCTGCAATCGATGCATATGCATGGCTCAAGAACTCCAACATGACCGGGATCTGGGGTCTCTACGCTGATGGCTTCCACATTAGCGGCTGGCGTAGCTCGGAGGAGCCGGGATCCCGCAAATGCGACGTCCTCAACACGATGGTGTACACATACAACCAAGGCGTTGTTCTCAGCGGACTTAGAGGACTATGGCTTGCCACCGGCGACCAGGACTACCTACGAGATGGCCACGAGCTGGTCCACAAGGCTCTGCGCGCCACAGGATGGCCGCAGACATCTTCCACGAAATGGGCGGGTCTTGGACGTGGCGGCGTGTTGGAAGAAGCGTGTGACTCGCATGCAAGTTGCTCGCAGAACGGGCAGACCTTCAAGAGCATCTTCTTCCACCATCTGGCAGAGTTTTGCCGGCCCCTGCGGCAACATGAGGTTGGGTTCTTGGAGAACGAGACACGGCAGCCGGTAGCCGAAGATGACTGGGATGAGGTGTTTGACAGGCATCTACGGCGTTGTCGTGCCTATGGTCCCTGGGTAGAGCATAACGCGCGAGCTGCGCTCGTGACTCGCGACGATGACGGCAAGTTCGGCCAGTGGTGGGGTCTTCCATTCCGAGAGTTCATGGTCTCGAGTGATATCGTGAATAGTAGTACTCTCCCTCCCGGTGCGGTGGACTACCGCAACGACGGGTTCGACGCGGATGCTGCGACTGACGTTGTTCCTCGAGACTTTAACGACCGGGGCCGTGGTCGCACTGTTGAGACGCAAGCTGGTGGTGTCGCTGTCCTGCGAGCCTTACTGCAGTGGCAGACCACTGATGCCCTTTTATGATTACCATGACCTTTGGGGGGTTTGGGGGTTTGGCGATTGCATATCCTTCTCACTGCGGATTTTGGGCGTTGTTGGCGTTTTGTATTTATACATTCATTCATAGTGTTCATCATGGATATTCTTTCATCATGATCCAATCCTCGGGTCTCTGCCTAGCTATATCGCACTCAATTTACACTACAACAACCCGCAACGCGATCAATACAGGTACACCTACATTATGGTTGAGTCGACAGAACTATATCTGCATGCATAAATGTCCTGGCAGCCACAAGCTAGCTAATTCTCACGACATTCTCCACATACGATCCAATCAACCCCAGCAAAAGCCAAGGCACAAGCAATCATAAAGCGCCAACCCCATTTGAAGGCATATCAAATCTCTGCCATCCACTCACAATCGCCCTATATTCGGAATACGTCTCCATCATCCCAACAATCACTTACCTTAATCGGCTCTAGGTGAAAACCACAATGTCCATCTAAAATCAAAAACCCTTCCAATAGATCGACCGCAGCGGAGCCAAGCTCCCACATTCCACGCATGCCCCCCGAACTCCTGCTCCACAGAAGCTATGGAACATAACCACCCGCCCTCACTAGATCAAAAACAAGTATTTAGATCTGAAAACAGGATTGTTTGATCGGTGGATCTGCAGTTGTGGGACGGAGATCTCCGCCTGTTTTGCGCATTCTGGGTGACGTCTTGAGCCTCTTGATTACTGGAGGTTTGGTATGGTATGTATTCGAGGATAGCAAGGATAGCAAGGATAGCAAGGATAGCAAGGATAGCAAGGATAGCAAGGATAGCAAGGATAGCAAGGATAGCAAGGATAGCAAGGATAGCAAGAAGGCGTGGTTGACCGGGTTGCTTGAATTATTATTTGGATCTTGAGTGTCTACGAGTGATGACTGGGTATCTATGCGTCATAGGACTAGAGTGACAGTGATTTTGGCTGGGAATGGTCGTTGATGTCGAGTGAGTTACATAGTGATTTGTGGGGATGATGTTTAGAGCATGATGGAAACATTATTGATATTTAAAGATCCACCCACTTGATGATACTAATTGTGATGCAATGATATTCGAGGATTGGTTGGCTGAAATACATGTAGTTACAGTAGAAAGGGGATCGTCGATGGGAAACAGGAACTGGATAGCATTCCAGAGGGCTGTTCCATGCGCATCAAGTTCTGCAAGCGGCAGAGATTCCATCCACAGGGGGACCTGCAGCTGCTAGGTTCTCCGACATCAAGAGAGCATTCCAAATCTTGCAATTCTGAGGACTGTCTTTACAATCTACAGAAGATAATATTCTGTAGTATAATTTTATTGATAATTTGATACTGCATACTGACGAAAACAAGATACCCACGAAATAAAACCGGAAAGAAAAAAAGTACGCCCCCACTTTCAGGCACACATCCCAGTCAAGAAAAAATCAACGTCCAAATAATCACTAAGGTAACTAACTTACGAGCTAGTTTATCAAATACATTCATACTGTAGTCTAAACTGGATTCTCGGACAACGTCCACACAGCATCCATGATCCAAAGAAAAAAAACCCGCAGTCCTCCAATACACTAAATCGTCCCACCTTGGAGGACCAGAGCAAGGCCAATTCCCAGCGATCTCATTGGTTAGGAAGTAGAGCAAAATATCCCGCGGAAACGCGAAAAAAAGGTCAACCAGTGAGATGGCGCCAACGAGAGGAAATAAACCCACCGCCACTCTTTCATCGCGCGCCATCCGGGCTTAGCGTGACCTTTAAGGCCCTCTTCTTTTTTGCCCTGCCCTGCTGGGCTTGTGGATTTGCACCTTTCTCGTTGCTCCATCGAGGTGCGATGATTTGTCTAGGGTGGGGCCAAGAAGCGAATCACTGGTGGTGGGCGACATGCAGATCGGCAGGGTTGGGTTATTACTGTATTGAATTCGATGTCCAGCAAGAGGGATAATAAGGGAGAGATTTTGATAGTGAAGGAGAGCGATAGGACAAGGACGGAGTATCTTGTGTTGGAGGGATAGGACTGATAGACTGCCCTACTGTTCTACGAAGCTAGCGACAGTGACAGCCGTTGACGCGTTACGTGGATGTCTCATCGTCAATAAGCAAGCGCCTCACGATGCGGTTTCAGTTGCCCCGAACACTAAATTCTGAACGGGTCAACGACTCGCAAGCATCTTAGCCGACCGATGGCAAACTATCAAATGCTGTACAGTACAGACTACAAGAGTATATACACTTTTTTTTTTTTACAAAGATACGCAATAAGTGCATGCCCTCGAGCCCGGTGCACTGGACGCCGGACACTAGACACCAATGCCCACACTTGGCTTGGCTTATTTAGCTTCATCAACGATTCAGCACAGTCCCTTCCCGCACGGATGAATACTCCATCTCACGATGGAGAGGTGAAGCAACGCGCATCGTTGGTCCTCGTTTGGTGGAACCACCACAACCGCACCAACGCAGTCACACGCCCCCCCTCCTTCGAATACTGTACGGGCCTGAGCGTTGGGCCCCCCTCCTCGAAGTAGTTTGAACAGCTTACAGGACCAGCTGTTAGAAGTTAGACCATCTGACTCGAGGGGGCGGGGATTCAGGAACGACTACCACTGGCTGCTTTGGGGCGTTGAGCTACGGCAGTTCTGAGGAGGGGTAGACTTGGGCAAGGAGGGGCAATGAAGTGGACAAGATTCTTAACAGCTGTGTCGATAGTTAGTTGTAGTCATCGTATTGATTTATTGCCTGGTAGAGGTAGAGTCTGTCAGAAATGTAAAAAGGTAGAATAGTCGTTAATAATAGTATAATAGTAATGATAACCCACCGGTAGAACCAGTCAAGTATATCCAGCAATTCTCTAAATGATGACCCAAGCTACGGTTCTTCATCGACCGTTTACCCTTATGGGTCCTCGTCTTTTTCTTCCCCTGGCCGGGTGTTAGTAGTGTACAGCTAAGAGTCTGGTCGAGCGCTTGGGGTTGAATTCTGGTTGGAGTGGGAATTTTCCGATCGGTCACAATTAATTACTTATCGTCCCACTCGTTACCATTTGCTCCATCGAGAGGCGCTTGACGATGACGATGACTTTTTTCTCGTGATAAGCTCTGAAAGGGTTAGACACCGAACGAAGCAAAGAAGTTTAGCGGGAAAAGCAAGCACTTCATAACACTTGCCGTCGTGCCTACTAGATCAGGGGGGGCTATGCTAATTAGCTACTACTGCTACTGTAAGTAACTAACTATACTACTAGTAGGGTGTATGCCGTCATAGTTCAGGGCCATCGCGCTTGTTCGTTTCGTTTCGTTTCTTTTTCCCTCCTTAATTTTCTCATGGCTTGTCCTCGTGCGGCGGAACGGTCTCCCCGGAAAAACTAATACGAAACTCGTGCGCAGACTGATGGAGTGGTGTCGGCAGTTTTGATTCGAAATGCTGCAGCCACCGACAAGCCACTGCCGGCGATTGGGACCCATGAGTGTGGACGGTGGACTGTGTAGCTTGAGGGAGAAACAATTTCATCAAGTCATCAAATTCGTGTTTTAAACTGGAGGGAACGAAAGGGAAATGTTTGGGTGCCCAAACGGTCAGATATAGAATGAGGCCGACGAGTGTCGAGTTTTTAGTGGGTTTCCTTCTTTCTCTCGCTAACTGCCGATGGGACGGAGACGAGGTGAAGCTGGAACGGAATGACCCCGTGACCAGTTTCCCATCGAAAGAGATACGTTTATACTCTTCATACCATGCAGCCCCATCGGTGTGATCTATACTCTTTAATTAGATATAGGAAGTATATCCTCGATCCAGCTGTACTGTATATAGCTATTGGTCTACGCTATTCCCAACTCATTCTATCGATCGCGATCAAGACAAGTGCCCTCCTACTTTCCACACTCCCCTCAAAGTGGGACACCATCAGCCAGCCGTTGGGGGCACCTTTCTTCAACCCAGCTTAGCCCTTTAGTGACTCCTCCATAGTGGAGCGATGAAGAAACTCTGGGGATCGGCATAAAAGATGACCCTACACTTGGTTCCAACTCCATTTCCGGTAACTCGGCCACCGATCCGTCAAATAATATCCACGTATTTTAAAATGATTAAATGATAATCATCATAACTCCATCTCCATCAGAGTTGGCATTGGATGTCTTCCCCCCATGGTCGAACCTACGGGAATGGATCGTCCTGACCCTTTGCCCAAGCGTAGGCTCTGCCGTTCGCTTGCTGGGCTTGTCGGGCGCGTTATTGGTGCGAACTACTCCGCTGGGGGTCACTGGACGCGGGATATGAGTCTATCGCACGGCAGGGTTGATTCGTTACTCGTTGGGGGTTCAGCTGAGATTGTGTAGATTGTTAAGTATTGTTTGGACTGGAGAATGACGGAGGAAGGACGGAAATATGGTACCGGGGTGCGCAGGACTTCATAGTCAGAGCAGCCTTGTCTAATTTGTGGCGTATTAAGTTAAATGCCTTATGTACTGTTGTAGACTTCGTCATCACCCTATCAATCAGATCAACATCTACAGAGTATGTACTCTCGAAACCATCGAGTATGTACTTGGTCGGCAGGATCGAGGATCCCCAACGGAGTATGTCTCCGTCCCCAGCCCGATCTCATGTACTCCGTCCAACATGTATGCACATATATTTGCTTTTATGTTGTTTATTTATTACGGTATCCGACAGAGCAGAATGTGATCCCGGAGATGGGTTCCTGGGGTCCACGGGGCGTCAGGATCGTCCTCCGTCGAAATTGGGTCCTGGGAGCGAACCAAAGAAAAGGTGAATGACTCGGTTCACCGCAAATACTGAAAGACCAAAGGGGTCTAGGAAAAACAGTACTGTAATAATCAACATCAAATAATATTCTGATCTTTCAGATGTCCATCTTTTCCGAGGAAGGCAACGAGAAAAAAAATTTCACCATTGGCTCCTGATTCCGCGTATCCCTTGCCCCAAGTTTTCTTTTCTAGAAGATCTACGGAGGATACATCATTTTGGACGACTCCTCTTCTCCAAATGAATCTTTCGTATAGTACAGTATGATATGTAATCTCCTGATCTGGGATTGCCACCACCGCCAGAAGCGATGTCATCAAGCGACGTTTCTTCCCGTGTGTGGCGCGGTAGAGAGCGGTAACCAAGCCAGGGGGGCTGGTTGTCTCCGTATAAACTCCCGAGATGATCGGAGCCAGTCAAATGGCGTCATGCCCACTCATTGCGGCTCGATCGACATTGCATAGCGCCCCCCCCCCTCTTTCGTGAGAGGTGGAGAGTTGCCTATGATGATGATGATGATGATGATGATGATGATGCTGTCACTGCCCAGCGCTGCTCCGAGGATACAAGCTCTTATTCGCCCGTCCCCCATATGTACAGTATGGGTACTCCGTGCACACGATGGCTTGTTCTCTCTCTCTCTCTCTTTCTCTCTGCAAGAGAGCTACCAATTATGATGCCTCACTTGTGTTTCAGGACACAGTTGTCAAAAGTACCTTTTGTTTCTTTTCCCCAGTTTCCGTGGCCCCCGATGCCCTCCAGCGCGTCAGAGCCGTTCCTGGTTTTAGTTTTTTGGGGGAAGGGGAGGCAAAAGGGGAGGGTTGGTATGTCCAAATAATAATAAGCTATAGAGTATATCCAGTCTCTCCGTAGATTATAGGAGTCCCGAGTCAGGCGATATTATTCAACTGTATTATTGATAAAGGTCAATCATAGCGTACGGAGAGTTACCGGTTTGGTCCGTATCCCGGAATGGAGTCGTGAGGACGGTCGGCACGAAAATCCCCAGATCCACGACGGAGGCAAGCGAGACACAAGGCGGCTGAGATACGCGGCTCTTCCGAGAGCTAAGGATAAGAAGGTCATTCTGCCTGGAGGCAAATATTGATTAATCA